GTCGTAGCATGGTGAGAACATACCAAAACAAAGTTCTTGCACAAAGTTGCGCCATTTGTGCCAGCTCATTCTATTGCAGTCTTAGTTGCCAACCCTCTCTTGCACCGCCGCTTCCAGCTGTGTGCCACTGTTCGCCGACAATAGTAAAACAAAAGCATGTCCCTCTTTTGTACAAGTTATCTTTGATCTCGTAACTAGAAAGGAAGAACTTCACTCTCTGGGCGGTGCCATTGTTACATGTTTGGGGGATAAGGCAGAAGAAACGGGACAGGTTTGAAGTTTTGTGGAAGGAGATCCTGATGCCCATTTTTTGTCTATGCGAAGGACCTCATTCGACTCTTCCATTCGTGATTAAAGGTTTTTGCTTGGACGTCAATGCAGAAACAGAACTGTGCCATGCACCTGTCCTTGATGGGGACCTGTGTCCCAGCTCCTCTTTTAGAACATATTTTTATTCCTGCAAAACTTTATTTTCAAATCAAATCCAGTTTTGTCACACAAATTACACAATGTTCGGAGGACAGCTAAAAGCCCAAAAATACAGCGCGACTAGGTCCTCGTCCTATAGACAGTTTTATTGTGGGCAGTGCCATTTTTAATACTGTGGCACCATCTAGCGAGCGTCAGGTTCCGCGGCCATGCTGAGTGGTTAGAAACTGCGAAAGTGCTCCTCTGGGCGCCGCTACTGCGTTGGCTGTGCTCATTGAGTGCTCCAAAGTGCCGGGTATCCGACTTTGGGTGCATCTTGTGTGCTGCAGATGGTGTTTTTCAACTCGTTGGGAACTTGTTGTGTTTTAAGTTACGACATCCACCAGTGGAGCGATACCGAGAAGAACGCGACACGAGAGTACTCAAAATATTGGTTCAGTTAACAGCGATTGAATTTTTCTTCAGGTGTTTTGTTGTTTCAGGTGCAGTACACCCAGAATATTTTTGGCATTTCGTGTCGTCTACAAGAATGCAATCGAATGTGAACAATATACTTTTGTTGAGCGCGTTGGTAATAGTTAAATATGAGAAGGAATAAAACATGAAGGAGGGAAAAATGTGCTGTTTTGTCCGCCCTTCACGTTTTATTCTTTCTTGTACTTAATGTGAACAAGGACGCACAAAATAAAAGCATTGGAGGGAACGATCGAAGGCAGCTCCCTCTGGCTTGCAGACGTTTATAAAGGTTGTAATTGAGGATCCTGTGTCGACGAGCGTGTCCTTTGTCTAGAACTGAAAACAGCAAAGTTTAGATGGGCTCATTGCTGGAGCGAGTCTATCAATGACTCGAAATCGATGCATAAGCATGTTTCAGCAATACAGACTAAGTTTTCTTTCCAGCTATGTTATGTACTAATGTGAAAAATAAGAACAACCCAGTCACGTGACGGTCAACGGAAGTTCATGGCTCTCCTGCTATCATGCAGAAGATCAAGATTAAGAAAAACCAATAGAACTAACTTTTTGACAATTTCCAGCCACACGCAGCAGTGGAAATGAGCCTTCAACTAAGCGTTGTAGATGATACAATCGAATCGATGTTGCCACTGCAAGATATAAGCATTAAGATAAATTAAGTTACAGAAAGTTACAAGCTGAAACAGAGTTTCTCACGAAAAAAACTTGCGCCCACCTTGCAAGCATAGCCCATGTTCATAGAGGGTACAGCGATAAGTTTGGTGCGCGCTGAATTCACAAACTTTTCCAAGCACACGCTAGGTAATGGCGTCGCGAAAAGGTCGGTCATTTGGAAGGTGATGGGGTTTTAAGACATTAGAGTTGCAGTTGCCTTGTCCGATCCCATGCACGATACAGATGTCATCCGATAATATTCTGTGCTTTCAGTTATTCGTGCAGCTTATTACCAAACAATGATGTCCCGATGACCAGAAGATTGTCGTCATTGATTCTGCTAGCTCTATGTACATTTGGAAGTAAAATAGAAGAAACCGTGAAGAAAACGACCAAACTTGAAGCAACACGCACATTCAAGACGTTCATCTGGGTTTTTCACTTGTTCCTAACACACCAGCAAGGAAGAAAGCGCCGGTAGCCCTTTCCCCTTTTCTCTCTTGCCCTCTTTCAGTAAAACGGTCTATACAAATTCACGTAATAATTGTACAGAATATCACTTATACAAAAATAAACTGATAAAAGCTGTTTTAGTTGTTACCCGAATCCGTAAAACTGAATTGTGCTCTGCATTTTTCACAGAGTACCGATTTATTTTGCCGCTCACAGACGGAGCAGACACTGCCGCTGCTAAAATCTCAACTAACCCCTGTTGCTTCAATAAAAGCGGCATCGAGCGCTCAATGAGACAATCGCTTTTCTTTTCATATGGCTTCATGGGACCTAGACATAATACATTCAACCGTGCAAACTGAAACCCTCTAGGGCAAATGTTTGTGCGTGCAACAGACATTTTGCTATTCCTTCTTATCGTTGCAGATAACACAAGTCAAAGAGAATGAGAATGGGGAAAGATGAGCCTTCGTATGACCACAACCTGTTCTTTGGGTTGTTTTTCCCTTTCTTTTGAGGGTGGAAGACAAAGCAGACAGACTACCGTAAAATACTGCAGAAGCGGCCACTTTGTTCAAGCACCCACTATTAACATTTCCCAAACTTGGGAATTCTGCAAATTATACATTACGCGCCCAATTTGACCTGACAAGCACAGACGTCTAGATTAACCCAGTTTTCAGTAAAAATGGGGTGGGCACTCCCCCGGTATTTGACGTTAACACACGGGTCCGGCGTGACACCGCTACGGTGGCAATCAGTTCATCGAACGATGTTTCACCGACAGTTTGTTTTATTGATGCGGGCCTGTCCACCACTACCGATCCCAGGCCAACGCATGATATCCTGCGTAAAGACCCTTTTTCTAAAGTTTTCTAGTGAGAAAATGGGTGGTTGTTGTGCTGTTGGATGTTCCAATCACAGCAGTCGCGGTTTTCGTTTTTTTTTTTTTTACGATTTTAAAAGAAAAAACAAAAATAGCAAAATATGGTTGGAATAAAATCAAGCACGACAATTGTGGATGCCAATGGAAGGCTCCCATCTTTGCGAGGTAAGAATGCTTGTTTCATCTTCGAGCTTCTTATAAAATTAAGTTTTTGTCGCAGTAGCGATGAAGACTAGGGAACTAGTTGCTACACAAAGCTCACATGTAATATGTAATGTGAATAATAGCAGCAACTATGAAGCGTTTTTCCTTGCCTTCTCCAAACCGCGAAGTGAATGAATTTATTATTCGATGCTTTCTAATAAATGTTATTTTTTGTATGACGAAGTTAGTTCTGTTGTCTTTCTATCTTCCATTATTTTTTATGAAATCGCATGACTATGAATGCTGGGATCTCAGCGCCGTTAGGAATGGTCAATCAATTGAGCTAAATCTATTAAAGCAAGCAAGCTTACCATTCACGAAGAGCTACCCGACGCTGAGTCGCTCAATGCTTATTTCGTAACCTTCCGTTATGAAACGGACGGCTCTAACGTTGCGACAAACGTTGGTGCCGGCGCTGGTTTTAATGCCAGCAAACTCTCACAACCTTCATATATTTTATTTATTTATATTTAACCTTCCAGCTTCCTAGATGTTTGGAGAACAAGATCACTGTTCGATTGCTGCGAGAGTTTGGTGAAGGCACGCAGTGAGCATGCACAGTGTGGCCATCCTATCTCAGGAGTACCGATCACTTCAACCAAGTCATCTGGTTTGACATGCTGATGCATAGTTAAGAAAAAATGCAATTAGGAAGAAACAAAATTCTGGGAAACTCTCGAACAAAGAGCTTTAGCTCAATTTACAATCTAACTAATAATTTTCTTCGAAAACACGGGCAACGATGGCATTCGCGTCGCCCATGCTTATTAGAACACTCTATGAAAAGCCCTTCAGCTGGGCATTAGAAGTTATCGTTGTGCACTGCTAAAATAATAAGAAGCACCCACTAGAACTGAAAATTGCAAAATTTACGGAAACGTAATCTGCGCGACGCACCGAACGTTCACGAAGCATTTCTCCCTCGAAACACGCCAGTTTTCGAGGGAGAATAGACATGGTAACTGGGATCTAACTAAATATGGCTCCTGAATAAACACGACACAGCCCAATACTGCTAGCGGATGACTTAAAACGCAATAAAACAGTCGTACGTTGGAGGAACCAAGAGCCAAGCATACGAGCATAGGTCCCTGGCATCAGTTGGGCTCCAAGATGGCAAAATGGGCGTGATCATGGCATTCGCGTGGTGTGTCAGTGACGTAGTTGACGAGCTGTCAAAGAGGCCACGCGAGTTGGCCAAACTCTCCCCTATATATGGCTCTGCGTGGGCGGATGCACGATGAAATGTCCCTACACAGGGTGTCTACCAAGTTGACATTTTCAAATTCCTCGAGTTTTCCAGGTTTTCCCCGAGTACTTTTGTGAAATTCCCTGAGTGACACAGAACTTTGTTTTAGGTCAAGATGGGCTGACACCATGTCACCAGATGCTGTCACTCTCTAGAAAAGCATGTTATAAAATTAAAAAAAAACGACATAATACAGTTTTAATGGTAACGAGTAACTTTTATTATATTCAAAAAGAAAACAGAACGGAATGGTTAGTAAAATTCATAGCGAATAAAATATAAAAAAGGTAAACGGAGGTTTACGTGACCCGCCACCCTTGATGTCCTGTGACCTCAGAGGTGGGGTCACGAGACCTCACGGTTACGCCGACCGCGACGCCGTTCAAGCCAGAAACGGGCGCCTAAGAGCTGAGCTCCAAAAGAATAACAGGGAAAGAAAAACGTAAACAAAGATGAGGCATTCAGAGTGCGATTGTTCGGCCCTTGTTGTCAACACACTCCACTGCTCTTTATTTTGGGGCTAAGGAGTCGTGCAGCAACAGCGGTGTTCGGGGAAAAGAGCGCACGCGACCGTTCCAACAGCGAGCACTACCTGCCCTCCCTACGCACGCGAGTGCCCTTCCCCTTGCTTTTGCCATCCTTCACTTTTTTTTTTTTGTTTTTATTGGTTGTTTTTTTAATTTTTTATACAATTGCTTTTTTGCTGCGTATCCCCGCGTGCGCGCATGCTGGCTTGGCGGTCTGCCAGCCACGCAACCCGAGCTATGTGCTTCCCGCCGGCACAATCCTACCCAGGGAGAAGCGAAGGACGGCCGTGCTTCGTCTTCGTTTGCTACATCGAGTGTCCCCGCCATGGGAGTTATGGGCGTTCGATACAGAAGAACAATGTGATTTTCTAGGGGATGTTTGAACTGTTTCATATATAAACAATAATTCTAAATACACGAGTGTGATATAACCAGGCTCGACTGTTTGTTTGGCCCATTCCATTGATATCTGAAGAATTTTGGACTGCAAGAATCCATCTCTAACACCTTTTAAAAATAAAAATAAAAAATTCCCCGATAGAAGCCCAAATTCCCTGAGTTTTCCCTGAGATTTCCCAGACTATTCAAAATCCCCGAGAATTCCCAGTTTTCCCAGTTGGTAGACACCCTGCTACAGCGTGCAATTCGTGCAACGAATGTCGATGAAACATTCGTGTCGACAAAACATGTGTCCATGAAAAGTTGTCCACGAAACAATGGGGACCCACACCCTACAGTGACGCGGTCGTCATCACAGCATATGCATTCTTCCTTCACTTCGTGCAAATCTGTCTTCTACGCACATGCAGTGCCACACTGATGCGGGCTTGTTTGTAAACTGTGCAATGTCCTATATGGTAAGTTGTGCCTGCTAGGTGCCATTAAATAAATCCTAGTATAAAAGCGCATCGATACAATTGGCAAAGGAATGTTGCGACTTGGATTCGTCACCATTCAGCTGCATGCAAAATATTTTTACTACCGATATACAAAAAAAACAAGTCTGCGTCAAAGTCAGCCGAGCAAACTCATTGCAGCCAAAACAATGCAAGCAACAAACACGATAATGAAGAATGTTCGGGTTCTTGTTTGTCGAAATTTGGTTTATTTGATGAAATGCCGCATCAATAGTGTACTTAGGTTTGAACGAGAAAATTACTATGTGGGATAGCTAAAAAAAAAAGAAAGCGTAAATCACGAAGTATTGCTCAACTTGAAACAGGCGATGCTCTATTGCAGGGGTCGGCAACCCACGGCCCGCGAGGCAGTTTCATGCGGCCCGCGGCTTGACACCAGATAAGCACCCCCCCATTGCCACTTCCTCGCAAGCTTGAGGACCACAAGGCAGTTTTGACCTCAAATAGGGTGATTCAGGAACAAAAAGTACTTCCAATTGGCATTGTTCTGCATCCCCATACTTGGGCAGAGAATGTCTTCACTTTCTCCCTGTCCCCCAGCTGTGCTAGTTAGCTGTACTCCAACCTCCTCTTCGTTGCTTCTACTCCTCTATAACCTACTACACCGAAAAAGTCGATCGCCTTTTCACTCGCAGATTTGCAGGTCCGCACTGTCACGCGGTTCTTGGTTCCACACGTGAGAGAAGCTACAAGAACTCTGCCCTTTTTGGCCAGGCAATTTAATTTGGTTGTCAGGAGACTACCCAATCAATAATTTGCTGCAGAGTCATGTATATTTTTAGTAAAGCCAAAAAACTCAACTGCTCGAAATCGAAACACGAGCACAGACGCTCATAACCGGAAGTCTTGTGGCTACACCTGACCGCATTTTTCTTTCTTCCTCCGCTTCTCCGGCCTCTGAAGCAGACAACGACAACGAACTTGCGTGCACTGTTTTGTCGCGCCATTCTTTCGCATTTATATCTCTTCCGCTCAGTGTTCTGCACTTGAAGATCGATTGGCCCATACCACAAACGACAGTTCCCAAGGAGCGGCCCCACGTCCGTTGCAATGTTGGTCCATCATGCACTGCCATCGCGTCGTCCAGCCTGCGTTGCAGCATTCTTTTTCGATCAACTTATTTGTAGCTTTCCGGAGGCCACAAGAAATGGTGTTCATATTCTTTTCTATTTTTAAAGGGACACTGACAGGGTGTTTATGCCCGCCGAGGTTTTTAGTTGTGCATGACATATGAGAGCCCAACTACCCAGAACACAATTTGCGACTCGAAATTTGGTTTCTTTCCGCCCGAAAACTGCCGATCAAGAACTGGCCGGTTCGAGTCTCGCTCACTCTCTTTTCCATGGTCACGGGCCGTTTTCTAAGGTATCGAAGCGACCACCAAATTTAATCCAAGTCGTTGGTCACTGAAGGCAGACACTCAATATTAAAAATAGAAAAAAATATGAAACCCATTTTTTGTGGCTTCTAAAAAGCTGCAAATACGTTGATTGGAAAAAAAGTTGCACAGAGAACCGGAAGCATTCTGTGCGTGCGTCGTTTCGCGTATCGTGGGACTCGCGGGGTCGGCGATGGCAGCGGACGACGGGCGTTGGACCTCTACTTCAGAACTGTCGTTCGCGGTACCGGCGAATTCTGTCTGCCTTTAAAAGAGAAATTTGGGACTGATCAAAAGAATTGGTATTCATCCCCTACAATACGCCCGACCACCAAGCCGATTTGCACGAAGACGTCGCCGAGCCGTCGCTCCCTTCTCGTGGCTGAAGACATCGCTCGCGCAAACGTCAAGCACGACGGGTCTACTTCGGGTTGAATATGCACGCGTACGATTTCTTTACTATGTCGCCAATACGTGGTGCTTCCCGATTTCGACCCGGGAGTGCTTTTGCTGGATGAAAATCGGCAGCAAACTTTCCAACTTACAGTTTACCGGCTGCATTGTTACTAAGGGAAGAAATCACCCAACAAAAAGATGTCCGAGTAGCTCGGTCGGAAAGACGTTCGCTTCACACGCGGTAGGACCGGGATCGATCCCCAACGAAACTTTTTTTTTCAAACATTTTTTTATGTTTACATTTCTTCTTTTTTTTTATATATATCACTGAAGAAACAAACAAGAAAATAACAAACAAATGTTGTGGACGACACGTCGCTGAATTAAATGGTATGGGATCTCCTTTTTGACACCTGCGAACTCAATCTAATCACTTTCCACAAAATGCAAGAGGCATATAAATCAGGTAGCGTCCGCTTTCCGAGGTGCCTATAAATGCTCTACAGGAATTGCAGCCAGCCATTGGTCCCGATCCCGTTGATCTTTCGGAAAGTCTGCCGCACAATGCCACTTTTTTTCGGACGCAGGACATGTGAGCCAGCTCTTCACGCAACATCTTGGTTGTATTCTTTTCGGAGCCGATCATGGAAATTCACCACGGGGACTCACTACTCATCTCCAACTCCTCAATGTACAAAACAACTCATCTTGGACTACAGAACAGCGAGCGGAACAAACATAACTTTAAAAGAATCGCGCTGCAAACAGTTCCCACTACGCCGCGGGTCGTCTGCTACAAAAAGGAGAAGGAAGGAAAAAAAAAAATTGCACGGTCGGGTGTAGCCACGTGACTTCCGCCACTCCACTCTCTTCTCTCCACTTCTCCGACCTCCGTCGGGTTTCGGTTTCGAGCAGTTGCGCCTTTTGGATTTATTAAAAAAATACGCTACTCTGTTGCAAAATATTAATTGGGTAGTCCTCCGACACCATAATGAAGCACCTGGCGAAAAATGAAAAAAATATTTTGGGGGGTGTCAGTGTCCCTTTAATATTGAATACGTGTCTTGGATAATCCACGGCTTTGAATATACTTGGTACACATATCTTGAATGCCACATGACCATGGAAACGAGAGTGAGTGCGACTGAAACCGGTGAATTCTCGACCTGCTGTTTTCTGGAGGAAAGAAAACGAATTTCGAGTCGCAAATCGTGTTCTGGATAGTCAAGCTCTTACAGATCACATTCAAATAAAAACCTCGGAGATCATAAATACCCTGTCACTAGCCGCGTTTACATGGATACGACTTCAGCGCATAGACTCAAATCATCATTCAAAGGAGGCCGATGCGGCAATGTTTACATGAATGCGCACCAAGCCCTACGCAAAGGTGGCGCCACGCCGTGTCAAAGCTCAAAGTTGAAGCCGCGTTTCCAGCACCGGCCGCATCACGTGACCACACTTTCCGGTGCATCGCACGTGAAGGCCTTTTGACGCTTTCGGCGAGCGTAAAGATTGTGTTGCTGTCTTCGATGCTGTAAAAAGGAGTTACAACTCACGAGACGCAAGAAACATCAAAACCCAAATGTTTTGGGCTCCGGGTCGGGCCGCTGGACCACTCTGGATGAGAGGCGACAAACGCGCGCATGGCCTGGCAAGTGAGATTGTTTCCAACCGCTCCGAGGACGCCACCGCGCTTCGCCTCGCCTCGCCAAACCTTGCCAACCGCGAGCGGACCCTGAGGCCTAAAGGCTCCAGCGCAGCCAGGAACAGCACCGAGGTAGGAGCTGCCCGTTCTGCACTACCATGCAGTACTCGGAGCTCTCGGCATTGTTCGTGCTTGCGCCAAAGCCTCTAGGCACTCCCTCGGACGCGCAAATCTTATTTCGCAAAGCTTGGAAAGGGGCCGCCCTCTCCGAACAGCTCATATTCCGCTCATTTAGTTTGGCAATAAAACCTCGCGTTTCTTCTCGGGAGAAACTGCAGGCAACCACACGGAACTGCTCTCCGTCACCGCCGACAAGGTTGGCCGCCGACATGTTCTCAGCTGTTCACTCGCTCCTGCAGAAGCGCCTTCCCATAATCCTCCCCGTTCCAAAACGCGATGCGGCCTCCGTTTACATGGGTTGAATGAATGCGTATTCGCAATCTCGACCCACCTCTGTCTAGCGACTTGAATGCGATGCGCTTCCCTAGCGCATTATGCCGTTTACATGACCATATTGAACGTGACAACTCGATTGGATGCGACTACGTCGCATTCATGTAAACACGGCTAGTGTCCCTTCAACAATGATGCAGCCCAATTCTCTCAAGGGCTTAAATGCTACAAATCCTCACCTCAGATGGATAAGTCTTCCTGAACTTGTCTGGGAACTTGAGCCGCTTGGCGTTCATGAGGTCCTGCGTCCAAAAGAACATGGCCGTCGGACAAATACTCTTCAGAGGTAGTCCGAACTCACCTGAATCCTCTCCATCTGGGTGGAAAAGGGCCATAGGAGTTCAAAAAAGATGAGGCCCAGTGAAAAGACGTCCACTGACTGGTTGTACTTGAGGCCATCAATCTTGAAAAAATAAATGAATAAAATAAAAAAGATATACTACATATACATATATATATTTTTTCCTTTTTACGACTCTTGGAATTAGCAGTGTGCTAGACGCGTGCAAATAGACAATTTTAGATTTTAACATTAATGCCAGCTTGGGTGAATAACTGACAGCACCCGTGCCTACCCTTTACGCAAGCATCACTGCAATCAAACTTAAGAGCACGTGGACCCCAGCGGCGTACCAACTTGTATTTGAGTAAGGGGGGAGGGTTCTAGGCTCGCTCGCTCCCCCCCCCCCCCCCCCCCTTCCCCCCCCGGAGCCTAGAAGCGGTGCCCTTGGGATCCCTTGGGTGCCGCCGGCCAGTGTTTGCCCTGCCCAGTGGCGACTGTTTCGGGGGGGGAAGGGGGGGGGGGGGGGGCAAAACACATGCCATGCCCCCCTACTCTGAGAACTGAGGGGGCAAGCGACCCCCCTGCCCCCCTGGTTGGTACGCCCATGGTGGACCCCATCTTTTTTCCCCCTTCCAAGAGCACAGAAGGCGCGCAAGATGTGGCGGCTCAGCCACACCATCTAGAAGTCGCTAACTCAACCACAATTGTGTTAGTGGTGCAAGTTGGTCCGCTGACTCTGTCATGTTTTTTACGAAAAAAGTAGACCCTTCAAATGTGTTTGCGAAGGAACTTTCTCCCTCTCTTGAGCTCATTTGCTGTGGATTCGAGTGCGGCATGACCCATGCTGCTGAGTGCGCGTGCGGAGATGTGAGGCTGCTGTGCTTGCTGATGCGCATCTTCAGCCACCGCGCCCATCACACGGGGGCCGAGATCGCATTGGCTTTTGCGCTGTGCGGGTCGCAACTGTAGCTACTCGGAGGTAGGGTGCCTGGAAATCTTTCTGAGACAGTATGGAGACATCTTTTTTTTGTATCAAATGCCACATAGCAGAAAAAAAAAAAGTGAAAAAAAAAAAAAAAATTACCACCTTTTCTGGATCGTACTTTGCTCGAGCGCCTGCGAGTCAGTTTGCCATTTTATTATGGTCAGTACTGCACGCCAAATGAAGACATGGCTCCTCACGCAAATGTGCCGTTCCCCAAAGTGCGTTGAAAGGGAACAAAACAACTTATTTAGAAATCGTTAAAGGTGCACAACCGTCGGTTGGTAAAATGTCCGTTTGACGCAGCTATGTAGACTACCGTAATATCCCGAAGGGTGGGTTATCTTTCACAATCATTTTTACCAATCTGTCCATCTGTTTCAACACAGGACATGGTCAGTTCTGTTACTAACTTTAGGTGGACTGAAACTATGGGTTGGCCAACTTTTTCTTTGAATATGTGAATAAATAATTGCAGTCTCTTTTTGTACTATGCAAGAATCACTGCGATCAAAAAAGAGATGTTATGTTAGCGTTGTGTGTAGAGGTGTTTTGGACGCTGACTCGTGATTGCATCCTCTGTGCACTGCATGTGTTCGGATGAACACTTAAAATAGCTTTCCTAATCGATATGACACGTCCAATTTGCTACTGTTCTTTAATTACTGGGCATAAATGTAGTTGTTTGTAACCACCTTTTTTATTTTTCCAATTGAAAATCAATTCTGTTAACTTTGAAAATTACCTCTCATCATGAGTATCAATTTGAAATGCGAAGCGAGTTACAAAAGCTGTTTTATGCTGTTTCAAATGAAAGACTACTTCAGTGCATTGCAGACTTCAGCATCATCATTTCATGGGAAATACCTTATGTTATTATGTCCATCAATTCAATATAACTCCAGTATGATTGCAACAAAGACCAACACGTTTTGTGTACTCGGTGAAAATAAGTGAGCAGAGGGTTCAAAAACCAGATCTCATTGATATTTTCCCGATCTCAAGTAGTTCATTCTTGCTCCGAGTTTACGCTCAAATTCGAGAGTGCGGTCATACTTGGTGCCATGACAGCCGTAATGCACAGAACAAACTATGAATGAGGAAAGAATAAAATACAAGGCGTCACAATGTTCTAAAAGTAACAAATGTACAAAGGATGTGATCGGACATTTTTACTCGCCCGACGTCTTGACACGTGAAACATCGTAACATCTTCATATAATATTTAAACTCGTACTTGCAATCGAGTTTTCTAAAATCTATTGAATCAATTGAGACTATTTCAGACAAAACGATGCAGCTGCAAAAGAGCAGACGCTTCCACTTTGTGGTGGTTGTTTAGATGAGGTGGGCCTATACGAGAGCCAGATGGGTGGGGAAAGGTAGAAGTTTGCGATGATGTCTCCTACGAGCAGGACCGGCCCCGATTTGTGGGAAAGGATGGAATGGTGGTTCCATCATGACAATGCCACAGCACACACTGCCCTGTCAGTGCAACAATTTTTGAACAAAAATGGCATGACACCGGGAAGAGAGTAAGCGCAACTCAAACTGGCCAGTTCTTGATCGGCAGTTTTCGGGCTGAAAGAAAACTAATTTCAAGCCGCAAATTGTGTTCTGGGTGGATGGGCTCTCATATGTCATGTTTAAGTAAAAACCTCTGCGAGCATCAATACTCTGAGTGTCCCTTTAAGGTAATGGTTACTGGCACCCACCAGCTTTGTTTGCGCATAGCACTATGTGCTGATAGCCAGGGTAATTCATGAATGCAAGTCTTCAGCTATCAGACACTCACACCTCACTCACCTGTTCTGGGCTCATGTACAGTTGCGTGCCCACTTGGTCAGTGAGCCGCCCAGACTCGCTAGTAAGTGACTCTGTCGTCGGCTCGGACGGAGTTGCCACCACGGAGCCTCCTGTCAATGCCGTCACCAGTCCAAAGTCGCCTACCTTCACTGAATCGTCCATGGCGAAAAAAATGTTGGATGGCTGCAAACAGAACCATCTGCAGGTTATGAGGGAGCCACCACAAACACGGAAAGAAGAGAAGCACATTCATTATTGAACGTCACGCTTAGGCTGCAGGTTTTCTGGCGCTTATTTGTGCACTCAATTTGCAGATCTCTCCAGCAACTACGGAAATGAGCTCTGTAGGTGTTGCTTCTCTGCAGTGCACCGGTGCTTGGTAAGAAGTACGCTCAATGTGGTAACCAGCAGCCAGAGCCACGAATACAGTGTTTGGCCATTCATTGGGTAGTATAGGAGGCAAATGAGGAGGCGCCACTGGCCGAGAGCGGGATGGACATGTTCCAGGGCATCCTCAAATTCAAATGTGGCCAGCCAGAAGCCGCGAATAATACCCTGGCGGTGTTTGCGGGAGAAAATTAAAAAGTGCGTCGGAGCAACTCTCGGTGACTGACAATATGGTACATGCGACTTTTCTATCACTACCATGCAAAATCAAAATCTAGGAGAACAATCGACGTGATCCATACGCCAGGCACCGCGGGCCAGGGATATGCTGTCCGAGCGGTCAGGCTCTGACCGAGCAAATCAGAGTTGGAGCGGCACATTCGATTCTTACATCTTTTTGCATGATCATAATTGAAACATCACATACACCATATTTTCAACCATGATGAGTTACTCCATTTAACTCTTACACACTTATGGTAAAACTATTTCTCGCTACCACCCCTAGGGGAACCTTTTCAGCTTCTGGTTGGCCAAGAAAGCATGTCAAGCCTTCTATCTGCGTGTGGTGCACGCCCTGGCTCTGCCCGCTCCTCCCATTGACCAAACTCTCTATATACAACTCTGCCCGCCGCAATCAACACTTGGAAAAAAAAGTGTGAATATCGCAAAAAAAAAAGTATGGATATCGCTTGGGAGAAAAGTACATTTTCAAAACGGGGTGGAGCATGCCCACACCTAGTGTGTATAAAAGGAAACGGAAACTTTGTAAATGTTAATTTTCAAAATTAAACTGGCTGCTATGCAAGAGAATATGATAGGCAGGGATGACCTATCAACCTGTGCCCATTACTTGCAATTCTTTTTTTTTTTTTCTTCTTTTAATTTGAGATGGAGAAACAATGTGCATATAGCAAGATTTGTAAATTCACAAATTCACTCAATAGACCATTTGCAGTATTCCCAAGCGCCCCGGCCCGCACTCAATTAATTATGGGAACGGTGTTCCTCCAGCTCCCTAGTGATCGCTAATTTTCGACCAACTCCATGGTTACACAGTTTTTGAGCGTAATTCGTGGTCACCCTGAACAAGCACCTGATATACCCCAAGGACCTGTCATATTACTTTTAAATTTGCTCGTCAACGTCAGCATTTTTGATACTGCGCATGCGGTCCACCTTTCAACCTGGCCTGAGCTGCAGAAATCTCTTACAATATTATCATTCTCGTGATTGTTGTTTGAGCAGGAATTGCTTAAAAAGCCGATAATTCACAACAACAAAAACCAGGATTTAGCTCGGAGTCCGCGGGCTGCTTCTAGCATTTTTAGCGTTTCTAACTTAATATCAGCATGATAATAATGTAAGAGATTTCTGCAGCCCATCCAGGTTGAAGGGTGGACAGCATGCACAGTATCAAAAACACTGACATTGAGGAGAAATTTTAAAAGCGATATGACAGGTCATTGGGGTATATCAGGTGCTCGTTCAGGGTGACTTCGAATTACGCTCAAAACCCGTGTAACCAAGAATGGGGTTCGAATTACTGATCACCAAGGGGCTGAAGGAACACTGTTCCCATGATTCTTTTAACGCGGGCCGGGGAACTTGGGGGATATCGCAAATGGTCTATTAGGTATTGTTGGGCATCTCATATAGGTTTAATTTTATGCCAAATCCGTCGTTTACTTGCCATCCCAAGACATCAGACTTTCTGAGGTCACAGTTCATAAATACAGTTAGACTAAAAATAGCTCATAAATGGACAAGTGGAATCTTGAGAACAACTTTCACGAGTTTAGCTGGATTTTTGTTTAAATATGATGCAACAGTAGTGAAAGGCTTGAAGAAACTATTTGATTAGAAAATATTCAGCCAAAACCACTATTCGCTTCAAACTCAAAATTCACTATTCGCATGTGACTATCAGTTATGTTATGGTACAAAATGCAGTCATTAGCAAACATACAGATTGGAGATGAAATGTTAAATTCTAAATCATTATTATAAATTAGAAACAATAATGAACCAATTACTGAGCCTTGCAGTACAACAGAATTCCACAGAGGCTAAGGGCAACTGTTATTAACACTGGAACCTGTAAACGATTAGTTAAAAAGGCAACAATCCAATCGAGTACATGAGGATCAATGTTTATCGAGCAAAGCTTATGAATTAGTAGTGTGTGTGATTTTGTTGAATGTCTGAGAAATCTAAAAAAACAGTACCCCCCCCCCCCCCCCCCCCAGTCTGAGAGCCACAATAAAAAACAAACAATGATTATGAGTGAAGAAAGGACGACTGAAGTATGGTATGTAATATCAAACAGAGATAGGGAACCTTTATCAGCACTGAAGCATACTTTTATCACACATCACACAAGGCAACAAGTCGGACACATTTTGTTGTGATGCAGTCAAGATAACGCTCTTGCAGTCAGAAAGGCAAGTGCTCTCTCCAATCTCCAAGTAGCAAGTACCGGCAACCAGTGGTTGGTGGCTAGAACCAATTTTGTATTTTTGCTACCGGTGAATGCCTGTAGCCATTGTCCAGTTAAGATTGAGACCACAATTAGGCCATAGATAGCCTAATTTTGATACAGATCAACACGAAATGAAAAAAAGAGAGCAAAGAGAGAATGAAATACATCCTGCATGTTTCAACCTCACTCGTGCTTTGCGTCTGCCTGCATCGCAACAAGCCAAATAGCACGTAAGGGACATTGGGGTACATCCGCAGCCTTCCAAGTTTCAACTGATCCCCTCAACTGTACCGTTTGTTGGTACGACATGACTATACTCCGTTCCACGATAACTTGGCGAACTGTGGAGGCACTTGTGGCCATGATATACAATGTAGCTCACTAGTTCTCGCTTTCAAATGTTAGTTTAAAAATCTATTCACTACTACTCATATGTTTGCCAGCTTTCATGCACCGCAAATGGCTATGAAGCACTGCACTCTAGTTTGGAGAAACAACTGTTCGTCAAAATATCTAGGCTCATTTGGCGAGGCTCAACAAAAACACAGCCAGCCTGGAGGTTACTGTCACTTATCAATGGGCTGCCCAGAGGTTGGGAAATCACCGGCTTCAGCCTTTTCTTTAAGGTCTGGGAAATCGCTGACTTTAGAAGAAAAGAGTTAAAGGAGTACAACTGTAACAGTTTTGGGTTTTTACGCTTAGTAATGCACACGGCACAACTAATCGTGGAACACAGAGTAAAAGATGCCAAGACGCTGTAAATAATTTATTATCGCATTACTTCTACCCAGCGGTTTCAGCTTAGATTTCTGAGAGCCGGGATCTCAAGATGACGTCGCTGACCACGAAGCGCAACTATGGCGGCCGTAACGTGGACCCAAAAAACTATGAAGCAGTGGCGACTTTGTCGTCTGCCCCAATTCCAGCGCTTGGAGCACACGTGTACCACATTCAGTGACCTGATTGGCCTAAGCTGTTTTGGAGCACCTTTCGGAGCAGTCAAAACAGTGTTTTGGAGCAACAAAAGTGGACTTTGGAGCAGATACTCTTAGAAAAATAAAAATATTTGTTTCAAGTGCTGGACAAACAAAGGTCACTTTGCTCCCCGCAGTAAACATATTATAGTCGAGTTAGACCACCTGGGAGTCTTTCAACATGTAACTGAAATGCCAATGACATGAAACATATTGCAATGCTTCAGTAAAATGATACATATATATGTACCTGCTATAGGTAAATAAGAACCAAACTGCATCTATTAAAATTTCTTTTAAAGTGACCAGCTTAGTATTAAATATCACATTATTAGGTTGACTAGTTATATAATAAATAAAAGCAGTCTCTAACTGTTGATACACGTGACCACTGCAGTGCAATGCGAAATTGTCACGCGAGCGGAGATAGCTGTTCGATCGAAACCATGCCACTCCGCTCTGTCGCCAACTGGTTGCCAAAATTGTACACAAAATGTAACTGTCCAGCATACGACAAAAAACAACCCAGTCGCACGTGCTTGCCAGAGTGGCTGGCGAGGTATAAGCTAAACACACAGAAAAAAAAAAGAACCTGAGCACATTGATGCAAGACATCACGAGCCAGAGTCAAAAGGTTCTTGGAGCGCTTTGTGCAACGTCTGAACTCGAGACAAACAAGCGCGCTGTGCGAGTTCAGCGTAACAGACATTGCCTCCTTTGCTTTAGCTCACTTCTCTTCAACAACTCCCTCGCGGCAGATTTTTCACGTACCGGGGTCCCCCTCGAAAGAAAGTTTACCGAGAGAAACCCAGGTAAACAGTACTTCGACACAGCAGTCTTTGATCTAGAGGAATTTTTGTAGTAGCGTATTAAACAAGAGTAGGAATGTTGATGAAGATTAGGGCGGTCCTTACATTTCAGTTTAGAAAGCGCCATATCTGCAGCGACGTGGCGACGGCAACACTCGACGTCACGCGACCATGGCGACTGGCAGGCAGGGACCAAATATAGTTTTCCCACGGCCATTGCTTTCAGGAGCAAGTGCTTCAGCTCACAAAGTAACTTCCGCCGCGCAAAAGCATGGTTTCGTTTCACAGCATGATGACATGGCTAGTACCCAGCACGCTAGTGTCGGAGCATCTGTAGACACCCGCGTCTATCGTTGAAAAAGTTTTGAAAAGACGCGAGACGACGAGAGGACGACAGCGCGAAATGAGATACGGCGGAAAAGACCATGCAAGACAGGATGAATGATTGATGCAGGGTACTTTGTGTCGGCTGGGTGCTTGCGCCACCTAGCTCACGTGTGCTCATTACAGTACTCAGTTTAGATTCGGTTTTGAAAGGCGAGTAAAATTGGTTCTTTGGCGCAGGCTTGGCGCAGATTACCCATATTTTGGCAAAATGTAGCAGAGTTAGCCCCTTGGCACAGTTTGGTGCAATTGGCGCAGCAATCACATCACTGCACATTACACGAATTGGAACGTGGTAGTGGGGATGATTCTTTTGCTTTCACCGAGAGACTTACTTTGAGGTCTCGGTGGATGAGGCCGTTGTCGTGGATGTACTCGACTGCACCAACTATTTGGTAAAAGATGTCCAGAACCTGCCCATAGTCCCGGTTGCTGGCATGGGCATTCAGCCACTCTTTCAGGCTCTCCTTCTTGCACAGCTGCATCTGCATGGGATAATCACTGGGACTAAGCACTCTTTTCATTTATGTTACCATACTGCCAAACATATCTGCCGAAGAGACCTCATTATTACGATAGAATAATCTGGAAAGTTTTCATCAACTATAGACCAACACTACGTTTACAAACAAACCCGCTCTTGCCCACACCAGGTGTGGGCACTGCGTGTGCGCAGAAACCGAATTCGCGTTAAGCGAAGCGTCTGCGCATGCGCAGTGCCGTCGACAGCGCCACCGCAGCTGCGTGACATCAGGGCCGCGTGTCGGTCTATAAGTGGGAACTTGGGAATTTCAGGATTTTATTGTTGTTCCTTTTGCTACAGCCATTTTAGGTTTTCATTTCTTTTCCCCAAACACTAACGTGCTTCTCCTTTTCGTAACTAAAGCCCACTCTATAAAAATGTGTTAACCCTTTGACAGTCGTTGTTGTATATGTACAACAACTATTACATTACAGGGTGTCACAAAAAAAAAAATTTACACATTCTTTTTTACCGCAAAAATAAACTAGGCATCACCGAACGCTCATTCTCCGCCCAAACGTAGCGCTACAGGTCACAACCAGATGCCAAAGTTTCAGCCCGATCCGATACCTTGTTCAAAAGTTATAGGTGATTTTCTGAAAATTTTAATGGGAAAATGGAGCCCATTTTTGCCCATTTTCGGTTTCTGGTGCCATAGAGCCCGATGTATTCGAAAACTCTGTCGGCCACCATTTTCCCATTGAAGTTTTCTGAAAATCACTTATAACTTTTGAATATGGTATCGGATAGGGCGTTTGGCAATGCCTAGTTAATTTTTGCGGTAGAAAAGAATATGTAAATCTTTTTTGTGACACCCTGTACTTAAAAGTTCCCACCTAACCATAAAACTGAACGCACCCCGGAAGGTTCTGCTATCTGCTATGCTTTAGGCAAACCATAAACGTCATATTCGCACAGTGTTTCACCTTGCTTCGGCTATTTAGAGTCTAAAAATAGGATGTTCCATGCACGTGATGCGCGCGAGATGGTCGCTTCGGGTGTCAACTGCTCTTACGGTGGTGGCAATCGGGATGCTGGCTCTCCCAAATCAGATTTCTGATGTTTTTCAGAATTCTCAGATAAGAACTCATCATCCATTGGATGATGAGCTCTTATCCTTTGAATACAAAAGGATAAGAGCTCATCATCCAATGGAGAAGCTCTGTAAAGTACCTCCCGTTCGAGGGGCGAGACCACCGGAATGTCACCGAAGTAGATATGCCAAATTGAAACCGAATAAGAAGAAAGGCAACAACTAACTTTTTGCCCTAAATATTTACATTCAATATTTCTCAATCTCAATAGCCTGCAAGGACTGTACGTGCACCCGCTCTATACTAATTTTTTTTTTTTCTTTTAAATCCCGGCGCACTTATTTAGTTATTTTTTTCCCATTATTCTTTTGGAAACAAAACCCAACCACATCATTTGGACAAAAAGAAAATCTCAACCATAAAAGGGTAATGGCACTCCAACAAACAAATAAGCAAATGTATACAGAGTGTGACACAGCACAAAAGAGCCATTGCTGGTTTTTCCACATGGTTGAAAAAACCATGTGGAAAAAACCATGTGGAAAAAACCTTTTAGAATAGATCTACATAGGTACTAGCCCAACTTTCTATCGTAATGGACACTATACTCTGTTCCAGCTTACGTCCGACCGCAGTCAATGCTACGTGCGGCCCAGACCAATGGAACGCCGACATTATGTCACATGAACTTGCTTCCACATTGGGTGCCACTCCGTGTGGCGCATGCTCTGAAAAACTGAAGGAGGCGATTTTGTCTGATACAGGAAGATCTACGATATTATACACCACAGCTCTAAATGCGACAATTCGGGTCTCAAAACGGTATTCCCCCCCAAGTGCATCCACGCTCAATCTATTTACTTATCATAGTTGAACAGAGCATGATGCAAGGTATGGTACAATAATATTGTATCTATTGACCTGCTGAAATGTACAGCACACATTCAGCACGATTTGTAGCGCCCAACTCCCCAACGAACCTTTGGGGAAGACCGTCTCTAGGCAACTCGGGGACGAAAGCTTCGGAGGACGTGACTTAGCCACTACAGAACGAAATCACACGGAAACACCATGTGGTAAAAACATGCAGGAACTGGATCGCTTGAGCACAGTGCACTGGAAAATGGGCATGCAATGAAGTGACAGAAGTTGTACAACATTGCCAGAAGCTATACGCTTCTTCACCGACCAAACCACATGCATTGCAAATAATAGAAAAACTTCAAAATAAAGGTCAATTTGTCACTTTTGCTTTTAAATTATCTCCCCAGCCTTTGGCTGCAGTTGGTCGGTCAGACCAGCAGGGTCATGTGACCTATTGCCGGCGATCAGCTGGTCCTGGACGCAGATAGAATTGGCTGTGCTCAGACGTAAGGTTGTAAGGTGAAACAGAGTATAGTTGATAATTTGAGAAATAGATAAAGGGATTCAAGATTTTCATAATTCAATTCCACAAGCCCTCTGGGGTATGAGTGGAACTGAGACATAAGGAATACAGCAGCAAAAGTCAGGGTTGGCTTTGTTGACGCTTGACTGAGGACCTTGGTTGATACTATACCAAAATATCTCTTAAAAGAGACACTGCATGCTCAAGGAACATTTTTTTTTAACTGCCTCGATTAATCATATTTGCAATAAAATGCACTTCCTCAGAAAAATAAAATACAATATTTACGCCGTGAAATGCAATTTGGACGAATCCATGAATGGAGCATACAGGCCAATCGCCTCTATGCTCCATTAATGTGTGCTCCATATTGACAGCGTCGCTGCGTTGACTTTAGCAGACTGTATTTAAAAAAATGGCATCCGTTGTTGCTGGTTTCATAGTGTGTTCATGTGTGCATCTATTCAGCAGACGCTTCGTTGCAATGGTGATGGCGACCATTGCAGACAGACTTTATAATGTGGAAGGAGACGGCCGTGTGATGAGATGAGCTGCATGCTTGAGTTCTTTACCATGCTTTTCAATGGGTGGAACGTGAACAAAAAGTCTGAAATAGGTACTTAATGCAGATGGCCGATTTTGTCAAGCACCTAATATTTTACAGCGAAGCTGTTTATGGCAAGGGTTCCATGGATTTTTAGTGTGCAGTTACTAAAAACTCTACGCTCGTACCGCTGCACGTGCCACACGTGCACGCCTTCCTCGTATAAAAGGTTCAAGGTAAATGACCAAAATAAAGCGTTGACGAATGCACGTGCAAGATGCCATTTGTTTTAGGGTTTTGCTTTAGAACAGTTACTCCTGCAGAGACCGGCACGGGCGGCGGGTGAAACACCATTCCCTGGATTCTCCTTGATGCTTGGGTAATTTAGCAATACATAGATCTATTCAGTAGGTTAGTTATCAATAAGCACCATTTTCAAGATCAGTAGACTCTCAGGTAGATAATAAAGGTTCCTCAAAGATTTCCTGCTGTGTGACCTGTGTCGGCCATGTCTATGGTCGCACCGCCCTCTTTGTCGTCGTTCCAAGCACTTGCACGCCTAGTTTCCTTTGCTTCGGCTCTCCTGGTGTGGCGGTCCTGTCACGTGTGTGCTTTCCGCCGAGTGGCGGTCCATTCGCGCGTGTCTAGTTTCCTCCAGCTCCTCGGGGCAAGACTGTGTCGTGTGCTAAACAGCTTTTCTGGTCCTCCACCTTCACAGAGTGGAATGGCTCATGATATTTTATGAGCCTTACACAAAGAAAGGCATGTGTTTAGCTCAAAATTTATGCTAAGCTTTTTTTTTTTTTTTTTACATCAACATGCGGCTAAACTACTTGTGTGCCGGCAAAGCAACGCATGAAATGTAACTCAAGACGGATGGAAAGCACTACAACAGCCAATATATGAGAATGACAAAAAAACTGCTTGTTTAAAGGCTCCATGGGATCCCAGATATAACTTTAAATTTTATGTAAACAACCAATTTTTTTTTTTTTTACTGAAACTGTGCAAGCAATGCATACTGTTGCTCATACAGACCCCTAAAAAGCAACCTGCAAACAGGGTACTTCATACAACCTTTTCAATGGAAAAGGGGATGGGACATAACCGTCCAATCTCAGTTTTCACAAGTGAGAATGTGAAAATCCAAAATGCAAAAGTGCTGCTCACACGCAAGAATGGCACAATAAAGACCCAAAACACACGAAAGCTCCACAGCACACTTTGAGCACAACGGGAGCCAGACATTCAAGCGACAACAATTCGGGTCCTATCGTTCTACACGTCTGGCCCCGTTCCGCGTGTCACTGCGGCGTTCCAGACCCCAAATGTACCTGAATGTAGAGGTACACCTTGACACAGCGATTTTCGTCCAAACAGAGGCTGTTTGGCCGTTCCTTGGGCACCACGGGCTGCTTCTTCTCCTCGGACTCCTCCCTGGCACTTTGCGAATGCTCGAACTTGATGAAAGAGTCCTCGCCTTCCGTAGCAGCATAGGGGCCGAAGGGCAAGCTATCTGTGGTGAACGAGGACAGGAGACGGTCCGCGGTGATCCCGCTGGACGTTGAGTCATGCGACAGGAAGTGATCACTGAATGCCACGTCGAAAGGACGCAGGGGGTTGAACGGCTGGGTGGGCGATGGCAACTGCCTCGCTGCCGAAGTGGCTGTCTTTTCCGATTCCGAGTACACGCTCGAGGCACACAAGTCGAAGCTGCAATAAAAAAGAACACTTTAGGCCACTTTCTGTCACAGGCAGAACAAAGACTTTAAACTCAATCACACCTGCGTAATGTTTCCAAGAGTTCTCAGAAACGTCAAGTGCTTACTCTTCCAGCTCCTTCTTCAAACGAGGCCTGCCTCAACAATTCTCCAACTCAGCACCCCCCATTCCGGTCAAGTGGGACGAATCTACCACAACAAAGAGATGCTCAAACCTTCCGCGCCAGACGTCGTCCTGGTGCTCCTGCCAGCCTGGGGGTGGGCTTTCGAGCCAAGCATTGTAGTAGCGCACAATCCCTGCATGATCAAGTTTGGCCAAGGCCTTGGCCTCACGCATCACTTTGTCCCGGGCTTCTGGGCTGCGACACAAAAACAAAGGACAGCAAGTGTTAACACAAAGCATTATCTTCGTGGTCTCTTCTATAATTGAGAAGTAGCAGTAGTGGCCCCAAATATTTGTATTTCAGACCAAAAGAAAAGAGCAAAGATGTAAACAAAGTCAAATTTGGGGGCTTTACGTGCCAAACCTACGACGGGCATCTGGCACGCCCCAGCGGAGGACTGAGGATTAATTTCGACCACCTGGGGATCTTTTGACGTGCAACCGAAAGCTAAAGATATAAACGGTACAGAAGCTAGTTCTAGTTGCCCTACTGTAACTGTACTGGTATATGCCGAATAAGGTAGTGAATAAAATTCATTCTCAGTAAAATTGGCACGAGCATGACTCATGCCCCAAGCTCTTATTTATAGTAAATCGGACTAATCAAGCTAGTGCACGATACAGATCCCTAAGTTAGGGGGGTGCAAACCAACTATGGGCATGTTAAGGCCATGCTCAGGAACGGGACTTTGGCACTGTGTTCACTAAACGGACAGGACCAGAGGGCGATACTCGAGGCGCTTTTCATGCACTAATGTTTTCCTCGAGCACAAGTTGCTTCTCCTCACTCCATAGGCCCGCATCAGATAGGGCAACTTTCTCAGCAATTTCTAGGAATTTAATAACGTATGTATGATTTATAAAACGTTCATCCCCAAGCACAAGAACAAGGTGTAAAGGCAAGTGTGCTGAATAAAACTGGGCGAAGTGGAATTGGCAGTACTATCTGCAATATGCGGGGCACTCAAGAAGGATATGCACCACAGTTAATGGTTCTGAACAGTGTGTGCATGCAGGAGGATCCTCTCGGCGAAGCAGATATTCGTGTTTTAGATGGGTGTGGCCAATTCTTAACCCGACAAAGGACGACCTCGAAAAAACTGTCCCTGTGACGGGCACTCACCCACTACTCTAGCATCGGCTTCACAACATGGAGTTTGTGGTAGGTTTTGCGGGACCATTCCTTTTGCCATTTACACCTGATACTTTTCTTTATGGCCACTTTGTAGTCTTGGTAGGGTATGGTATGTCGTGAATATCAACCTTCCTTGCAGCACATGTGGAAGCGGCACGATCAGCAGCTTCATTGCCGGGTATACCCACGTGACTAGGCACCCAGCAAAAGACTACTATCTGCAATTTGTTTTCCCCAGCTGCAGCAACCACTTTATGTTGTAGCTGAGTTATTAAAATTTTTTTTGCTGTCTCAAGGGATCTGGGTGCTCTCACAGCACTTAGTGAATCAGTGTAAACTACAGAGTATGGATGCCTATTTTTGATAATATAGTCTGTGGCCTATAGTAAACCGTAGAACTCGGCAGTCAAGGTAGTTGCACTGGAATTAATCCGCCGCACACATTTAAGTGAAGGCCCAATACGGAACAGCCGATAGAGGAGTCGGTTTTTGAGCCGTCAGTATAAAAGCTGGTGTAGTCTTTATATGTATTTTGTAGCTAAAAGAATTCCTGTTTCAAGACTTCTGGTGGGGTATTTTCCTTGGTGTACTCAGTCAGTGACAAGTTTGTGATGAGCAGACTGTGCTCCCATGGTGCCACTGTTCCCAAAAGCTGAGCAATATGTGGGTTTGTCTGAAGGCTAGCCGAAACAGCCGCGGTCTTGTTCCGCAATGAAAAGGGAGGCTTAACAGTGGGCTTACTTTGGAAAGTTTGTTCAAAACGTGTTCCCTCGACTAGCTCCCGACACGGATGTTGTAATACAGACCGCATCCTAAGGGAATACATTAGACCTAGGACATCTCGTCTTTTCTCTAGAGGCATTTCATTAGCTTCAGCATAGAGGCTCAGCACAGGGGATGTATGAAACGCAACGGTGGCAAGTTCGATTCCTGCATGATGGATTGGATCCAACATTTTCAGTGTTGACGCACTCGCTGATCCATACACCAAACATCCGTAATCTAGGCTTGACTGCGCAATCGGCCTATAGATTCTTAGCAGGCACAATCGATTGGAAGCCCAAGTCATATGGGAGAGAACTCTCAGAATATTAAAAGATTTATGGCATTTTTGTTTTAAAGTATTGATATGTTGGCTGAAGGAGAGCTTGGAATCAAATATAAGCCCTAAAAACTTGTACTCCATTTTTATCTGAACTGGTGCACTGTACACGGTAAACGAAGGCATCGGCATCACGCCACAATTTCGTGAAAAACAAACGCAAACAGTTTTTTCCCCCTGGAGAACTAAAAACCGTTTTTGTCAGCTCACCTTGTCACATTATTAATAGTCAGTTGAGCACGGCGTTCGCAGATTGAAAGGTTACATGAGGAAACAGTGATCTGAAGGTCATCTACATACAGCGAATAGTGGACTGATTGTGGTGTGACATGCAAGATAGAATTGATTCTTATAACAAACAGAGTAACACTGAAGACACCTCCCTGCGGAACACCGTTTTACTGCACAAACCATTCTGCGTGTACAGACCCCAACCTAGCTCGGAAGGTGCGTCTATCTAAATAGCTCTCAATGACATGGAACATAGGGCCCTGGATACCAATGTGAATCAAATCCCTCAAAATTCCATACCGCCAGGCAGTATCGTATGCTTGCTCGGGATCGAAAAACACAGAGAGGCAGTACTGTCTATTGACAAAAGCCTCCCGCACAGTTGTCTCCTATCCAACCAATTAATCCTGTGTCGAGCGGGACAAGCGGAAACCGCACTGGTATTTATCCAGGATGCAATGTTTTTCCAAGTGCGGCATCAATCGTCTATTAATTATTTTTTCGAAGGTTTTACAAAAACAGCTGGTCAATGCAATTGGCCTGTAACTAGTAGTAGCATCCGAGTTCTTTCTGGTTTAAAAGGGTACGGAAATGAAAAATTAAATATTCAAATTTCGTTCGGAAATGAGTCAAGCATGACGGATAATAACTGTAAATGATAATCGCACGTTTGTATTTCGAATGACTGGCTATATTTTTCATTCCAAACGAAGCACTCGAGCAAGCGCTCGAAGAGAAGCGAACGTAGAGCGCGATGCGTCATGGGATATGCGGCAAAAACGAAAACAGAAAAAGGATTCCCTGAATTCGTGACGTAGCAAGGCTGGCGTGGTTATGAGCTTCGCCGTTAGTGGTGCTGTCAGCGTTGTGGTGGTGTCAGTAGCGCCAACGCGTTACAACCCAGCTGTTCGAAGTATCTGTGGGGTGACGAGCGTGTGGCTGGCCCAAGGAGCACGTAGCTTCCACAGCACTGTCAGCTTAATTAAGGGTGAACGGAATGGGAAAAGCAACTTTTGTCCAAATTTTGAGCGACGGGCTAATCTTCTAGGGGGGGAATGGCTGTGTCTGGGTACACAAACGAGGGTTCGGGCAAGAGGGGAGTCCCTCCTTTCTTTCTTCTGGAACTGTTTGGTACAATGCGCAATTTGTGAGTTGAGGAGGAAAGCTAAGAAGGAAATGTTGAATTCCAAAGAGTGGTGCTGCTCCGATGGAATTTGCTATGTCATGACAACGTAAGAAGTTCCCTAACGTTGCTAGATTACCTACCAAATAGGCTCCACATGCATCCACCAGGTGCACATTGAGATTGTTTACCTAATTAGCTTTAAAATTAGTTTTCTTGTGCCTTTCAACAAAAGACTGGTATTTTTGAGGTTATGCTGCAACGTGCAACACATTAAAGCTAAAAAATGAGTGCTGGAATTTTGTTTCCAGGTGCAGATGATTCAACATTAAGTAGTGGATACAGTCAGGACCAGCTGCCGAGGGTTTGACACTATGAAGGACCATCTTTAGTTCAATAAGGGTGAAGGATCTATTATACAACTCCCATGTACCACCAGGTGCCTTTATGGTCCTGGCTTCTTTCTGCTGTTTTAGCCAAAGAAATGATGGTGAATAGTGCCTGGAACTTCAAACAAACTCGAAATGTTCCCCGAGAATATCAGCTTGTTCCTAGACTTTCTGGGCAGGTTCCGTAGCAGGATAACGGGGGAATGGTGAAAGCACGATAGGATCCATAGATTTTGTGAATCCGATCCCAGACCTCTTTCGGGGATGTGTGGCTATTTATTGATGTCGCATACCACTTGATTGCCGGCGAATGTACCATGCACGGGCCTTCATTTGCTTAAAGTGAAGAAGAGTGCTTGATGTCAGATAGCGTCGAAGTATGCTCCATGCCTTGTTTTGTTTTTTTCGCGATTCTGAGCATTCTTCATTCCACCAAGGCTTGGGACAGTGTGGGAGGCGTCCCGAGGTCATGGGGATTGCCATTATGGCTGCCTGAAGGACACAATTCGTGAAGTATTCATTCACTTCGTCAATTGAAAGCTTGTCAAGAGGTGTGCATGTGAGCAGCGAGAATTGGCTGACCTATGACCAGTTTGCCTTCTCAAATTTCCAGCGGGGAGTTTAGGTGGGGAGGGACACACCTGGGTTATTCAGTCTTAAAACAATGGGCATGTGGTCACTGCCTGAAGGATTATCTGCAGCCTGCCATGAAAACAGTGAAAATAAAATAGGTTCACTTATAGAGAGATCAATTGATGTAGATGAATGGACATGGCAGACGCCTGTTCTGCAGCAGGTCGCTCTCCTGTTTCACAGTCCACAGAAGCTTCGGCAGCCAGGAGTTGAGACACCGTGACAACAGCGACACTCTCGTTCGCTCGTTCTTTTCACTAGCATTTCTACCACCAACTGCCAGGATCACGACAGCATGACACTCCGGCTTTTGCGATGTTGTCCATTGCCACTTCGGGGCGACTTTTGATGTATGGGGCGGGAGAGGGCGCTAAACACACCCGTCAGAAACTCATTCCAGGCACCGTAGTTATACATTGGAAATGATCACTGTCACCAAAACATGATGACTACATCTAAATGCAATGATCTCATGTGGAAACAAAAAAGCATTCCAAGATCTGTAAATGGTTAACAGATTTCTTCCTGGTCTGGCAGCTTTTGATTGAAACAAAAACTAAATCTAGGCGAGTCGCTCTTTACTTTGGGGAAGGGGAAAGTGGAGACAGTTAACGAAGAGATGAAGTGGACATTTGACGGCAGTACAGGCTACTGATACAACAAAACATTTAGGGCAACTGCCATTACTAGGATATTCCCAGTTCCATTCTTGCCATGGTGTCTCCTTGCAAAATTTAGAATAATCCAACAAGCAGTTTTATTTGACCCCAATGGAACCCAGATAATAAAAAAAAATGGAAAAACAGGCACAGGTAATGAGACTTGTTGCACACGGCCACTTCCATCATTCTCACAGTGATCAATAGGCACAAGCTATCCAGTCTGTTTACTCGTAACGTGTGAACAATTTATTTGGTTGCATTTTCTTCCCCTCTCAAAAACAACCTGCAGATTCAAATTAAAAAAAAAATTCTGAGGTGCACTCACTTGTTTGGCAGGCAAATTCGCTTCACAGCGTAAGTGCAGTCGTCAAGTTTGTTCCTTGATTCAAGGACAAGACCAAAGCCACCTTTCCCAAGGCACCGAACTGGCTCAAAATCAGCAAGGTATCTAAAATATAAAAGGCCATCAATCTTCTTATACACAACGAAAGCTAGAGCATCAAAAACGACCCATAAAAGATAGATGAACTGATATTTAGGTTTGAGATCTTAAATCCCCACATATTTATATAGAGGGTGCTTTTCTTTTAGATGGGAAATAATTCTAGAAAACAGGGCCCTTGAAATAGAGAAAAATAATTCCTTCGGGATAGCGTTATTGACTGCAATGGACATCAAGACATGCGTACGTGTAATGCAATGATTAGTGAACTACTTATTGAAAATGCACAAATTATCTTTTTTACATATTTGACTTAGCTGGCATAATTGGTAATCTGAGATCTGTCACCCGATATCAAAATATGCCACGGAGTAAGAAAACTAAAGTCTTCCTTAAGCGATTTGTCGAGGTCTTTTTAAAGGCCGAGGTTTGGAACACTTGTTGAGTTTCAGTACTGCACGCCCTAAGAGCCTAAATTCCCCACTAACTAGCACAAACCAGCACTTTTTTTCTTGAAATCTAACAACCTATTTCCATGACGAATGACAATGTCTTGGTAAGGTCGTACGAGCTAACATTAATATTTAGAAAGCTGATTTGCGAGCTTTAATAGACCGATCTCACCAGCCAGTTTGACTACGCTCCGCTGCCGCAATGCATCGAAGAAACTTTAGTCTTTCTGCACGTGCAACAACCTCACTGGAGCTCTGCGCGTGTGGAGCATGAGGCGGCACGAGCTGTCTTGTGCACTGCTGCGTGCCCTGCGAACTAAAGTTATGGCGGCGTCACGCATGCGCCGAACGCTTGGCGAGATCAGTGTATTGACCGGTTTGCCAACTATTACGTTACAATCATGCCCCGGTGTCAGCCACGACTGACTATATTACTTTCCCAAAAATTATTCTTCCTGTCAAGAGGCCTTTATTTTTTTCTTTTTTTTTTTCCTCTCATGTTTTTGGTAGGTGTGTTCAAATATAAAAAGTTTGGAACATGAATCTAATATGAATAATGCGAAATAGTGACTTAGAATGCTGCATAAAATACTGATGAATATCTACACACTAATGATAAAAGCAGCTTAATTTAAAAAAAAAAAAAAAACATTAGGCATATCATTTACATCTTTGGAGCTAATATTGTATGGCAGCTATAGTCAAAATGACATAGCCCTAAAGAATTGCAAACGAGCCAAAGTTAGTTCAAACCTAAACGAAACAAGCAGCTGGAGTTTAGTTTGGAAAAGAAATGGTTAGTGATTGAATGTGAGAAAATTATTACTATTCCAAGAAAGTAATTTTGCAATAAACTGGGAAAAACAGGAACTTGGCATTTTTTTTATTGTGTTCTTTGCTAAGATAGTACTTTATCAACTGAAAACCCATAAATGAAATACAATATAATCGTTGGCTGACTACTTCCCATTTTCCTATATACATTTTTGGGCCTAAAGCTAAGGAGAGATGTTCGTAAGCAGGACGCGGAAGGAACGAAAACACTTTGTGCATTCGCCTTAGTTCCAGACAAAGAAAAAAAGAAAAAATGTCTTTGGCTATACTCCGTTCACCCTTAAGCTGAGACTAGAACCTCCGCCTTCAGTGCGAGCTTTCTGCTCCTGCTAACACAAGTGTGAACGTGCAGACACGCACAACCAAAGCACTGCAGAAGCCAGTGAGCTCATGCTGAAGGTGGAGCTTCTAGTCTCAGCTTCAAGGTGAACAGAGTATTGTCCAGCGTGTGCACAGTTATTTTACGTTATACATATACCGTAAAATACCGGGCAAGCGCCCACTCAAACTTCGCAGATAATCACAAAAAAATGGACGATGGGCGCTTGTCCGGTCATCAATTTTACATATAAATGTACTGTGCATATTTTCTCAGATCTTACAAATTTGGGAATGGGTGCTTAATGTGGAATGGGCGGATGTGCGGTATTCTACGGTACTCTTTTTTTTTTCTTCTTTTTTCTGACGCTTAATTGGTGCAGACGCAGAAGCATATCTGCAACAAGATGCGCGAAGCACAAGCTAGGAAGCGCGCGCAGAGTTTCTTTCACCACTGGCACCTATGGGCTTGTATTATTGGCGGATTTTTCGCTTGATATTGGCAGAAAAGTTTAATCGGCATAGTCAATATCCTTTATTCGCAATTTGTGCACTCTTGTGGGACATCCTGCGGGACGCTTACTCTTTCTTTGCTCAAATATTCTTTACTCTGTCAAATATTCGACCGGAGCCGAATATTCGTGAACTGCCAGATGGCGACTTCTTGAATTGAATATTAAAAATGTTTGATTCATATTTCAACTTTCGAATATTTGCACACCCATAATTTTCAGTCCCTCCCTCCCTCCCCTCCCTCCCCCTCCCCCTCCTCCTCCTCCTCCTCCTCCTCCTCCTCCTCCTCCTCCTCCTCCTCCTCCTCCTCCTCCCCCCTCCCTCCCTCCCTCCCTCCCTCCCTCCCTCCCTCCCTCCCTCCCTCCCTCCCCTTCCCCCTCCCATCCCCCCAAAGAAAAACGCCCTGCAGAAATTATAGAGTTTATTCTTGTTAAAAAATGCAAAAGAGGAATCCCAGCTTGGCCCGCGAGATTCACTTGGTCTTCAAATTTCACTTTAAAGCCTGACGGCTCATCAAACATTTTGTACTGCATCTTGAGAGGTGCAACTAGGATTAGAGTATGTATTTTAGCATGCTCGCTGCTGGCACTCGTTTACACATTACTCAAAGATGAATAAACCATATGGGAAATAGGGTTGTCACCTAGGAGTGCAAAAGTTAGAAAAAAGTACCCAACTACGACGTAAAATACAAAAATGTCCACTCCACCTTGAAGTGTACTTGGGAAGGTTGTGGAGAGCTGCGACTCCCACTTGCTCGGCTAGAGGTTCAATAGGAGGGATGCTCGTGGGCAGGGCTTCCGGGGGTGGCTTTGCTTCCTAAAACAAAAGTGCATGATCACGCCAAAAGAGTGCACCAAAAGTTTGGCCAAAAGGCACAAGTACGACCTTCTCGAGCCTTCACCTTGGATGAGGAGGACTCCTGCAAAATCCTAAGCTTCCATCGACGTAGAACATGCCGTGTAATGAGAATGTTGACCAGGAGAGATGTTGCAATACTGATGCCGAGAACCTCCTTCCTGCAAAGCCAAATGTTAACTGCACATTTATTATCCCTTCCTGCACATAGCTGGAAAGAGTGAAGCTAATGAAACGCTGCTAGGAAGTAGTAGGACAGAACCAGAATCCCGTGGCCTTCGTGAATTCACTTGAAAAACATTGTTTCTAAGAAATCTTCTACATAAAGTTCCAAATGAACACCTAGAGTAGAAGGTCGCCCGTCCCGCCTTCCTCAGTGCTCTTCACCTGGGACTTTAAGGTAGAAGTTAACAATTAATTGAATCTTGCTTAGTGACTTTACATTTTAGTGAGTACAAAAAATATGAATCACTGTAAAGGGCAGTATGTCAATGGCCTGCCACTAGTGGTGCAAAACTATCGATAGTCACCAAAAATCTGAATATCGATAGTAAAAAAAACTATTGACAGTACTATCGAAAGTCAACTATCGAAAAACTATCCATTGTACTATCGATAGTAATATCGATAGTTAACTATCAAAAAGCTATAAATAGTACCAGGGCCGTACCCAGAAAAAAATTTCGGGGGGGGGAACTTCGGGGACAACGGCGGCCATTTTGAAAGTGTCTATTGTCTTATTTTCGCCTATGAATCACGTGCATCGGTGGCATATAATGGAGAGTTACAGCAAACCGGAGAACCGGTCCTGGTTTGGTACCCGGTAGCCGACCGGCGCCACTGCGCGTGCGCAGAGGTGGAGATTAAAATCGGCTGACTGCCAGTGCACCGACCAGGGCCGTACCCAGAAAAAAATTTCGGGGGGGGTCAGAACCCCCTAACCCCCCCCCTGGTTACGGCCCTGGATAGTACTATCAATAGTAGACTGTCGGAATATTATCGTTAATCGATTATTGGAAAACTATCAATAGTCGACTATCAAAAACCTATCGATAGTATTGTCGACAGTTTACTATTGATAGTTTTGCGATACTAGTAGTTTGCGTGGCTCCCTCTTCTTTTTCTCACTTTATTTTTTTCAAATGAGACACCAACTAGCCCAAGCACTTGCAAGTTACCATCCCAACTTTGGTTCAGCTTTCAGAGATGACGAAGACGGGAGTTTGGGCGAAGAGAGGAAAAAGGAAGGTGAGCAACGGTGCACCAACTGTGTTCGCTCTAGTGGTGCAAAACTATTATAGTACTATCGATAGTATTGATAGTCACCAGAAATCGGACTATCAATAGTAAAACTCTATCGATAGTCGACTATAGAAAAACTATCGATAGGACTATCGATAGTCGACTATCGATAGTTCTGCGACACTATTGATAGTTTTGAAAAAACTATCTATAGTATCGATAGTCAATTTACCAATAGTTTTGCATCACTACCTGTCACCTTTTTCCAGCAGACTCTACAATTTTGTGAATGCCACCATTAGCAACATTTATGCAGTGCAAATCTCAATCATTCTAAAATTTAGAGGGGTGTGAATATAAATGTTTTTACTAAGAAGCAAATAGCAGTATTAAGAATGAGCTGCACAAAGAATCGTTTTGAATATAAGTATTTTACATTCAATGTAAACTGAGCATGGGTACTTTAATAAATTGCAGCTATAATTCTTTTTCAGAAAACATGCCTATGCATGCAAAATAAAAACAATTTTGTTGCATGAGAAACATTTCATATACTATGTGTTCAATAAAAAAAAAAGTCCCTGATAAAACAAGTTCAGTAACACATGATTAAAGTTCGACATTTTTGGTTTTTATCTTTTTCAATCGGGCAAACTTTTTGTTTTTATTTAAAAAAAAGTAAGTGTGCGTTTTTTTTTATTATCATAAGTATGCAGGACATGAAAGTTCTTTTGACTTTTTTGTAACATTTGCAGCGTTTTTATTCTATCCAGAACTGTACAAGGTCTTACTTTTGCTTCTCTGTCACTACTGAGTGAATACTTACAAATGATAGTGTTTAGCACAGTGCTGTCATAGGGAATGTGCAACTGCCATATGAAGGGTGAAATCTGGAATCTATGTGATTGGGCATCACACATTTACCTAATGAGCCAAATTCGTAAAAGAGCAATTTTGTAGCAGTAGTGTGTACAACATTCAAATAATGACAAAACATGCACACATAAGGCAGATATCAATGTGTACCAAGGCACCTTGAATTTCACTGGTAATCTAGATCACAATTTGTACTTTATATTATAATAAATGCTCATTTATAGTTTTTGTTGTTTTCCACATTAATGTGAGGCCGTTATTTTCGGTCTGTAACAGATTCTGCAATGACTTCTCACCATTTACTACGGCTGCTCGATGCCCCCCTTCCGTAGAAGTGGTTGTGCACCGTTGCTCAAAACTGGCAAGTGCCAACGCTACACACTACAGTAGTCAAAGCTCACCAATAAGTCAAATGGGGGGGCCAAAATAAAGCAGTTACCACTTTTCAAAGCACTGCATACAGTCGAACCCGGATATATCGAATTCAACAAGGTATAAAGTTGAGCGAGTTGGGTGATGGTCATATTCGAATGGGTTAAAGCAGCGCAAAAAGATGAAGGACCAGTAAAAGGAAACACAGAGACACAGCGCTGACTTACAACTGAAATTTTTACTTCTGCGCCATTCAGCAAGTAAACTTGAAACGAGATAAACATACAAGCAGTCGACCCGATAACACGTCATCTTCCCATCAAGCCGACACATAGCTACACGTATTTACCCACCTTTCTGATAAAATTCATCTCATCACTAGCCAGGGCAAGTGACGGAACACTTATGCACATGCCCGAGTCATGGTTGGCAATAAAAAAAGCTTTGTCAATCTCCCGAGCATACTTAGTTTTATGTCGGGCTAAAATCTTGATTTCATTAAACATTGGAGAGCATGCTCTCCCCTCTCCAATGTTTAGTGTCATGCATAAAAAGCAATGACTACCTTATTTATTGGAATATAGGTTAGCATTCTTTTTCCAGCCTCGAAGCTTAAAGTTAGGTGTCGACCAATAAATTATAACCAAACAAGGATGATTTACAATACTCAGCAAAATTTATGAGCCTCTCAAACAAACCGAAAATGCTCCACCGCTTTCTCTCCCAGCACCCTGGTGCAAAGCAGCAAAGTTTAATACACATACGCCAGCGCAAAGCGGTGAGGTGATACACAAGAACTGGTGCAATGCAAGCTTGATGCAAGAAATTAAAAATTTTAAAGGAGTAAGTAGTATTCACAATTTCTGAATATTCGAAAAACTTGAATACTTTGAACAGTAAATAGAATAGCAAACACCCTCTATAAAGTATTCAAAGTTTCGAATATTCGCACAGCCTTACTTTCTAAAAAAACAACGGGTGCTTCCAACAGAATGCTAAAAGGAACAAGGGGGAAACTCACCACCAGTACCAAAAGGAAACAATGATGTATTGATCCAGGGTTTCAGCCGAGTCCTCCTCTTCACAGAGCAGAGACTCACCAGAGATATTGTCCAACTCTGGCCCCTTGTACAGGTAGTAGCCCATGTCTGCCAAGACAGAACAAAAGCCGTGCAAGACAAAACTGGTTTCATGTCGCATGAAGATGAAGCCTTAGAACCATAGACTGTTTTGTTGCAGCGTAGATGTTCCAGTGAACAGATTGTTCTGAACAAACAACACATCAAACAGTAATAACTAATAAGCCCAATCTGTCATAGCACAAAGTTAAAAAAAAACTGTCAAGTTACACTTTTTGGAGGCAATACAGTGATGACTCGTTAATATGGACACCACCATCAAAAACCCGAAACCTTTGTCTATAATCAGGGGTTCTCAAACTGGGTTCCGCAAAACTGGGTTCTCCTCTCCTCTCCCCCTCCCCCCTCTCCTCTCCCCCCTCTCCTCTCCACCATCTCCTCTCATCTCTGGTCGATGCTGTCTCCTCTCTCTCCTCTCGGCCCGGCATGCATCGGCCATGTCTACGCTCGCACCGCCCTCTCTTTGTCGTCGTTCCAAGCACTTGCGTGCTTAGTTTCCTTTCTTTCCGCTCTCCCAGGGTGGCAGTCCCGTCGCGCGTCTCTAGTTTCCTCCAACTCCTCGGAGCAGCGATAGTCGTCCAAGCGAATGTATACGATACAAAAACCAGAAAGACAAGTTGCCGTTCTCCATTTTCAATTTCACTTCTCTTCTCTCTTCTCCGGGCTCCCGAAGAGCGAAGTGCCTACCAAGAGCAACGGCAGGAATGGCAACGAGAATGTCAGCGGTGGCGGCGGGCGGCAAACGCCACCAATGAAAATCGTGCACAAAATGCCAAGCGCAAGTGCAGACAATAAATGTGTTTGCACCTTTGCTCAAAATTCTGTGTCACGTCTGTGTCGTGTGCTAAACAGCTTCGCTGGCCATCCACCTTCACAGAGTGGAATGGCTTATGTTTCTTTCCTCCCTTTTCTAATGGCACCCTTTGTTTCTACAAGTTGCCTCCCAAGGAATCCTCAAACTAAGTTTCCGGCAGGGGGATAGTCTACCAAAATTGGTGGATTGGGAAGTAGCTTCTAGTTCAATAACCGGAAAAAATCTGTTCTTTTGAGAATCTGAAGGAATCGGAAAAGTAACGGCTACTTTTTCAAGTAACGTCCAATTACTTTTCTCGTCAAGTAATTGAGTAATCCAATTGAATACTTTTTAACCAAGAATAATTGTTATTGTAATCAATTGCTTTTTTCGAGAAACATGCACACGACCGTGAGAAAGTGGAATCACACATTGGCACAATGCTGGTAAAAACTCCTCGCATCTTGGTGAAATGTAGCAGTTAGTACAAACTGAAACATTGTGCATTGTGGTGATTGTTGCATACAGTGCAAGTAAGGACAAACTTGTAGTGATAGGAGAGAACCATCAACACTTAAGAAGTGGGGAGCAGAATCAAAATAACATGCCCCGTCCCAAACAGGAAGGTTCCCTATGATGAGCTTCTGGGACAGCACTGTGCAGCGAGACTTTTCGGATAGTGCCCCCAATCAAGTGTCTCTACCAAGAGCAGCCATGCTAACGATGGTCCCCAAAATCTCGACAGAGGACAAGAACGACTCACCAAAAGGATACTCCACAACATCTTCTTTGAGCACGAGTGCTTTCCCTGGAGACGCAGCCTCAATCAGTGCATGGGGTGGCTCCGTGCGGCCAACGTGGATCATGGGCGTCCGGCTTGGTGCTGCCCGGAGCAAGAACAAACAGATTTAAAGGGACGATTTAAAGGGATTTAAAGGGAAGTGGTGGAGCAAAATCAGAAACTCGGATGGTATAAAAGTGTCGTTTCACGTAATAAAATCAGTTGTTAGTAGCGCACTGTGCTGTCTGTTTCTCGCCTCTTTGTCCCTGTTTTTTGAGCGCTAAAATGTATTCCAAATACCAACATTTGCTGGTAATTCTCGAGAGAGAAAACATCACCTATCTGTTGAAGAGCTCTGCATGGACCCAGGCCAAATCAAAAGCCTGGGCCAGGCCGGGTAGCAGAAAATGTCATTGAGCTTAAGTTGGGCCAGGGCTGAGAACGAAGCAGCATCAGTATTTCCTAAGCCGATCAAGTACACAGACACTTTCACAGGGCTGCATCGAATTTAAGAGATGCCCCTCGGCCTCTCGCAGGGTCGAGATGTTTATTATCTCCCACAGTCAAAGCGCCTCCAGCCGGGCCGGGCTGGGTCCTATAAGTAGGAATTCTATCGGGCCGGGTTTGGGTTGGGCAAGACAGAGTCAGCGGGCCTGGGTCAGATAGAGCCTCAAAAGGTAGGCCTGTGCATGCTCTAATCTGTAGCACATGGCACAAATAAAGAGCAAAGTAACAATAAGTTTATTCTCTCCTTAGCCCGCTCTCGTCAAACCAAATGCCCTACAGGCAAACAACTTCATTTTCAGTTTGAAGCATGACAAAGGCTTACTGTCGAGACTGGTTATAATGAAGTCGGTTATAAGAAAATAGCCGCTACAGCGAAGCGATCACGATTTCCCATTCCCTTTTGCACTTCGTTAACCAAAGTTGGTTATAACGAAATAGCAGATATAGCGTAGTGATTTCAGATTCCCGTTGACTTCGTTATAACCGGTCTCGACAGTAACACCATATCAAAAAATAGGCAAACTTTCGTTTTTAGTTGTAACTTTTGATTAAGGCAAGTTTTTTCTTTAATATGTTTACAAAACATGAGCACCACTTACTGCATCTTTACGATACAATGCCTTGTCCTCGCATACGAAACTTATTTTTCAATTTAGTTTGAGTGGATTGAATCCGAATGGCACATGCTGTATACATTTCATCTAGCTCCTCGGCCACAAAAACACAAAATAATTGCAACCAGTCTCATTGGTTTTATGCTCATCTCCATTTCAATTTGCTGTTTCTTAGGGACATGAGTGACGCCTATGCTTAAGTAGGTTTTCGCCCACACAGGCCAAAAAATGACCGCATCTCCACGTGGTGAATGATGTTGATTGGGGCGAAGCTCTGGTGGCGGTATGATACTGATTTTGTTCATAGGTAGTGCTGATGGTGCCGATTTTTTTTTTATTGCTCATAGGTAGTGCCGAGTTCCAGGTTGCGTTTCGACTTCATTATTAGTGCTTTATGGTCGGTGAAATGCAGAGCCAGTGGTTCTTCTAGCGGATCAGCTTGGATCCGCTAGAAGCCGTGGGAATGCATCTCCACCGCTTAAGTCAACGGTCCATGTCGGAAAGAGAATGTGTGGTATGGAACGTGGTTATATACGCATTTGAGCATTTGACCCCAGCACCTTCTCGTCTATAAACGTTGAGCCAATGCATGCAAAGTTTAATGCGATTATATACGCATTTGACCGCAGCGCCCTCTCCTGTATAGACGCTGAGCGGCTACATGCAACGTTTCATCCATGTGAGTTACTACCACATCTCAGAGCCCCCTACTTGTCTCGCAGTCGTGGCCGAGTGGTTAAGGCGATGGATTAGAAATCCATTGGGGTCTCCCCACACAGGTTTGAATTCTGTCGACTGCGCAAACATTTTTCTTTTTTAAGAAGACAGATGGGATGGCAATCAATGTGAGCACGGACGCCGGACAAGGCTAGACCCTAAGGAGCTTTGCCCCTAAAACATTCTGCAACCTTCCGAATGGCTCCCTTGCATGCAACCCCGAGGAGAGACAGGGTGCTTACCCGACGCTAAGTAGGGCTTCCATTCTATGCGTGGAAGTGTGCCAGAGCTGGCCAGGGCCAGCTGCGAGGCACCCTTGTTCACCCGATTCTGAAGGCTGCTGCTGTGCTGCACGTACAGCTGGTTCTTGTGCATGCCTGTAGACAAGGAGACAGCGTACAGCATTCTGTCCACAGCTGCCCTACTAAACAGCCTAGATGTAAACCCGTGTCTGTATGTACCCCACGCACCAAGGACCACCAATTAACTCTCAGTTTGGCTAACTAGAGCTAAGAACAAACACGTCACTTTCACAAAGTGTGGAACAGAATCAGTTTTTGCTTACTCCAGGCAGAAAACCAACTTGCGCGATTCTCCCTCGTGCCGCTGGCACTTGACGGCTCATCAACATGACCCCATAAAATGAAATGGAACACTGTCTGTTTACCTGATCCAGAAAAGGCTTGAGGTACACCTAAGCACTTCTTACGAGTTGTGAATGCGAAAGCACGCACGCCGCTCTTCGCTCCCTTCTTTAATCTGCGGCGTACAACGCGTTGACCTTGGGCGTGAAACGGTGGAGCCGCTGCCTCGCGGACACGCAGTGCCAAAGAGTGAGTAATCGTTCAAAATTGTCGTGTGCCTTGCGGCGCGAGGAAGGAACAGACAGCAACGTAGTTCCCAACAGAACAAACTCCTTGGTTTATTCCATGCGGCATATATATATTGCCACGCACCATACAACCGATAAGAGGCGAGCGAATGTGGTGATCAGTGATAACACAACAGTGTGATAACACAGTCAGGATGACACCACACAAACTGATGCGCTGCGACCAATGGGAGCCTCGTCGACGCGCGCCAACCGACGGGACCGAAGTGTAAAAGGTGCCGTTGGCTAGCTTTGCGCATGGTTTTATTAAGGTGCCGTTTTACATGGTTTCAAAGCTGATGACGTCGGCTCGCTCCATGAGACAGTTAATGCTTTTGCATCAATAAATCATGGTCATTCTTGTTAGATGAAAATGGGCACTTGGCACCTTTTCTTATCAAACAAGAGTCACCTGCTTTGATGTTGACATGGCAACATCGGTATGGTGGCTCCATAACATTGGTTCAGAATTATCTAAACCAGTGGTCTCAAGCTCATTCGAGTGTGGGGGCCAGACAGCCCACACCGGAAAGGTCGCGGGCCAACAAAAGATGAGGGGAGGGGAGAGGGGGGAGGGAGGGGGGGGGGTCAGACAATTTTAAAGAGAAGAGACCTCGCACTCTATGCTTTTTGTAAAATCACAGTTATGCGAGTGAAGCCTTTCGATTTCATTTGTTTTATGACCACCTTGGGCCCTGACCTAATGTGATTACAAGAATTAAAATGACACCACAACGCTAATGTGCTGCCATTTTTAATGGAACAAGAGAAGAAGTACAGCGTCGTTCCAGTTGCTAATTGACTCGGGAATTAATCAATTAAGCTCAACATGTTTCTAAAAAAAACAATCACTTAATTTGGCAATTCTTGCTTTTCTGACAACACTCTGAGAAAATACTTGTCTTTTAATTGTGATAATTTTTCGAAGGTGGGAATCCCTAGCTCGTATCTTTATTTTGGCAGTTGCTCCAGCTGATCCGAGAGTTCGCACAACCCAGAGGCATCCTTCAACGAATAGCTCGCACTTGCAGCCTATAGTAAGGAACAGTTGTACATTACAAAGAAGCTGGGAAGCAAAAAATAAAGCAAAACAAAGGGCAATTGAACATAGATAAGTATAAACTATGTGACTACGTTAAAATAGCAGAGCTACTTTTTGAATGAAAATGAATCGACGAGATGAGATCACTATGGCACATGCCATTTCTAGCGCTCGAGCCATGGGAACCGGGACTTGTAGATGGCTGCCTGTGGGCCGCGCCCCAACGAGTCGCGGGCCAGCGTGTTTGAGACCCCTGATCAAACACAACATAGTAAACCTCTGCGGCCAGTAAAGAAGAGTACTCCAATAAATTTAACAATATATATAAAAAAACTTTTTTTAACTAGCTTTGGTGCAAAATTTGTGCTTAGGAGCAGGATGGCACAGCAAAAGTGAATTGGCGCACCATGGCACATTTGTGCAGAGCTACCACCCCTGTGAGATGTGTCCATCAATGTGTTGACCCAGTTTTGAGACAAACCAACAACTATCAAAATTTCACCGGAGCTCCCATTTAAAGACACACTCGACTCCCAAAACCACGTTTTTAATTACAGCACATGTAAGTTACAAAATTAACTTTCTCCGAAACAAAAAAAAAAAGGAAATAGAAGCATTTTTTGGACTACTGAAATGAGTCTCACAACGTAAATATTGTGCTAAAAGCTTTTTTTCCTTTTTCAAGGAAAGTTTATTGTGTGACATAAGTGTGCCTTAATGTTTGTGGAAGCTCAGTGTCGCATTAATAAAATAAATTAGGGAAGAATTCCCTCTTGGCGATGGATAATCCACTTACTCGAATGTGCCAGAAGTCGAAAACAAAAAGAAGCGTAAGCTTCAAAAAAAAAAAAAGAAAGAAAACTGGAAAAAAAAATACACTGCTGCAGCCATTTAGCCACAATTCAGAATACTACAAGTCATCCGAAGGATCTCGCAAGAGACGGGTCCTTTGGTTCTCCATCATCAGCTTCCGTTTCATAGTCTTAGCTTAAGCTTCGCTGGCAACCTAACCACAATTGAATCTCGTCGATACGTTCTTGGTTCATTTGTTTACCCGGCTGCTACATTGAATGAAAGGAATTAGGCTTTCGCAAGCGCCCAATCATCTTTTCATTCCCCCTCAGGCATGCACGAGCACTTCTGTAGTGCTCAGTTCTACTGGTTTCTCCAGTTTCATTTTGCGATGTGGAGTTCAGAGTTCCTAATCATGCTCAGCATGTGGCATGCTGACAGCGTGTGCGCATGACACTTCCACCACTTTGCATCGGCGTGCCAGGAGCAGCGGTTGACGCGCAAGAGCATTTGAGTTTGAGTTAACTCAATGGGCTCGGAAATTTTGCCGACTCCTAAAGGGTGACCTTCTTTGGCCAGACTCCTTAGATGGATCCAAAAGAAAAAATAAAAACTGCTCATTCATGTTCACATAAATCCCTCCCGTGTGAAATAAATTGCAGTCGGAGAGGGGCTTCCTGTCTCGTCTATAGGTGCTGTAGCACCTGGGGCTGTCTGTGTACCCAGCCTGGGGAAGATACACCTGAGAGAGGAAGGAAGCTCTCACCCAAGTACAGGAGTGGATCTTCCTGGCTGCTGCGATTGGGGTCACCAACTCCAAGAATGCGGCCTTGCTCAAAAAGGTTCACTGGTTCCAGCTCTCCATTCCGGAGGTGCCAGGCACTCACAACCGGACTGTGGAGCTGAAACATGCAACACGTACCCTTCCGCTTCCTGGCCACCTACATGTCCTCAGACTGTAGCATGTTGCAGGTTTAGGATAGCAGGATAGGCCCTTCCCACAAAGCTCTCTGCTTGCCACCATTGCGAGTTTCCTCCCCTCCAGCCTTTGCTCTGCTAAAGTGGAAACAGTGGAGGGTTTGGTGGGAACAGCTTGTCTTGCTATTCTAAACCTGAAACCGATTATGGCTTGCACAAGCTTGCACTTATTTGTGCACACCAAATTGGCAGTACAGTGGTTCTACACCAATGATGTTTTGGGGGCCCCCTTTGGATGGGCGTGTGTGATGGGGGACACCATCCACAAGGAGGGAGGGGAGGATATTGGATGCTTCCAATGACAAAAAGGATAATTGAAGGAAACTAAATGCATGCAAATCAACTTTGAAGCTTTGAAATGTAGAATAATCGAACCTACTCCCATTTGACCCCCATTTGAGAACCACTGCGGTACAGTGCAATCCACTTATAACGATACCACATATAACTATATACCGCTTATAACGCTCAGTTTAGAGAGTTTCTAGACTAGAGACCAGTTTTCTCATTGTCGTTATAAGTGGATTGCATTGTAGTACATAATTGTAAATCATTCTGGTCGCTCTTTTTGATTCAGCATCCAAAGGTGGTTGAACATGTCAAACATCTTTGGAAACTATAAACTCAATATAAATGTATTAATATATTTGTATGGTACAAACTAAACAGGCAAAGGGTAAGAACTTCCATTTAGCTCACTACACAACCAGCAGAAAGCGGGCAGCCATAATTTAAACACAAAATGGACAGACCGAACCCGAAAGCTTACATTTAAATCCCTACACCAGTGATGGGGCTCAGGAGACTAGTTCAGTGAAAAAGGTAGTGAAAGAGGTAGAAAGGAAAATGTGGGAGGGAAGAATGCAAGAAAAATCAGCTGTAACAATAAACAGGTCACAAAAACTGGACATATGAAAGGAAAATGCATTTGATAATTCACGGGGAAGTTCTTTGCTGCTTGAGGCGAGAACGGGAGTGTTAAAGGGGCCCTGCAAGGACTTTGTGACCGATTTTTAATTTGCACCGAACCTGAGCGCACTGAACGTAGTAATTTAATGAAACCCTCCTTTTCTCGAATTTTGCTTCATTTTCAAAGTTATAGGCAAATTTAAATTACAAAAAACAAGCAAAAAATAACCTCCTTCATGACGTCCTTGGTTGCTTGAGCGGCCGTGAACTAAAGTGAGCTCAGCGAGCGCTCACGGCTGCCGCACTCCGTGTCGGCGGCTCGAGAGGGCGCCACTAAAGCAAGTGCTGGATAGGCTGTATGAAGCGGGCAGCCAGGGCGGCTCGCATTGCATTAGCTGCGCGATTAAACACTAACTCGGCATGACCCTTCATTGGACACAAACGACACCAAACACTGGGTAGAGATCGGTCAGAACGGGAGCCACTTCGCGCTGCCATACCGCCAAACCTGCTCGCCCGAAGCAGCCAAAGGCCTTCGGAACGCTTGGAACCGGTCGGATCCTCGACTGCAGCACCGCCACGTACATCCGGGACCTTTGTACGATCGACCCTTGTCAATGCCTGATCCCACTACCCCTTTCTAGTATGCACCGCCTTTTCCACCGCTTGGTGGCGGGTATGTCGACGGGTCATTTCTTGTTTCCATGCTTTATAAACTGCATTTGTTTCTTTTCTGATCTAAAATACTGTAAAAAAACTACTTTCATAAATAATTAAAACGGTTCGCACCACTTATATTATGTATTTTGACTAAAAAGAAAGCTTTTAGTGGCTCTGACCAGTAAGAAGGCCAGGACCAAAAACGTCACATATCGCATGCTTTCGGCATTGCAGGTCACCCCCGTAGGTGGAAGAGGTTCCTGTGTTTTCCGGTTAAAATATGACGCACTGATATTTAGTTACTCTCTCCGTGCCCGATGGCTTGTCCGAACGCAAAGAGATTTGGAAACCGCAAAAAAGGGAGACGCTTAAATGTGATTGCAGGGCCCCTTTAAGGACAAAGACGTAGTGGTATAGGGCTAAGTTTAAAGAGATACACATTATGTGTCGTATGCCATAGTGAGAGACAGACGGAACATTTGGTATGAATTGCACGGGGCATCGCCCTGTCCTCCCTGAACGGGTAACGGATTTGGCGGGGGCACTGGGTTTTGCTAGCCAGGATGAAAGAACGGATTACAGTCACAAAGAGGAGGTAGAAGATTTGTGGCAATCATCTAGGAAAAATTGAAGGACAGGTGGGACAAAGGAAAATTGAAACACCCTCGTCTGGGGGAGGAGGTGAGAGGTGATATTAGTTTTTTTTGCCTGATCCCCTTAAGATCATACTGGCGATCACCCCCACGGCCTGGTGGTAGTTACAAAAATGCATCGACTTAATAAAAAAAAAAAAAATTATATATATATATTTTTTTTTTAGTTTTAAGGTTAGCTGGTGCAAGCTACCGCTTGTTATGAAGGGTACAGCTGTTAACGTCCATATATCCATCTGTCCATGTACTGATATAGGAATGACCTATCTCGCACATAAAAGCTGCTTCTCAGTGTGCTCCCAAACAACACGAGTATTACACGTGCCAGCTGGTGTCGACTGACCCCCAAGCACAAAACCAGACTGCGACACAGACTCATCCTGTACCTGGTACACTTGCCATACCACCATCTCCAGTATTTGTGTACAAGCCAACAATAATTCCCCGTGAACTTGCAGAACATCCTATAGGTTGTTGCCAAATGGCTTGCAGCCAAACCCAGGCTGTCCAGGTGAAAGCGCTCTGCCTTGGCAGCACCAACGAGAAAGTCTCACCTCGACAGTCCATTCCATGAAACCATCGGTGGTGCCGGCCGAACGGATGACGCCTTCGGGGACCCCGACCCGAATCAGGTCCTGCTTGTCGCAGCCGCCCTCGCTCGAGCAGTTCCCAGATTCCTCTGAGGAGTAGGGAGCAGTCCCGCTGCCGCTTCCCATGCAGCTCGGCATCAGGCCCTTCAGCATCGACAGCTGGTTTTCACCCACACTGAAGTTCCACCTAGAAACGTTCCAACAATGAATTCGTTACACTGGAGGTCTGGGCAAGTTGGTGATTCACTTGAGGCAGCAAGAGCGCAAACAAGACGAGGACAGCAGAGGAGACACATGGAAAAACAAAAAAAGGGTGCCGACTTCCAACTCACCTGCATTTCGGAGCATCTTTCTGCGTCTCCTCCACTGTCCCGTATTTTGCGCTGTTGCTGCCTTCACATAAATTTCTGCCCTGCCTTTTATGCTCTCTGCCATAGAACAGCCGAGAACCTCCTGTCCCCCCTTTCTGCCAGCATTTGGAAACAGCCTTGCAAAAATGTGGGACTAGGTCCCAGAAACAAGTGTTACAAAGTTGCTGGAAATCTACTCGCATACATTTCTAAAATGTGCAAGTCTTTCTTGACAGACGGTAATCCCAAGAAGTGTGAATGAGCAACAAACTAGCAGCAAGTTCAATTCTTGAATGCTTAACTGGCAAAACTTCCACTATAGAACTTACAAGACCACAAAAGAATGAAAAAAAAAAAAAAAAAACACTCTGGAAGACCATAAAACATGGCCCTCCAAGGTTCTAGCATTCACTTGTCTCAATAATCTACACCAGGGGTTCTCAAACTGGGTTCCGGAGAACACAGGGGTTCCACGAGCTGGTCTCATGGGTTCCGTGAACGCCCAAATTGCAACCCCCCCCCCCCCCCCCCTCCCCCAATGCCGCAGGCTGCGCCGCAGGGCCATGCAAAGCACCTTGATCTCACTTTGTACTGACATTGCGATTGATATGGTGAGGATATATGGGAAGCAACACAAGCAAACTTGTCTACAATTGTGCATCTGTTGCTTCTCGGTTGGCAGATATGGAGGGGTGGGGGGGGAAGGGGGGGTTCCGCAGCAGTTTTTGAGGCTTCCTGGGGTTCCGTGAGGCCAAAAAGTTTGAGAACCCCTGATCTACACCAAGCATTTTCATTATGCAGTGCTCAAAGAACATCTATTACAAAAAAAAAGTTATTTTTTTTTTTTTTAATTTAATGATGAGACATCATCTAATTCACATAGCACTACAGAGTAGTAGTGTAGATATTTACCGAGAAAAGCAAGCAAAGTCACATCGAAACTAAAGGGCTGGCATGAGAATGTCATTGCAGTGACGACTTTTGGAGTTGCTTGGGTAGTTCCACTCTCTGCGGCTACATGCTCAAGTTTCCACTGCATCAAACAAATATTTTCAGTGTTTCGGTGCTGGAGCAATTATTACACAGATGCCTTCTACTATTTTTTTTATTAATTAAGATGTGCCTCAGACGTCTCATTACTTCTAAAATATTCCGAATTCCGTGTCATCACCGCGTATGAATGAGAAAAAAAGGAAGAGGGAAGCTAAGAATGGTTCTCAACTAACATGCTTTGTCTAAAAAAAAAAAGATTTTGAGTTAAATTTTCTTTTCTTTGTACTCCTAGGTCGTGTTTTAGCAAAAACATTGGTGGCATAGATGCCTCATCAAAGGCCCCTTACAGGGGCACTACAGTGGCTTCTGAGATCATCTATTTATGATCATAACTCAATCTACAGGCAATAATTCTAAAACACCCTTTTAACAGATGTGGGATAGACAAAACTATACTCTGTTTCACACTTAGCGTACAACGCTGTCAAAGCTACTGGCGCGAGCATGAGGCTTGATATCGTTGATCATTTGCACGCGTGCTTGTGCGAACGAAACAATAGACAAAGCCACGCGCTCGCGCCAGTAGCTTTGATAGCGTTGCATATTAAGTATGAAACGGAGTATAGTTTTTGAGCAATTTTTTGAGCAGAAAAATTCACATTTTGGAGCAGCTTAGGAGTAGAAAACCTACATTTTGGAGCAACTTAGGAACAGAAAAACCTTTTTGGAGCACTATAGATAAAATACCATATTTTGGAGCACCCAACTTTGACATTTTTTTAAGAAATGAACTTAGCCAGCTGTACCATGTGTTACAATTCAAGCAAATTAGGTTTGTCAAGCGTTGGAAAGTAGTGAATAGAACTTAACTGTGAAATGTCAGAAATTGCACACAGAAATATGTTTAATTTTAGGAAAAAATTTAGATTAAAAATGAAGGGGCATGACTTGAAAACATTAACGCTACATTCATACATTCTATGATGTATGACGCAACAGTACAATGGCTAGGATGTATGATACATCAATCCATCAGATGGATGGATGGGCAGATATGGCTGAAACAGAGCCGCATATGTAGAGTTTGGCCATTCGTTGGGAAGTATAGGAGACAAATGAGGAAGCGTCATTGGCCGAAAGCGGGCTAGGCGTGTTCCTGGGCGTCTTCAGAAATTCGAATGTGACCAACCAGAAGCCGGAAATAATACCCTGGCGGTGGTCGCGAGAAACAAACCTGATAACTGCATTCGAGTAACTCTCGATGGCTGAAAATATGGTACACGTGATGTTTCAATCACGCTCATCCGAAATGATGGTGGAAGAGTGCGACTAGCGGAACGATCGACATAATCCGTACGTCAAGCGCCTAGGGGTGGGAATCTGCCGTCCGAGCAGTCACACACTGTCCGCGCAAAACAGAGTAAGCGGCGCATTTGTTTCTTACATCTTTCTGCATGATCATGATCAAAACAACACGTGCACCCTATTTTCAACCACAAAGAGTTACTCCATTTCACTCTTACCCACTTATTAAAACCATATACGAACATAAACTTTTGATCAGAACTGTTTCTCGCTACCACTGCTAGGGGATTCTTTTCGGCTTCTGGTTGGTCAAGAGAGCATGCCAAGGCCTCTTTCCGAGTCTGCCGCACGCCCTAGCTCTGCCCGCGCCTCCCATTGACCAAACTCTCTACATATACGGCTTTGGGCTGAAAGAAAGAATCGGGCAGCGGATTACGTCACCTGGATGGATGGATGGATGGTAATGGCTATACCCTTTGTAACGGGTGGCAGCTTGCGCCACCTGGCCTAACATTTCGTCATCCTTTTTTTTCTTTAACTTGTATAAATTTTGTTTTAACACAGCCTTCCCCCCTTTTCCCTTTAAAATGTTTCGATTGCTTATTTTTACCTGTATTTTTATCCCTACCTAGATCTTTTCCACCAAACTTCCAATCTCCTCTTAGTTACCGCAATTCTTTCCCTATCCATTCGTCTATCCCTGTCTGCGAATCCCCAGTGCCTTTCCAAATCTGTAGTCAACCCCACCTCCCCAAGAAGGTTCGACGAAGCCCCGTGCAGCTTAAAATTACATGTTCTATAGTTTCCCTTTCGCGTTTCAATATGTCACATAGAGTGTCTATTTCCCTATATGTTTTCGTTCTTAGCACCCCCATTCTAGCTTTAAACAGCAATGAGCTCCCCAATGAATTATCGTACAACTGTTCCTTCGTTATTTCTTGTTTTTGTGCCCAGTATATTGTTGAAGCTAATTTCCCCTGCATTCTCTCTTCCCAAAATTCTCTCTCAATTTCCTCTACTCTCTTTTCCACTGATATGCTCCGATAGGCCCCATCTCGTTCAATGTATTTAGATCTCAGCTTCTGGGTTCCATTTGTCCACTTAGTGTTTATACTTTTCATTAATAGATACTTGTACACTTTGCTTGCCCACCATGTATCCTCAATTTCAGCTAGTCTTTGTTCAAATTTTACTTAAAGGGCAACTCTGCTTCATTTTTGGTTTTGAAAAAACAATGCAGTCTTCTTCAGTATCGCCTAGGAAGACCACACATCAAATATTACGATGCAGTTCTGTCCAAATGTTTCTTAAATGGTCCGGCAAACTTTGCAACTCGCCAAGCTGCCGAAATCGGCTTACTCGAGCGGGCGAATTCAGGCGCAACCGACAGCGCAGTCAAGGCTACGGCATGGGCAGAGCTAACATTGAGCTAAACGTCATCATCATGGCCCCCTTTTGCTTTTTACTTCTCCGATCGAGCGTAGCGCATGACGTCAGCAAAGTTGCCTCTCGGCGCTCAGCGGTGTCCACGTGATTGGCGTACGCGCCTGCGCAGCGCGCTTCTTGGGAGCAGACCAACCGCCCGCCGTGGTCCCGCCGTTACCGCCGCCTTCCGCATCACAACCGCCGTCTTCCGCGTCACAACCACTGTCGTCGTCTCACTGTTTGTGATTATTATTGCCTCTCGGAGTTTCGTCCACACTATGGACACCACGTGCGCAGAGTCTCAGACTTATGTCGCAGTTGTGCAGACGCCGTCGAATGCCGTAGACACCAAAACGTGGCGAAGAGTGCGGTGCAGACGACACTCGCGCCTGCCGCACGCCCGCCCCCATCCCGCCCGTCGTTGGGCCGAGGATCACGTGACATCTCGTAGCACGTGATGGCCATGTACTTGGCGGCCTGAGGCCAATGTTGCCGGACGGAGCCGAAGTTTCGGTTTCGATTTCCGCTCATGTTTAAAACTAGATTTAAAAATATATATCCCATTTTTCGCGAAGCAAACGACATAGTGTCTTTTACTACGGCTTTTTAATTTGAAATCACTCATTATCCCGAAATATTCGGAACTTTAACTGACTGCTCTCCACTCTTGAAAGATGCCTAACCCATATCCCCCTGTACTCCCTCACTTGGTGTATTCTCATGTGCCCCCAATGCCAACCTACCGACACTCCTTTGCTGTATCTCTAAACCTGCCTGGATTTCTGACCTCATACACAATTCATAAAAAGCAGGAGAGACAATGGGCAACCCTGTCTAAGTCCTCTTTTTATTGATGCTGGTCTTGTAGTTTCGGCTTTCCATGTTATAACCCCCCTATTCTCCGTATAAACCTGTTCTAGAAACTTAACCATGGATCCCTCTAGCCCATATCCCTGCAGTTGGTTCAAGAGTCTTTCCCGATTCACATTGTCATATGCCCATTTGATGTCCGTAAATGCTATCCATAATGGCCTTTGACTTGTAATTGCTATCTCTATGCACTGGGTGATTACAAATGAGTTGTCATCTAGTCGTCTATCCCTTCTAAAACCGTTTTGAAACTCCCCCAGAATCTGCTTTCTCTCTGCCCATTCTCCATTCTTCTTTTTACAATTTCCACAGCCAGTTACTGTGATTGGTCAGTATGATTTGATACTGTCTTTGGCTCCCTTGCCCCTATATAATAATCTCATCCTGCTCAATTTCCAGTCACTGGGTACCTCCCCTCTCATAATTATGTGGTCAATCACCTGCCTTTGTTTCAATTTGCTTATTTTGCCTAAAACTTTTATCAGTCTCATTGATATGCCATCTGGACCTGTCCCTGTTCCAGCCGGAAACTTCCCTTCTGCTTTTTCCCATTCCCCTGTGGTCATTTCCTCTTCTTTACTATGATCCTCCTCTTGTGTTGTGTATACACTACCATTCCCTACGGCCTGATCTGGTTCTAACTCCGAAAATGCTGCTTCAATTGTATGTCTAATGTATTCTCTTGCCTCTTCCCCCTCCACCTTTGTCCCTTCCTGTGTGGTTAGTGTATGCTGGTACCAGCCTTTTTCCCTGTGCACCGATGTGTTCCCAGATCCTTTTTGCCGCATTCCTATCTTTCTGGTTTACCTCCATCATCCACTGGACCCCTGCCCTCCCAATTTTGGCCTGTATTGTATTGACAACCTTGGCAATGAAATAGCCAAGGTTGTCAACCAAACTTTAACTTCTAGTGTGCCCGTGATTTTTGGTGCAGCTTGGCGCAATTTCGGTCGACTTCACGCTTTTAGAGCCACTAGGAACAGGAAATCGAGGATGTATCAAAATAGCGCAATTGGCGCAGCAATCTCACTACTGCTATTAAAAAAATGACCACATCTCCACGTGGTGAATGATGTTGATTGGGGCGAAGATCTGGTGGTGCGTAGACGCTCAGCCGCAGCATGCCGAGCTTTTCGTTCGTTTTCATCCATGTCAGAAAGAGAATGTGTGGTATGGAACGTGGTCATATACGCATTTGAGCATTTGACGCAGCGCCCTCTCGTCTATAAACGTTGAGCCAATGCATGCAAAGTTTAACGCGATTATATACGCATTTGACCGCAGCGCCCTCTCCTGTATAGACGTTGAGCGGCTACATGCAACGTTTCATCCATGACATCCCCAGCTCTTGAGTTACTACCATATCTCAGAGCCCCCTACTCGTCCCACAGTCGTGGCCGAGTTGTTAAGGCGATGGACTAGAAATTCATTGGGGTCTCCCTGCACAGGTTCGAATCCTGTTGACTCCGCAAACATTTTTTCTTTTTTTAAGAAGACAGACAGGATGGCAATCGATGCGAGCACGGACGCCGGACAAGGCTAGACCCTAAGGAGCTTCGCCCCTAAAACAAGATCGATAATCGCGACAAGCCCAGTTTTCTGCGATTCGGAGCAGAAACCATAGGGCAACATCACACATGCAACAGTTGATCACGAGCGATTGTTTCCCGTGTATGAATCACACATTCAAAAATCAGTCCGCCGTTGGTTGGCAGACCGATTTTGGATTATACAATTTGCTGTGGGGAAAGCGATCACTCACGACTGACTGTCGCACGTCGAATGGCACCCTCAGGTTTCAGCGCCGAACCGCAAAACATCGGGCACGTCGCTACTTCCGACTTTGATTTTAAAGGGGAAATCAGATGCGTAACACCCTTACCTTTTTTTTTTTTTTTTCTTTTTCAGAATGTTTAGAGCTTGTAGACAGAGTTGTGATCATAAACAGACAATCTCAGAAATTGCTTTAATACCAGTCTAAAAAAAAAAAAAAAATTTTGTATACTCCAAAGCCAGGATCTTCTCCGTAACAAGAAACACCTAGAACCGTGCCCACCTTTCTTGGCCACTCCGTGGTTCCACAGCCCTGACCGTTTGGGTGTCCCGCTTGACCACCAGGACGTCCTCCGCTCCGTAGTCTTCTTCGTCCTTCGTCTGGTTGCAGCCGCTCATCGTGCACACGTATCGCAGCTGCACAAAACATGCCCGTGTTAGGCAAGCCCTTCCACAATCCTGAATTACAGCCCAAAACTAGGCTCGTTTGATTTGCCTGCACTAGTGTGCAGTGGCATAGAAAGTGCACACCTCGTGTGAAGCAGTCCACTCCTAGTGTTCTAAGTAGAGATGCCGCAAACCTCCCGAGGTTTGAGTCACAAAGGTTTCTTGACTTTGAAACCTGGTTAAGGTTCAAATTCGAAAAGTTCCAACATTTGAACCCTGCTGAGAATCCAATTAGAAAAGTTAGACGACGTCAAGGTTTTTAAAGGTTTGGGATTGAAAATTTTGAATTAGTTTAAAAATGAAGTTTGAAAAATTCAAAGATTTCTAATTGCTTTGAGATTCAAGCCCTAAAAATTTGAAGATTTGAATGTCTTTAAAGTCCCAGCTAAAACAAAATTGAAAATTTTGAATTAAAGTTTGACTTTCAGTGACGGACATCGGACTCAGCTGTTTCAAATAAGGTTTTCGCAGATCTATCTAAAAAAAAATTGAAAAATGAGCCAAATTTTCCTGAAAACATTGCACATTTCTTTTATGCGATAAGGCTCCTACCTTCTCAGATACCATCTGTTATTTATCATAACGCAGTGATAGGAGTGGCATTCAACTTTTTGGAGCAGGTTCTGTAGCAGGCAAAACACTGGCTCAGAAGAGCCACCGACACTTTTGGAACTGATGCCATATTACTGGGAAAAAAAAAAGATATACTTTGAGTGTATCGTTAAAGAAGCTGTGCAACAATTTCAGTGCTTTGCTCATATAATTGAAGGAGTTGATGTCTCGACCCTTCTGAAGCCGCTTTCGCCTGCATGTCCTAGTTTTTATCTTAAAAAATGACAAAGATTGAGGTTTTTGGCGCCTTTCAACTCCTTCACCATCTACCGAGTCACGTGCACTGCAACGTGAAAGGGGGACACGCGGGGTTTTGGTGAAGCCCTCTCTCTCTAGCGCCATCAGTGAGAACTAGTGATGAACTGAATCAGCCGAACTTCAGATTCGGCAAAGTTCGGCAAATGCCAAACTTTTGAAGGAAAGTTTGGCAAAGATTCGGCAAATGTCTGCGCATGCGCAAGAACGCGACGAGACCATGGATTGCAAATGGACGCCGTGCAGTTACCATCGTACAGTGTAGTACAACCAGCAGTTACGGCGAGGTGTGGAGTAGGCAACACGGCAACTGTCCATTTGTGAGCGAGTGTTGCTCTCTTCAATACTTTCTGCCTCAAGAACAAAAGATTGACCACTAATTTACACAGTCCACTGCGCAAGTGGCAAATGATGCGGTAATTTCTGGATAACGTGATTTCCATTTGACCTTTCCAGTGATGCAACGAAGTAGTTGAAGCATTGACTAACAATTACTTTGAAGCACTCCTTACAATTATAACAATCCTGTTTTCGGCTCAGAAGTAGTTTGTGCCAAAACAAAATATTGCTTTTTCAATTAGCATTATTTCGCGATTTTTATGTATCTGCATAAAACTAAAGACAGAACTATCATGCTAGACGTTGCATATCCGACCATTCCTAACTCTTACCATCTTCCTAAACGTCCGTTTGTGTCCTCACACCAGAAACTGGCCTTTTAAACGTTAAAAATGAGACGTTGCAAATATGGGACGCACACTTTCATGCCAAACTGACGTCAAGTGACTCAAATCGAAAAATATGCATATTTACATTAATATTGTTATCTCCTCTAGTGAAGGCTCAGCAACCATTGCAGCATTCGTTTTCATGCACGAAACGATGACTCTTAGAGAAAGTAAGAATGCAGTGTTAATGCCTTTATCTTAACAATGTACAAACACCTGCAGGCTTGCACTGATGAGGCCTCAAAACCGAAACTCTCGTAGCGTGATTCTTGACTGCACCCGCTATTGCCAAACCTCGTTGTCACGCCACTTCTGCAAGCAGTCACTAAAAGTGCCAGTAAACACACAATAACGACACCGATACAATTATCTTGTAGAATATCACCTTACTTACTAATAACTGTGTCAATATGCATTACATGTTGCATTTAAGTTGCAAAAAAAAAAGAAAACAACCTTTTTTTCGCCCCCCAATCTGTGCCGAACCTTTAGAAAAGTTCGCCAAGAGTTTGGGTTAGCCGAATCCAAAGGTTCGGCACCGAATTTTCGGTTCAGCACCGAATTTTCGATTCGGCAAAAGTTTGGCCCATCACTAATAAAAACGCGTCCGCTCGCAACCACGTGACCATGCGGTCCTGTGGTTGCCCCCGGTCGGCATTGTCACTATTCGCAGCGGCATTCCAAGTCGAGACACCGGAAAACAGAAGGAGAAAAAAGCCAACATGCTCGTCCAGGTACGGCTGTCCGGCATCTGGCAGCTTCTCGCGGTAGCAGATAGAGCTGACAATTTCGTTAACCTCGGGTAGATGGCGCCACTGAAACTCTGTATAATAAATAATTTTGGTGATGATACCAGGTTGTTGACGCATTTATATTTATGTTGGAACGACAAGATTTATAAAAAAATCACCTTTTATCGAGCAGGTAGTTGCACAACTCGTTATTTTTTTTTTACTCCCTTTGACATCACACCGCGTGGTTCTCATGGCCGCCACTCGCAGCTGCAGATTGAAAAATATTCAAATTTTTTCCTCGCGATTGCGTAGCGGAGTCGCAACATTTCGAAGGAAGGCGATGTGTTTCCTGTCCTTTGTGACAAGGTAAACAATGTCAAAACTACAAGACGCATTGTCTTTCAACGTTAAAATCGTTGCACAGCTCCTTTAAATGAGTTAACTGTCTAAGGGCTCCTCTTTGATACTGCAGCATATTACCTACTATTACCTTTTATAACAAGAGTAGGAAGGGCCCAAAGGAAAACAGAGCTCGACAAAAACCCCGAGAGTGCAAGAAAAATAATACATACTAATAGGTCCTTTTAACATGGGTGTCATTTTTTTTCTTTTTAGTGTGTCATTTCTACACGCAGTCTCTGGGTTTTTTTAATGCCTAACATTCACCAGTTTGTTTGCGCCCTTATGTTCAGTTCATTAAAGAGAATCTGATATGCCCCAGAATTTTATTTTATTTTTTGCCAGGTGATTTAATATGGTGTCAGAAGATTACCCAATTAATATTTCGCTAGTCCCGCACATTTTTAATAAAGCAAAAAATGCAGCTGCTTAAAACCGAAACCTGCGCACAGAGGTCGGAGAAATATAGAGGAGGAGAGAGTGCCGGAAGTCACGTGGCTACACCCAACCGCGTGCTTTTTTTTTCCCCTCAGTTTTTTTTTTGGGGGGGCCGTGCGCAGCAGACGAAATGCTTTGTGGAAACTGTTTACCGTGCCATTTCTTTGCAGTTATGTTTGTTCCGCTCACTGTTCTGCCCTTCAAGACTAATTGTTTGGTACATTGAAGAGTTGGAAATGAGTAGTGAGTGCCGGTGGTGAATGCCAGTGATCGGCATCCGAAATGTATGCCCCCAAGATGTTGCCTGAAGAGCTGCCCTCACAGGTTCCGCATCCCAAAGTGGCATTGTGCGGCAGAGTCTGCACAAGTTTCCAAAAGATCAACGGGATCAGGACCAATGGCTGGCTGTGATTCCTTCAGATAAGTTACGGGCACCTTGGAAAGCTCCACGCAAAATACGCTTCTCGTATTTTGTGGAAAGTTACTACATCGAGTTCGCAGGAGTCAAAAAGGGAATCCCGTACCATTTAGTTCAGCAACGCTTCGTTTACAACATTTGGTTTTTTTCAGTGATAATTGTAAAAAAATAAATGTGTGCCAACGTATTAATTAACTGTACATGAAGCGGACACCTTTCCACTGAGCTAGTGGGGGAACTCTTTCGTTTGTACGAACGCAGCCGGTCGACTGTAGGTCGGAAAGTTTGCTGCCGATTTCCCCACAGCAAAGGCATTCCCTAGGATCGAAGTCGGGCAGCACCCCGCATTATAGCCACATTTACACCTATTAAAGAAAATCGTACGCGTGCATGTTCAAACCAAAGTACACATTTCATGCTTGACATTTGCGCGGTCGATGTCTTCAGCCATGAGAAGGGGCGACGGCTCAGCGATGTCTTCGTGCAAATCGGCTTGTTTGTCGGGCGTGTCATACAGAATGAACCCCAATTTTTTTTTTAACGGTCCAAAATTTCTCTTTCAAAGCAAGATAGATTCATCGGTACCGCGAATGACAGTTCGGAAGTAGAGGTTCCACACCTGTCATCTGCTGCCATCGCCGTCCAGCCCGAGAGTCCCACGATACTCGATACAACGTTATGTTGAGAATTATACAATGAACGCACAAAATGCTTCCGGTTCTCAGTGGAGCATTTTTTTTTTTTTTTTTTTTTTTTAAGTCAACGTATTTGCAGCTTTTTTGAAGCCACAAAAAATGGGTTTCACATTTTTTTCTATTTTTAATATTTAGTATGTGCCTTCAATGACCCACGACTTTGATTAAATTTGTTGTTTGTGTCTAAACCTTAGAAAACGGCCCGTGACCACAGAGAAGAGAGTGAGCGCGATTCAAACCGGCCAGTTCTCAATCAGCGGTTTTTGGGCGGAAAGAAACCGAATTTTGAGCCGCAAATTCTGTTCTGGGTAGTTGGGCTCTCTTATGTCATGCACAACTAAAAACCTCGGCGAGCATAAATATCCTGTCAGTGCACAGCTTTCTTTTTTAGAAATAAGGCTCTGGTCAGAGTAGGTTCCAGTTACAATGGATTTACAAAAAATGGTTGAAAAATGAATCATAGAGCAACACTTCAGTTGGGATAACGCTTCACTTCCTTCCCCTTTTACACTCGGTAGCTTCTTTAGCCCAAAATACAATTTCTCTGAAATGCCATAAAAAACGAGCATATCCGCTATTCCTCGGCACAGCTTTTTAATATTAGAGGTTAATTTACAGCAAGATCCAGGAACGTAAACAAGTAATAGTATTGAGCATAATTTCCGAGCCTATCTCACTAACCCAGGCGCTCCTCCGTTTCAGCCGCCGCTCCTAGCAGCGATTGGCTTTTCGGAGGTGGAATGGGGGACAGCGAGGTCTGGGCTGCCGGCCGTGCGCCGCGAAGCGGCACATACGGGTGGGTCAGGCGAGTTAATATTTTTTTTAATGAGTCATCCGCAAACTGTCGCCGCGAAGCGGCGTGAACGCAGGCTGGGAGTATGTTAACACGCAACCCAGCGATACACCCACTGTCCCCCATTGTGCCTCCAAAAAGCCCGACCCCTCGTAACGCTCAGATACAAAGCGGTGACGCTAGACGCGCACGCTCTTGTCAGAGGCGGCCAACGTTGATGCTAGCCAACCTTCAGCGGCTACAGAGTACCGCGGCCCAAGCTCCACGCTATACTCTGTAGCCATGGCACGGAGGCATGTGGCAGACATGACAATCAAGTGATCTCATCGGGAGCAGTGGCGTAGCTAGGAGGGGGGGCTTGTGGGCCTTCAGTTCTCTGAAATGCAGCCAACCCTACAAGATACGCATCATTTTGAACCCCCTCCACTCCTCCGCACTTGAAGTCATGGACATCCAAGCCAGACATCCGATGCCGATACGCGTGTGCCAACATATATGTGGAAATGTCATGTTTCGAAAGCATTCGGCGATTTGCATATTCCCACGACGGCGTGGCTTACTTACTTCAAGAGGTTGCGGCCTGCAAAAGGAAATTACTGATCTCTTTTTGAAAATGAGGTAAGGTGAAAATAAAATGTTAACAACACCGCACTCAAATTTGACTTCGTATTTATTTCTTTGAGGGCTTTATCCTTCTACAGCCCAGCAGATTAGGTTAGAATTTTAGAAGTTCCACATGTTTTCATTCAGCGGGTTCGAGCACCGAAGTCATAATTGTTTTTCTGATCATTTGGATTATACATCTTGAGGGTCACACAATATTTTTGTGCAATCTCCTGAAAGTCGTATAATCCAGGTTCCACTGTAGCTGTGCAACAGTGCAGGAGATACACCGTAAATGAATGTGCCTACATTTTTGAAGATCAACGAGTCTGCCGTCGCCACACAACGAGTTGTCCCCTCCCCTCGTTAAATTCACAGCTTTCAATTCTTTGCCCTGCCCCTTGCCTGTATATAATCTAATACCAAAACACAGCAGAACCTCATTGATATGGTCCGGTTTATACATTTCCTCGGCTATTACATTCACAAATTCCAGCCCCTTTGAACACCCATAGGGATGGTATTATATTCCAGTTTGTTGCAAATGCCTTCTCGACATTTACGTCCAGAAACTGGCATTCAACGCGGCTGCTTTGTGTGTTTTGATCCACTCCCCCTCTCCTTCACCTCTCTGCATAGTGCTTCTTGCATTATTCTCCCCGGGCAGGCATAGCCTTGAACTAGCTAGGCATAGAAGGGCTTGATTTCATAGCAGCCCATTCTTCTTCCCGTCTCGATCTCCAGCACACGTGCTCCTGCCATGCTCGGTGGCTCGGTTCTCCCAGTTCCACCACTAGTTTCATTTCGCGTGGAATTCAAAATTCTTAACTGTACTGTGCATGTGTCGTGAACATACCATGTGTGCGTCAAGCTTCCCCATTTTGCACCGACCCACACCTCAAGCTCCACTGCTTTGCACCAGCATGCCAAGAGCAGCGGCTCAAGCTGGAGAGCGTCTGGGTTAGCTCGACGGGCTAGGAAACTTTGCTCATTATTGCAGGTTAACATTTACCATATAGCTACCCCTAATTTTCAATAACAGTGCCTAAAAAAAGTCAACCAGTATTTGAATAAACATGGTAGTTCTCCATAGCTGTGAGAGTCCACATGAAATAAAATGCTCCGTGAAAGTTGATCCCCGTCTCGTCTATAAGCCCCCAAGAATGTTATTGTCCATTACTTCTTTTTACAGCGGGTCAAATGTACTGTCATTTATTACGTAATGATGTGACCAGCACTGCATGGATGATGGAGTGTCCTGCAAACACTTGAGGATAAAAGGAGACCTGCCTGTCCCGTGTGCAGGTTGATTCCGTAAGAGCGAGCCTCCTTGCCGCCAGTGATGACCAGGTCGTCACCAAGCTTGAAGGAGCTCTTGAGCAGGAAGTCCGCAGTCAGTGGCAGGGGTTCCACAGTCTCTCCGTTGAACTTGTACAGGGACCCATCTAGGGACGGTATCAGCCGCACCCTCTGGCCTCGATTACGCATCTGTGCAACAAGCAGCAATAAAACTACATTCTTAGCACACTATGCATACTGTGCAGGAACATGAATGTTAACGTGCATATGAGGATGTGTTCATCAAAAACACACCTGTTTCTAGCACTGTCTCGATGCACTTCAAAATTTTGAATACTCAATTAAAGTGAAATTTTCTATGCAAGTCAGCTATTACGATTAAAAAAACTGACTCATGTGCTGCCTGCCCTGTCAAGAATGCCTGAAATGTTGGTTTGAAGTTTTGCCTGCAGCTACAGGCCATACCTCAATGAAGCCACATTTGGAAATTTACACTTCCTACAAAAAATGTACAAAAAAAAAAAGTAAGTAGAAATGAGCGCGCCGACAACTAGCATCGTCACGGCCTCCATGTGGCAAAGAGGGCAAGTTGGGGGAAAATTCTGCCCTCGGTGTGACATCACCCCGGTTCGCCTTAAGGGGGCGCGACGCGAATTTCTCGGGCCTAATACAGATTGAAGTAGGAGTTTTAGCAGGCATTAAAAAGTTATATACACCTACCTTTTATATAAACTATGTGCATGCAGGTTCAGCAGGGAGCTTCTGAACCTTTATTACCAATGTATGGTGTTGCCACAACAATTTTTATCCACTGATTACACTCACTTTAAGCCAAGTTTTCAAAATGCATCGTACACAGGGCGTTTCTCAAGATGTGGGCCAAATCGCTTCTGCGAAAAGTATGCATCGCATGGAAAAAAGATTAATGTCGTGTTGGTCTCTGCCAAAGGGCCCATTTGGAAAATTACAACGTTCCATATACTTAATTTATTAATTACTTTCGAGTAACTAACCTTTCAATTAGCAAGCTTTACGGTATCCTATCAAAGTGCATACTTGCGTTGGCGGCCCTACCTTCCCCCTTTCCGGGGCCAAGGCCCGCAGCAACCACCTCACCTCCCTCGTAGGAAGAAAGGAAGTGTGGCGCACCCATGTTGCGCGCCTCGGCCACAAGGAGGAAGGACTGCTGGCATAAAGACGAGCTCCGGTAGGAAAGCAAAACCTAAAAATGCGTACAAAGTGTGTGCATGTTTTGCTTTTTTTTTTTTTTGGAACACCGCAAAAATGTTGTATCTACTAGAGCTCTGCAAAAGCATACTTTTCGAGGCCCGGCCTGGCCCAGACCTGCTGACTCTCAGTCTTACCCAACCAGAGCCCGGTCTGGTGGGTTGCCCATCTCACCAAACCCACCCGGCTGGAGGCGCCGCGACTGTGGAAGATGGACCATCTCCTAAGTCTGACGCCGTCTTTGTAAAGCATTGGTGCACTTGATTTACTCAGCGACCTTTATGTCCAAAATTAAATGATGCATTGAGTGCAGTACTCGGGGAGCAATTGTTTCAATTCGTTGAGAACACATCAAAGAGTTGTTTTTGGAGTGAAGACCCTATATCTTTTAAAAGGCTCCCCACTCCATTTAGCCAGGAAATTAAATTTGTGTGTATGTCCATAGACATTAATTTCCCTGTCAATTTAGTGGGAAAACTGAAAACGTATACAGATATAAGTTATGTGATGTCAATTCCCCTGCTAAATTTAGTGGGGAAGCTGGAGTGGCGATTTAAACCATGGGACGACAATTTCCCCACTAAGTTTAATGGAGAAACCGAATTGCTGTACAGGTCACGCGACGTCAATTTCCCTGTCAAATTTAGCGGGGAATTTCACGGATGGAGAGACGGGTTCTGTTAAAAAGCATTTTATGCTTTGGAAACTGGTGCTGCTGCATTCGTCGGTCTCTAAATTAAACAAATGCTGAGTGCACAATATCCCACCTTTAGCTTGAGAAACATCTTATTGAGCTCTGTGCTTACTAGTTATGTGGGTCTTGTTTCAGTCAGTTAGGAGGGTAAACATGTTGAATCCCACTACCGAGATGAAAAAAAAAAAGAGATAGTATTTAACGTACTATTTTCATAAGCTAACATCAGTGCAAGTGCATCCCACCCGAGTGCCCAGCTCAGGCCCGGCCCGGAACTGAAGACAAAGCATGCTAACCGGCACGACCCAGCCTGCAGGCCGGGCTTCTGAAATGGCCCAGGCCCGGGCAGGGCTCCCTAGTATATACCTTACATCTTTCTAAAACGAGTTGATTTACGGGTTTTCAATGATGCCCAGAAAGTTTCTAATTGAAACCGTACCTTTCAATTTACTAATTAAAAAGTTAATTACTCAAAATGATTAATTAATTATACCAAACATTAATTTTCCCAAATGGGTCCTTTGGCAGAGACCAATATGACATTAGCCTTTTCTTCTGTGTGATATGTACTTTTCACGATTTGGCCCGCGTTTCGAGAAACTGCTTGTATGTTAAAACTCTGCTTTAAATTACCTTTTATATCATTACTTCAACAGTTATAGAACTGCTACGTAATTGGTATGAGTACAAAGATTACATGATTGTGTTTACCATTATTGTATAGGTGAAACAAGTCTAAGTAACTTTGAAAGCTTTTTAAAATGTAATAGAGGATATGCGAAATATACAGCGCTACGTAGTATTGTGCCGAGACCTTTGTCTGCCATCTTGGTAGCGGCGAGAAAACTAAACCAGTGACCGGACCGGTGAAGAACCTATGTAAACAAGTGGCAACACCTTGTGGGATAGGTTCGATGCCAATGCATAGCTACATTCAGCTGTGCAAGTAGTGAAGGATTATAGAATACTGCAGGAACAAGGTATGCACGTAAACAAAGTTAACATTGTTTTTTTTTTTTTTCATTTTATTTGTTACTTTACACGCAGCTTTTGACAATAACCAACGTTAAGAACGCGAAGAAACATGCAAACATTCTCAAACAGCGCGAACCCATTCACAAATACTGAACTGGGTCCTAACCCTTTAACACACGTTTACTGGATTCGTTTCCGAATTTTATCTTTTTCTTCTGGTGCATGCTGTAGTGCCGGCCTGCTCTTTGCTTTATGCGAAAGCAGCTCAACATATCTGAACGAGACCAAGGCTGTCAAGTGAAGCAAGAAGTTGGTACAGCTTTCCAAATCTATGTCACCAATCAGAAATCAGGACACACATGGTTAACAGTGAATAACAAAAGCTGAAAACACCTAAGTCCTGCATTTAAATTTCATACATAAAACAAAACAAAAAATTATTTAGGACAGTCAGAAAACAATTTCAATGCATAACAGCGATTTCGATACATTTTATCTGGTGTCGATAAACAAGGTTTGTGAAAGAGCCTTTCTAAAATTAAGCAGGAGAGTTTTTTTATCAAATATTCTTGAAGATTCAGAATGCGAGTATGATGGAAAGCATAACAGACATGCGGGACATGCATTTGCTCTCAATTCACAGAGATGGGATTCTGCTGTCAGTTTTGTCAAACGCCACATTTGATTACATCACTCGCTTAGGTTCACTGCATTTACTAAACATTCAATGTCGGCAACTGTGGCTATCAAGTGGAGCAACACCGGTGATGCCAACTTCACTTCCCAACCTCTACTTTTAGGGTGCAGCTCTTAGGCGTCTATTCCCACATATAACGGCGTCGGCGTTGCCGTCAGCATCAACGTAACCTCTATATGCAGGAATGGGCACCCAAGAATCTCGTAATGCAACACTGTGCATGTGGCATTATGGGACGTCACAGGGCACGGCTTCATGAAATGCGGCTGGACGCTTCTCGCCGCCCCCAAACAAGACTCCCACTGTACCCTCCTCCTCCTCTCTTGGCTACCTTCTCGGCGTAACCACGGCCGCCAATCAGGGCCTCTCGCTGCCCCCCAAATAGGGCACCTACCATAACCTCCTCCTCCTCTCTTGGCTACTCTCTCAGCGTAACCACGGCAGCCAATCAGGGCCTCTCGTCGTTTCCAAAGACGGTGCACACCGTACCCTTCTCCTCTTCTCGCCTGCCCTCACACAAAAAACAAAAAATAAATTTAAATATATAATTCTTTACCATGACACTATATCGAAACATCAAAATACCTGAAGATCTGCACTCAAATTTCACATTACAGAAAAGTGTAAACATCTCAATTTTTTTTTTTTTTCATTTTTCTTTTGTAGTTGAGATTACAACCTTGTTTAGTGCGAAGGAACCTGGCGGGTAGTTTTGGGAAAGTTGTGTTTTACAAAGTTGATACTGTAGTGCAGTAATTCTGCCAAAGTTGAACGAATTCTCCTTTATCAGCGCCAACATCTGTTGTCTATGCTTGAGGTTGATGCTATCTCAAACCAATTTGAGCTCTTTGCAAGGCCTGCAAAATAATACCGAGGGCTCAGTTGGCTTTAAAAGAACTCTAAGATTTTCACTGCACAGGAGATTTTCCCCAATTGAAACTTTCAGTTTGAAAAAAAGTAAAACTAACCTTGATTTGCATCTATTGGCATAGAGCTAAGGTGGTGGACGATATGCCTCTACCGCTAAACAGTACAACTTCTTATGCCTTCACGGAAAAAAAGAATTGAAAGTGTCCTCAAAAATGAAAGGCGCGACTGCCTAATCCTTTGTTCACGTTGGGTGATCGGAAGTTTGAAAAACCATTAAGTTGCTGCATCGCAATCACTGGCACAGTGCCTCTGCCCTCGAAATGCTGAGAAATCGAAACTCTGGAAACTCTACGCTACATTGGATGGATGGATGCTAATGGCTGTACCCTTTATACAACGCCTCCTCTATACAGTAATGCCTGCCACATGAGCGCTGTCCCCCTGATCATGCCCTTTTCTGCTATACTCTCCCATTTGCTAGTTTGCCGCGTGAGGTGCTGGCACCTGACACTTGCGGCAGGCAACACGTCTCCCTTCCCGGGCCGAGTACGCCGCTGTCAGCACTGCTTGATTGTCGCATGTCAGGCCCGTAGCCGGGAAAGGGGGGGGGGACTTTACGAACAAACGAAAAGAAGTTTTCCACAATCAGTCCGCGCTGCCCTGCACTGGAACATGGGCAATAAATAAATCAAACTGGTGCAATACCCAAAATATTCACACAAAAAACCGAGCCCTTGCCGCTATCAAACGTTAAATAAGTCATGCAAATTCTTCCCGGCTATATGTATTTGCAACATTTCCTGGTAATTGGTTCTAATCCCTCACTGACATTGTAAATAGTTATTTGTGAATACAGTAAATAGTGTTGATGTTGTGAATAATTATTTTCGAAATCAAGCTTATATTTCGCTGTCACCCTCATTGTTATAAGCTCCATTAACCGGAGGGCAAATGTCTCATCTGCTTCTAGCACAGGGGGTTGCGATGACGCCAGAACGACGCCGAATTCTGATTGGCTTTGACTGGAAGAATAGCCGGTAGACCTCAATGCTAGGTGCCTCAAAATCTACTTACTTTTTTTTTTTTTTTTTTTCAATCAGCCATAAAGAGCTTGGCATTCTGACATCATCGCAATACCTGTGCAAGAAGCAGACAAACTTGCGCTCCGCACAGAACAAGCACATCACGCAAATTTATCGCTCGCGATAACAAGTGTAATCAATGCATCGCTCAAGTTAACCGAATCAAGAACCAAGAATTTTCCAAAACTAACACCTTCTACATATTCCCGAAATAATACAATCTGAAACAGTGGGAATAGTATGTCATTTCCATATTTGTCAAAATTAAAAAAAACAGCCCAGTGAGAGTGAATACCGACATCTATGAACTGCGCCAAGTAAGCAGCCGTCCCAGTCACTGTTGGAGCGATGTGTGGTCGGGCTGCAGCACCATGTAGCGGGAAACGAAAGAAGCGGGGCGTTCGCCGGCACCCATTGTGGAGTGCACGACCTGACAGGCATTACCATATAGAGAAGGCGTTGCTTTATAACAGGAGGTTATAACATACCAAGATGGCCACATGCACAGTGTTACCAGACCACCAAACAGTTTCACATAACGTCTATTGGAATTTGGAACCCCTCCAGCTTGGAGAGCGGAAGCTGTCAGCAGTATTGAAGAAAAAAAGAAATGGCTGTTGCATGACATCTGTACAAATCCATGCCTGAATCAATTCGTAAGCAGGTAGCAATCTTGTAATAAATTATTAACCTCACTGTCACCAGGGTAACAGGGATTGCAGACATGGCAGTAAACTCGCCCCATTAGTGAAACCTTTGAATTTAATTGCCCCGAAAAAACAGGAGACCTCAAAAATAGCATCACCATTCTTTTTTTTTATAGCGGAGCTGTTAAGGGCCAGTTTTTCAGTATTGTGTTTGCCAGGAAACAAATGACGACACAAAACTCTGGACAGTTACCACAATCTATGAGCGACGGCGGCAAACAGACAACCGGTTTGCCAGTAGTCTGATTGCCGCCGTTGCTCATAGATGACGGCAACCTTTCGAGCCTTTCCACACTGGCTTGCCGACTTGCGGCCGGCCATTACTTCATTCCAACCATAGTACAGCTTTGCTGGTCTTCCTTCTTCACCAGAGTGGAAAGGCTGAAAGCAGGGCCGTACCCAGAAAAAAATTTCGGGGGGGGGGGGGGGGGGGGGGGGGGGGGGGGGGGTTTTCGGGGACAACGGCGGCCATTTTGAAAATGTATATTGTTTTATTTTTGCCTATGAATCATGTGCATCGGTGGCATATAATGGAGAGTTATAGCAAGCCGAAGAACCGGTCCCGGTTTGGTACCCGGTAGCCGACCGGTGCCACTGCGTGTGCGCAGAGGTGGAGATTAAAATCGGCTGGCTGCAAGTGCACCGACCAGGGCCATACCCAGAAAAAAATTTCGGGGGGGGTCAGAACCCCCTAACCCCCCCCCCTGGTTACAGCCCTGGCTGAAAGTTAGTGAATGTCTATATCTACAGGCCCCACCTTCTCTTGATCCTTCATGAAGACTTTGCTGCTTCAGCCTGCCTTCGTGTCCACTCTGTCCGTCCCTCCCCCATTTTAATTAAATGGCCTGAATCATTTTTTCACACAATCAAATATTTAGGGTCATAAGTTGTCACTCAGCAAGCCCCCCCCCCCACCAAATAACTTGCAGCTGCGCTGGCAAATGGCCCATGACAAATTCCACACGAAAGGCAGGAGTGCTCAATCACGTAGTTGTCAATTGCCACAGCTCCCGTCTAACTGCCACAATGTGCAAATACGCTCTGCACACAAACTTGTTCAAACTCCTCCAGCCACTCCAAAGGAGGTAGTCACGAGCAAAAAGCTTTACCTCCAGCCGACTGAGACTCGACGACAGGAGGGGACCCGGCCCGGTTTCGTGTGACCACACAACATTGCCATGCTCCCTGGGGTCTAGAGCAGAGATCCGGCCATCGAGCGTGCCCACAATAAACAGCTCCCTGGAAGAAATCGGGATATAAGCAGCCGCTCCTTCGAGCCGACAAAGGACAAACGTGCGCCCCTCCTAGATCGACCTCGCACTAGGATGGGCACCAGCTGTACGTGACTCAACGGGCAATAACACTTGAACAAAATGTTACACCCAAAGATTGCGAGCCATATTTCTTGAGCCCATGCATGCAAATATACATTTAAAACAACAAAAAAACACTCAACTTGTCATTAACATTATTCTTTATAAGTGGTGTGCTTCAAACTTTGGTCAACGTTCAGTCCCACATACCACATTTTGCAGACTATACTCGTTTCGGTTGCAAAACAAAGGTTTTTCCTTAAGATAGTCTGCACCTGCAGGCTGCCTAGTCGGCACGTAAAATTTTGCATACACAGTGTACACTTTCACAAATGCTTAGCTGCTTTATTAGCTCACAATGAGTGTTACAGCGTACATCCACATTAACATACTCTGTCATTAACAAAATTCGTTGTGTCGCATCATAATCTAGAAAGAAAAAAAAAAATGCTTTTATAGACCTCACCTGTGGATTTTTTTTTTATTTATTTATTTAAAGAATACTGTGGCTCACATCTGTGAGCCATAGCAGGGGTGGTTACATAATGGCATGATGTGATGTACTTATGAGCACTTTCTCGTGGCGGAAGCGATTGCTTCAACAAAAATATCAAGTGATGGGAGGGTGACTATTTCATTCGTCAAAGAATTCCATTCACTGATTGCCCGAGGAAAAAAAGAATATTTGAAGACATCGTGCTTAAGAGGATATTGTTGAATGGCCCTAGTATGGTTCAGTCTAGCTGATCCGCTTGATGAAAATTGTATGTATCTATCACTACTGACATTAAAGATTCCATTAATAAAAGAATATAAATTTCGCAGTCTGTCTATTTTAGCTCTAACCTCCAATGGCGGGATGTTAGCTTGCTCTAGTAAGCTCGAGGCAGACACACTATATCTGAACTTATTAAATATAAAACTTCCAGCCAGTCTTTGTATGCTTTCAAGTTTACTAATTCCTTCTGCCGTGTGCGGATACCATACTGTGTGCGAGTACTCTAGAATAGGTCGTACAATTGATTGGTAAGCAGTCTTCTTTGTTTCGTTATCCGCAAATTTTAAGGTGTGTCTTAGTGTGTATAATTTTGCCCTAGCCTTATTCGTTATGTCATCGATATGCTGGTTCCTAAGAAGTTTACTGGTTATTGTCACTCCAAGATACTTATAGTGGTCAACAAATTTAATGGGAATCGCATCTATTGAATAGCAATATTTCAAGGGATTCTTTTTCCAAGTAATTGTCATATTGCAACGTTTTATCGTTGTTTATTTTCATTTGCCATTTATCTGACCATTCCTTAATTTTTAATAAAGCCTCATTAAGTGCTACCTGATCTTGAGGTGATTTTATTTCAGAGTAAATGACACAATCATCCGCGAATAATTTAACCGGAACTTGAACATCCTTAACGATGTCCTCACAGCGCAAACGATAATCCTCACAGCGCAAAATTTCAACTTTTCAACCGTTGAGTCCGCAGACTACAGTCCGGAAAATACAATATATGTATCAAGATTTTTTTTTTTTTTTTTTTTTTTTTTTTTTTTGCGCTTATTTTGCGGAACCCGGTCGCTGTTATTGAACCGTATGGCGCTCGGTGGAAGTGGTCCGAAGTATAGAAAATATATCAATCGCAGTTCAGAGTGGAACGCCGGGGGTCGAACGTGGGACGCGTCGCAATGCAAATGAGTGCTGATTGGTGTTAATTAAGTGTCAAGTGATAAACTAATAAAGGCGACCCCCGCGATCACTGTCCGTGACTGAACGCGGCATTTCAGCCCTGTGCCGCGAAGTGGCGACTCCCCGAACACCTGCGCGGGGTATGACTCATGCTCACCGGAACGTCTTTGCCTGGGCAGTGTCGTCTGATTTCGGGGCCTTGGAGCAGTCGGGAAGTTCCCTCGTCGAAGTGTCGCTTGTGCACTGGACCGAAGCACTACATGAGAGGACGACACAGAGATAAAATAAATGCATGGTATGCTACAGGGATAGCATAGCAGTATGGGCGATGTTCACGTCTGAACGTCACGCGATAACTACAGCAGACAGGCGATACAGGGTCCCGTTTGTTTTCATCCAAGTCCCAACGTGTAACACCATGACGTGTTCTCAGTACCAAAGTTGCCAGTCGGCCGTCTTGAACTTGCCTAAACACAACGGCGCTGGGCCAACACCTGGTACGTGCGAGCCGTGCGAGTCTCGATCCACGAATGAATGTGTGTGAGTGATGTTTGTATAGGTAGTTTTGCTTAACAGTCCATAAATACACTTTATAATCAATTACACGTTACGATAAACTTAATCATAATTTAAAAGTAACAAGAAAAAAAAAGGAAGTCTTCCCGGCATTACCGTACTGCATGTAAACAAAATCACGTGGATGAAAGGCTTTACCGATAAATTCAGGAGAAAAAGTTGAACCAATTGATATTTTCTTGATTGTGGAAAGCGTAGAAAAATGTTTGAACAGCAGTAGAGGCTTTATTACACGACCTTTCGGGAAGAGACTTCCCTTCTTCAAGCTGAAAACCCACACGCCCACGTATGCTCATGCAAGGGGCCTTGAATACAAATCAGTGGTGTCGCTAGCACGAGTAATGACAACAGCCGCAACTTATCCCATTCTACCGAGGCTGGACTCACCAGTTGCACAGGGAAACCGGAGAAACCACCCTTCTCGGATGATTTGGGCATGGATTAGGGTCATTGCACGAGAAGCGAGTAAAGCCAAGGAAGCCAACAACCAAGCATAGAGTGCAAACAATCACATGCAAACGCCCGAAGCAAGCCCACCCCCCGCCCAGTCTCACCGGCCTCACCGGCGATGTGGAAAGGGTGGCGCGGAAATCACTATGTGGGAAAAGTTATGACCACGTGACGTGATCATAACTGCTTCAGTAAGTTTATTTGTAGCTGGATTAAATTTTTCTATTTATTTAATCGTTCTTCTAAAGTCTCTAGATAAATATTCTGGCAGAACGATTTCGTTTGTAGATCATTCCGATGCCTCCGATCAGGCTCTGCCAGTGGGCTCTGCCTAGAGCTGCTAGAGCTACTAGAGCTCTAGCCACTCTAGCTCTGCCGGCTTTGCGTAAAGGCGTCGCCAGAGAATCTGGTACCGTTATTGGAAGAATCTGCTAAAAAGGCTAAAAGTAAAAAGCATCAACTATCAACGCAAAGCACTTTAGTGAACCGGAAGTAAATGTACCCATAAGCGCAAAACTTCCGGTTCTTACAGCTTTGAGCTTGGCTTCGAGCCTTCGAGCGTGAGTTGCGTTAGTTTCGGTACGAATCTGGGCTGCTGCTACGGCTGCTACGGTTCCTGCGGTTGCGTGCTCCCTAGGTACAGGATCCTAACACATTTTGTGAAAAGACGTCGCGAAATATGAAACTTTCTTTCCTCACGCGTAGCTTTCTTCGTGTTTTTCGCGACCCTCGCCCCTGCATTCATGTTCGATGCTACACGATACGCAAAGCTCTACCGGCATGTCGTCGCCTCCTTTTTGGTACACGGGCGGCTTTTTCACGGTCAGTGTCGCTGATCTCGAGCGCCACCGACGAAGACTTGATCGAATTCGAAAACTTCGTACAAAGTAGCGGTTACGTGGATGACCAGCCCAGGTTCGGACAGCTCCGTCTCCCATGTACGGGTCACAACGTCCTCGTCGTTCACCCGCGCGTCAGGAAGGGGCCGCGCTTCCGAAGCAATACGACGGACGAGCTTCAACTGGCCGAAGCTGTGGCCCTTCTCGAGACTCTTCCCGAATGGCACGTCGCCGCCAAGCTACAGCTCAGTACCGAGAATGAAAACAGGCAGCTCATATTCGGCAAGGGCAACTTGGCGCGGATCGCGGACCTCATCAAGGAGAAGTCCAACGTGAGTGCGCTTTTCATCAATCTGGACGTGCTCACGTGCGTTCAGCACACCGCATTGCAGCGACATTTTGGACTTCCCGTCTACGATCGGTACACGGTCGTGCTGAACATCTTCCGTCACCATGCCCGCACCAAAGAAGCCAAACTGCAGATCGCGCTTGCAGAGCTGCCTCACTATCGGTCCCGCATACGACAGCTGCACCAAGGCTCCCGCCCCGAGAGCGGCCAGCATTACGAGCTACAGAAGCAGATGCTCAGAAACCGCGAGCAAGCGCTCAAGCGGCAGCTCGACGAGATCAAGGCGCACCGCCAGCTCCTGCGACAGAAGCGCACCAAGCTCGAGTTCCCCGTAGTGGCTGTGGTCGGGTACACCAACGCAGGCAAGCGGGTTTGACCTCCTCTCGGTTCTCGCCCACTTACTTTAGCTGCTGTAGCCACTTTAACGAAAGCGGTGTACAAACGGCTAGCCTGTACAAACTCCGACGATTCAGACAAATATGAGGCGTAAGCAAAAACTTGTTACAGCTTGCAGCCCCCCCCCCCCCCCCCCTTCCCTCTCCCTCCCTCTCTCTCTCTCTTTGGGAAAATTTGCAAAACAGAGTTCGCGCTCGAATGTTGCAATCTTGTAAACAACTGAGTTGAGAAAGTTCGAGATTTCATAAAAATAAAGAGTTCCGGTCAACGCTGTAGAGCGACCTCCTTCCAGCGTTCGGTCTGCTAAAGTGGAGGGAGGTGGAAGGAGCTTCGCCTTAACCTGTAGTGAAGCTCCGAGAATGGAAGTGTCATTCCGAAGAATACCTTTGGGGGACACCTGTATGAGTATCCGCTAACCTTTCATTCGTTTTATTTTTTTGTTTTTTTAACGCAGTGTAGCGTTACGTCCGACAGAACCCAAAAATAAATTAAAAAAAAAAAATTACGTTTTAACTGGACAGGGGGTTTAACTTGGCTTTGGTTTGAAAAATGGTTTCAGGGAGGCAAGTCAGTATTCTCAGTGTTTTTGACGTATAACTGTGTGCATGCAAAAAGGGGATAATGATAGATATAACGGAGGGAATACAGGCGAGCTGGTGAACTTCCGACATCTTGGAAACTCGGGACAGAGGAACAAAAAGCGGATGTCCTGCGTATGTGTTGTCCCCTTTTTGCTCCTCTGTCTTGGGTTTCCAAGATGTTGAAAGTTCACCAGCTTGCCTGTATTCTCTGTTATTTCTATCGTTCTTTCCCCTTTTTTTCTTCAGCTGGTTCAGTGCTCAATTGCTCCATTCGGCTCAGCCTTAAAAGGTGGTGTACTCACCCATTCACCAGTAATGCTCCCCAGTGAGCAAAGCTGGTGAGACATGTCTCCAACAAACATTCCCAGTGCTAGGGTAGGGGCACCGATTCCTCCAACATAATTTCCTTAAATGCAGGTAAGACGTCGCTCATCAAGCAACTGACAGGCGACCAGAGACTGGAGCCCTGCAACCAGCTTTTTGCCACACTGGACGTGACGGCGCATGCGGGTCGGCTGCAATCTTTGCCGACCGTGCTGTACATGGACACAGTGGGCTTCATCTCGGACATTCCCACAACCTTGGTGGCCTCCTTCGCATCCACCCTCGAAGACGCCCTCCTGGCCGATGTCATTGTCCATGTTAGAGACCTCAGTCACCCAGATGCTGAGGCTCAGCGGCAAAACGTCATGGAGACGCTGGCAAGAATCGACGTGCCAAAGAGTCTTCTGGAAAGCATAGTCGAAGTTGGCAACAAGATTGACCTGCTGCCCTCCTTGCCAGAAGGCAAAGTTGAGAACTTGGTATCCTGTGCCGACGGCACGGGGTTGTTGCAATTGCAGCATGCTATCGAGAGGCAGCTCATTAAAAACACCGGGCGGACAGTCGTGAGGTTGCGTGTGCCGACCGGTGGATCGGAGTACCAATGGCTCTTCAGGGAAGGAGCCTTCCAGACTTGCAGTGTGGATGACCGGGACATCAATTATTCGTTGGTTGATGCTGTGCTGACACCTGTGGCCCTTGCCAAATTTAGAAATCACTTCGGGAATGCTTCAATTCTCAATTAAATTGTGCGAAATATCGCGGGATATACGCGTAATATTAGTGGGGCAGTGCAAGTATTTTGGGAAGCCAGCCCAGGTTCAATAAGCCGAGTTAAGCCAAAACACACACTACGCTCCATTGTCAAGGCTAGCATAGCTTCTACAGCACTGCAAAGCTTCTGCAGCACTGCAATTCTGTCAAAGCTAGTTGCGCGAGCGCATGCGAGCGAGACTCGAGACGAAGCCATGTGCTCGTGGGGCTGCAGCACTGTGGAAGCTACGCTATAGCCTTGACAATGTAGTACAAAATACAGTTGAACCTCGATTTTACGAAACCTGATATTGCGAATTTCCCGATTTAACAAACAAATTTGGATTTCCCGTGCAGCCTATGCGCGAGGTCTCCCTTCGATTTTACGGAGTTCCCGATTTAACGAAATAATTAGCGGGTCCTGGTGACTTCGTTAAATTGAAGTTCAACTGTAGTGGATGCCAAGTATAGGGAGTATTCACTGGCAGCCATAGTTGTGTGCGCGACTGCTGAGCGCGTGCTGATGGCGAGCTTTCACAGTTCTTTTGCAACATGCATTCCACAACATCAAGATTGCTGGTTTTGGCAATCTCTTAATGTGAGCTCCTGAGCATGCGCTCTAGACAGCACCCACAAATATGGCGTCCAGTGAATACTTCTTATAGTTTAATTCTGTGACTACCTCTTGCTTTCAAGTGAACCTCGCTGCTAATTAACTGTGTGCAGCTTTTTTTTGTGTGTGTGCATGTAAAATATTTTTGAAACAGCTGTTTATGTGATCTAGATCTAAAACTTCCAACGTTCACAGTCAACAGGCACTTCCTTTTGTTTTTTCTGTACCTGAGTATGTTTTTACAAAGGAAAGGCTGCCATATGTTAAAATTGCAGTACAGAATTTTCAGTTTATTTATACACAGTGCAGCGCATATACAAAAAGCTCCTGAACCAGAAGCAAATATTTTTTTCTTTTTCGTAGAAACTGCAGCAATGCCAAAACCAACCTTATCACTGAAAGGCTGTCGTGGAGGCAAAGTGCCACACCCTCACACCATAGGCGTAATGCTAAAAGGTTCGGCCCAGAAAGAAGACCTCATCATTCAGGAAGTCTGGCAATGCAATTTCCAGGAAGCCCAGTTTCGTGTAGAAGTCAACGATGTTCTTGTCTCCTACCGTCACTTCAGAAAACACTCCATGCGAGCCTGTGGGTACAAAGGTTTTTATAATTAAGATAGTACACATAAACAAGACATTTTTTTTTTTTTTTTTAAGTTCCTTTCATACAAGTTTGTATCATACCTTGCCAACAATTTCAAGCAATAATTGGGAGCCCGATAGACCAGTTGCAAAAAATCGCAAAACGCTGTGTGAAAAGCACAAAGTGAATTATGGGAAGACCCTGTATGCTCCTCCAAGCTCCTGCAGCATCTACCAGGTCACAGTGAGAAAGGGAGGGTAGTGCAGCTGCACACATTCTGTTGCCTGCATTATCTCTATGCTACACCCAGTTTTATGCACCAAAAAAGTGAGAGAGAGGACGTTGGAACGCCGAGCTTTGGTTGGAGTGATCAGTGGGTAGACCTGAAGCTGGCTGCCTCAGTCTCCACTGCACTCGTTGAACGCTTTGCATCGCGGAACGCTGGCATCCTGGCTCTTGCATTAGACCGCGTTCGATGGGCATAGTGGAGACAAAGGCAGCTAGCTTTAGGTCTACCCCCCAGAGCCGTATATGTAGAGAGTTTGGCCATTCGTTGGGAAGTATAGGAGACAAATGCGGACGCGCCATTGGCCAAAAGCGGGCTGGGCGTGTTCCAGGGCGTCTTCAGAAATTCGAATGTGACCAACCAGAAGCCGGAAATAATACCCTGGCGGTGGTCGCGAGAAACAAACCTGATAACTGCATTGGAGTGACTCTCGATGGCTGAAAATATGGTACACGTGATGTTTCAATCACACTCATCTAAAATGATGGTGGAAGAGTGCGACTAGCGGAAAGATCGACATAATCCTTACGCCAAACGCCGAGCGCCGGGAATCTGCCGTCAGAGCGGTCACACTCTGTCCGCGCAAAACAGAGTTGAGCGGCGCATTCGTTTCTTACATCTTTCTGCATGATCATGATGAAATAACACGTGCACCCTATTTTCAACCACAAAAAGTTACTACACTTCACTCTTACGCACTTATTAAAACCATATACGAACAGAGACCTTCGATGATCGATCGGCTCAGAACTGTTTCTCGCTACCACCGCTAGGGGATTCTTTTCGGCTTCTGGTTGGTCAAGAGAGCATGCCAAGCCCTCTTTCCGAGTCTGCCGCACGCCCTGGCTCTGCCCGCGCCTCCCATTGACCAAACTCTCTACATATACGGCTCTGCTACCCCCTAATCATTCCAACCAGAGCTCGGCATTCTGACGCCCTCATGTGCTCTCATCTCCTCTTCCCCACCAGTTTCTCCGCGCATATAGTCAGTCTTCAGAATTAGTCTTGGCACTGTGGTGGACGCTGCAAGTTTTCAAATGAAAATTTTAAACATCTGGGGATTAGATACTGCACTTTCGGGTCTATAAGTCTCACCATTGTATAAAAAGCACCCCTTATACACGTCGTAAACGAACTATGGCCGCATCCAAGTGCACCCCACGCAAGCAAGTTGGTGGCACCCGGATGCCAGACTTGCAAACGTGTATAAACAGCCGCTTTCTTAAAGAAGTTAGTATATAAGTAGGGTTCAAAGTTTTCGGTTTAAACCGATAAAAGTACGCGGAATCCATTTTCTGAAATTCGGTTTTAACCGAAAAAGGTCAGTTTTTAGGTTCAGCATTTTTTTATTTAAACCGATAAAAGTATGTCTAATCCATTTTCTAAAATTCAGTTTTAACCGGAAAAGGTCACTTTTACCTTCCAGTCGTACCGCAGAGCCGTGGCGAAAAAGTGGAACGACAGTGTTTATCGAAATGTGTCCAAGTATGTGATACAAGGGTGCCATCACAACGTTTTGGTTTAATGTGCACATCATCGATCGGAACGTAAAGTATGAAATGCCCCATGACTTCGCCATGTACGAGCGTGTTTTCGAACTCGTTGTAAGGAAGACTGACTTGATGAAAGCTCTGCATGTTGTGTTGTGCTTCAAAACGTCGCACCGTGTCTTTTTTGGTGGTCACAGTTGGTTGATTGGTCGATTTCGGCTCAGGCATCGCTTTATCTCCTTCAGCCTGCCAGTGTCCAGTGTTAGCATTGAGAGGGCATTCTCAAAGCTCGGTTTCATATTAACAGGAGAGAAAGGGTACACATCAACAAGGAGAACCTGCGAAAGTACATATGTGTTTACTATAATAAGATCACGTAATCCTGATGTACAGAAGGTGAAGTTCCATGATTTTGAACATAGGCTTCGTATCTGACTTGTTAATACATTTTTTTTTCTTGTTTCTTTTACGGTTGCACACATTTGCCAAATAAAGTGTCCATTTCTTTTTCAATGTATATGTGCCGTTATTCTTTGAGTGATCACAAATATCAGAGCTACAAGGATCATCTGATCCGGTGTCCATTGGTGTTTATTTTATATTCACCGAAAAAAGCCGATAAACTTCTGTGGGCATAAATATACGCTGAAAAAAAAAAAAAAAAACAGAAAATTGAATTTTAAAATAAATACCGAAAAAAGTACGCCGAATTTTGAAAAAATAGAAACTGAAAACGCGGAACTTTATATAAAGTCATACTTAAGGCACCTCTGAGTAATGCACACTTATATATTTGTACGGTTGGCACGGTGAAACTGCATTGGTAAGCCCGCATATGTGTACTGTGACCATGATATATTCGCAAGTAGGGGCCAGTTTCAATATCCTCGCTAATGAATCGAACACGAAACATAACCCTCTTGGTAAATTTGCGCAGTTAGGATATACAGGGTGTTTGCTTTTAATTCAAACAGATCTCAGAAAAGCCGCAAAAGGTAGAGTAATGTGCCTTGTGGAGGTGAGTTATATGGCCAGGGAAAAGAAGCGCATATAGGTAGCATGTTTCCATAAGACAGATACCCGGAAAGATTGAAAAGAAAAATGCAACTCGTACCCCAGAAAATATGGTACACATAATTTCAATACAACTGCTCTAGTGGCAGGGAGGACTTTCAGCTGTCCTGCCTGGAGTATGCACGCGCAGCCAAAACACGGCCAAAGCAGGGAGCAGCTGGAGGCATTCCAGAGAGAGAGACTGTCGTTCTCGCCTTGTCAGTGACTAAAGTTATCTCCGGGTTCGCTCTCATAGCCTTGCCATAAAGAAACCTGCTCCTATCCAGTCGTGCTAAAAAGGGACACCAGAGAGATTTTCAATGCTCAATTTTATGCTATGTTTTCATAAACACAGATGTTTCCTTTCACCATAAATCCATTAAATGGAAGACTAACCAATCGTATTAGTGCTGGCATCGCAAACACGGTAAGAAATGGCAGGAGGAAACAATCATTAAAGCGTTGTTCCGACATCCCATAGTACCGCAGTCACCTGCTTAAACTGTTGGCAGAAGTTTAAATTTCTTTGGACTCCACTGGTTTTCGCGCAATTTTTTGTGGACAGTCGTTTACCTAAAATTTGGGAGACAATTGGGCTATGACAATGAGGCTTCTCCCACAATTATTGCCCAATTGTTTCTGTGTTTCTATCGCCAAATTCCATTTAGTGTCCCTTTAAGGAATGCGACGAAAGCTGCAAGAAGTAAGATTGGCTCTGCAACGGTATGTTTTTAGTCACTGTTACAGTGACCAAAGTGTAGGAATCGGACACTTTTTGGCTGTTGCACCTTCTGCTAAATCAATGATTGTGTGCGAGACTCGAAAGAGAAAGGAAAATAGTTCCGACCAGGTTAGTTGTCTTGCATGGGCTTTTAGTTACACTCAGATAAAAACCACAGATTTCACCAACTAGCTGCACAAGGCATTTTAATTCACAGTTAATTATCCTGGAGATGATGGTAAATCAAAGGACACTGTTTTTATACTGAGACATATTAGGTGGATTATCCCTTTAAGTTGAGCTCAGAGCATATGTTTTGTGTGAATCACGCTAAACTCTCCACTTTTTTGGCACAAGCAATGCTCTTGAAGCTGCTATATACAGGTTCTTTTTTCCAGCGTTAAGAAGTACTTTAAGTATATTGTACTTAAAGTACTACTTCAAGGAGGTTTATAATACTTGTACTTTACTTGAAGCACATTCTCCGAGAATGTACTTGTACTTTGCTTAAAGTATTTTTTTTCTGGTACTTTCCGAGAAAAGTACAACTGCCGACTTCAAAATATATTCCCCAAATTTGGTCTTGGTAAATTTATATCATGAAATAATAGCTTGTCAACTCCAAAGCCACTTGACTTTATCCAATATTCGCTGCCATTTCCGAAATTAACTGATGCACCTCCGATTACCCCTGGGGCAATGCATAGCAGCTAAATAAAATAACAAAAAAAACAACAACTATAGACTGTTTTCTTATGTGGCGGCTGCCATGTTAATTTTGATGTAGCTGAATTGGGCCAAAATAGTCATTCATTTCTTTGCCGATTGGAGTGCGCTAGAATTCAAGAGGTTTATGCCAATAGTTCTACTTTTCTCTCGGCTATACTTTTTTTTATTGGACTTATGCTTAAACTAGCTTTTGTTGCCCAACCCAACGACGTCATATTTTAACATGACTACTGTCACACGAAAACGGTCTATAGGGGAATGAAAGTGTATCATAGAAGAGTGTGTTAAAAAGTACTTGTACTTTACTTTGAAACTATGTTATATTTATAGTACTTTACTTGAAGGTTCATAATCTCTCATTTACATCATACTTCAAGTACTTTTTATATGCACTTTATCCAACTGCAGGTAAGTTATTCAACCGGGAGGTTCATAATATGGTGGTCTAATTGTCACAATAAGGTAGTTAATTAACTCAAATTTGTTATTAACCTTTCAATACATGAGTTGCACGTGACGTCATTCAAAGAGCGCTACGATGACCGTCAGAGACGAGGGCAAGAAGGAGCTCCCCTCTTATCAGGATCCTCTTTTATGCCTCCCGGATTTGCATAGACGTCGCTATTCTCCTCCCAGAAGATTATAGAAGATTTACCCGCCACTCAAAATTCACACAAAAGCAGCTTCCCTCTCCTCCTCTTACATGGTGGTCAAAAGTATGTGATGTGACGTCAGTGCAACCCATGTATTAGCAAAGATGAACATATGGTTCCAATTCAAAACTTTAGCGCACTGGGCGTCATTGAAAATCAGTGTATTTCCTAAAGACTGAGCGCATGGGAAGTGCGATGGTACGCTAAAGTTCCCACTCGTGCAACAGGCACAAGGCTGGTGGTGCAAAGACACACCCGCATTCTCTCTTATCGTCCGCGTTTTTGCACCGCTAGCTTTGCGCCTCTTGCACAATCGTAACTTTAGCACCGCACACAGGCATTCTAAAATTTACTGATAGCACAAGACGGATGTGTTTAACTAAAATGAACCAACTAGCCCAACAACATACCCTAATAAAATTTACTGATTTAGCGTTTCTTGACAGCACTCAGCAGGTGTCTAATTTTAACCATGTTTATTTTTCACTAATTAAAAAGTTAATAGTTACATTTTAATTAATTATTCTATATATTGTGATAATTAGCCCTTTATATTATGTCCCCCTGGCTGTATAACTTGCCTGCATAGACTGGTTTAGTGTAACTTTCGAGGCTTTTTTAAAACAAATCTGCAAAGTTCTAATAGTCACGTCTGTTTCCAGACGCACATGCCCATACATTGAAAATAGCGATAAATACTGGCACAGCAAGTGCAAGGCATCTCCCACGACTCAGGAAAGTAAGTGTATCTGCAGAACACCTCGCAGGTCTTTCTTCCTCGCCAGAAGGGAATTCAAGAGAGGGGCATTTCTTTCTATAGAGACAATGTTAAGGAATTATAAGCACACCCACCGTTTGCCTTGAGCGCAGCTAGGACGCACGCCAGCAGGCGCTTGGAGACACTTGGGTCCAGGATCGAGGGCAGCATGCTCATGGTTACCCTCGATGGGTGGTGCTTGTAGACCACATCTGGCACGGTGACAGGGTGCGCGTGGAAGCTGCTCATGATCTCCTGAAACACCAAAGCCCCCGTGTCATCCCTCGACAACATAAACAACGAGAAGGCTGTCACAATGACACCACTTTCTCGCCATCGAATAAGGCTACTTTTGCCACGTCCGTTGGTTGAGAAATCCTAGCACCTGAGAAAATCTGCACAATCTGGACATTCCATTCCTATATGCACTAGCAAGACCACACATTGTCTAGGAGAGGGACCTTTCCTACAGGTATATTGTGGCTCGGTAAAAGAAGTGTTGCCAAGTTCGTCGAACTGCTTGCCATACTTGTCGCGTGAGAGACACGAGCTCTGGCAGGACGCACCTCTGCTGGCGTCAACATCTCTGATGGCTCCTTGGCTGGTGCCGGGTATTTGAGGCACAGTTCAGGCTTCCAGGCAATCTCCAGCTTCTTGTTGAACTGCTGGGCGTCCAGCGCTGCCAGTGCATAGCCACAGATCCCGGTCTCGTCCTCCACCACAAAGCAGTACTCGTTGCTCAGGGTCAGGAACCCTCCAACCAGTCTGGCATCCAGGGGCAGAAGAGCACTTTCAGAACCCCAAAAACATACACACACAAAAACAATTTTGACTCTTTCCTACGCACCAGTAACTCGAGTGTACGAAAAAGCGAAGTGTGTAAAACTAGTTTGTCGCCAGGTCCCATTCTGTACACCCAAACCAAATGCTATCGCAAAAGGAGATGCTCCCATTTCATTTACATACGTACGGCGCAAGAGGGAACTGCTGCGCTGCGCCACAGCTGACAGAAAAATTTTCTCCTTGCACTCGAGCTGTGTACCGTCGTCACTCAAGTCGAGGGACATCCGGGCTTAATTGCACTTTTCATCGGAAAGCGGTGCACACGGATAAACAAACCGTACACAGCGGAATCTTGTTAATTCAAACTCGCGGATAATTCAAACTATTCGTCTGGGGCACACCGCACCCGTCCAGTGCAGTGCACCCTTTCCACTTTAGTACACGAGACTGGTGGGGAGAGAAGGAAGTTCTCCTCTCCCCTCCTCTAGCCTTTCGTATACCACGAACCGCACGGCACCAGTGCGATGCGGGCCCAGACGAATTGGCCACAACATGCAGGTGCCGTCCTATGCGTTTCTAGGAAGAAAACTCCCGAGAATTCAAACTTTGCATTATTAAGGCGAAAACCTTATACGTCATTGTTCAGTCAACTTTCAAAGTCCTTGAGCGAAAATACGTCAGCGACACACGAAAGGTACCAAAACATTTACGTGACCACTCAGGCAGATTAGAGGCAATGAAATTAAGAAGGATGACAAAGCGAATTAAGAGGAATCAAAGTGAATTAAGAGGAATTAAAGTGAATTACGAGGAATTAAAGCAAATTAACTGAATGACTAAGCGAATTAAGGTGATGACTCAGCACATTAAGAAGGATGACTTAGAACATTAAGAGGGATGACTAAGCAAATTAAGCTGGCTAATTAAAGTGGCTATGTGAAAAAAGAATGTGAAGCAAAGAATCATGTGTCTGTATTTAATGCATCGGCACTTTGGCTTTTGCCTTCAAGTCATCTTGGGGATAATATAAGAGACCCTGTGAATTTTCAAAGAAAGCTTTGGTCCCCCTTAGACTGAAATTAACAAGGTTCCACTGTATATAGTATCTGTATAAATATTCACCGCTGCAAAAACCAGATACAGAGAAACAAAAAAATGAGACATTTACAAATCTCTGTAATGCAAAATTGGAATGCAGCCCTTGAGGAGGAGGGGAGGGTATGCCAGGGCCGTAACCAGGGGGGTAATTAGGGGGTTCTGACCCCCCCCCCCCCCCCCCCCCCGAAATTTTTTTCTGGGTACGGCCCTGGTCGGTGCACTGGCAGCCAGCCGATTTTAATCTCCACCTCTGCGCACGCGCAGTGCCGCCGGTCGGCTACCGGGTACCAAACCGGGACCGGCTCTCCGGTTGCTGTAACTCTCCATTATATGCCACCGATGCACATGATTCATAGGCGAAAATAAGGCAATAGACACTTTCAAAATGGCCGCCGTTGTCCCCGAAACCCCCCCCCCCCCCCGAAATTTTTTTCTGGGTACGGCCCTGGGGTATGCCCCAACGTAGCCTCCCCTCCTCCCACAGTTTCCTCACTAAATTCAGCTGGAAAATTGTTGCCACGTGACCTCAACACCAATTCAGTTTCCCCGCTAAACTTAGCGGAGAAAATGACATCACACGACTGTGTCGCGTCACCCATGCACAAATTGAGTTCTTCCGCTAGATTTAGCGGGAAAATTGACGTCACGTGACGTCAACACCAATTCAATTTCCCGCTAAATTTAGCGGCGCGGTTACACCGCCACCGCCATAGAGTAAAACCTCGCTAATTCGAACTCGAAGGGGACCGAAAAATTTGTTTGAATAAAGCAAAGTTTGGATTACCGGAAGTTTTCTTACATAGAGACGCATAGGATGGGACCTGCATGCAAGTTTGAATTAACGAGATTCGACTGTACGCGGAATTGGGTGCCTAAGAGCTGCACTCAAAAATTGTGTTTTGCCAGTGTTGTTTACATTCCTTCTGAGCTTTGCAATGTTCAAAGTTCACCAGCTTTACTGTGGCTCTGGTATTTGCGCACCACTACCTATACAGACAAGTTAAAAGAACACTTGGGGAACCTTGAAAAAGCTAAAGCTGTATGGGAGAAGCACCGAGCACAAAGTGTTGCTAGCAGTCTCACTCACTTGTCACCAATGAGGTTGGGGAATTCGGGAAAGACCTCCGTCCCATCCATTCCATCGTCGCACGTCTTGCGACACACTTCATAGATCAGAGGCTGTGAAACCAACAGAAGAGTTGCACTAAAAAAAGAGGCTCGGTACCCTCCCTCTCCACACACGGCTATTGAAGGATTGAAGACTGCTTAACAGCAAGGAAGAAAGAGTATGCAACAAATGTGACATCAGTTAACTTGGCGAAACTTGAGACAAGCTCTGGCAAAGAACAAATTAAATAACAGAACACTTGGACTGCAATCTCCCACATAGGCTTGACTACGTTCTGTGCTGCAGTCAAAGAAGAAAAATGGCAGGAAAAGGACAAACTACAGTGAGTTGAGCCAGCTCTGTGAATAGGTGCCAAACTGTCTCGGGTGGATGGAGCAAGTAGTGCTGGCGAACCTCGTCCGTTGGGAGGTAAGGCCGTATGGTGTACGTCTTGCTGCTTGGAGACTCCGGAGGCTTGTACAAAAAGAGGTCGCTGACGCTCTCTAGCGGGAGAAGACGCTGTGAAGAAGACACGGCAGCCCTTGTGACACGACAACTCGCATTACAGTGACGAGACTTGTTAAGCACCAAGACACGCCTCATGCCATGCCAGTCATGGCAGCTAACACGAACCTGAAGTTCGGCTGTAAGCCCACCACGGAAAAGCCATGGCTCTTGCTCCCCACTCACAAAAGCTTCCTTGTAGCCCTTCGAGAACCCTGCCAAGTGAGAGCAAGACAACATCAGCACTACCACACTGCTGCATATGCTTCTAAAGAATCGTCAAAGAACAAATTATACACATGCTTCTGGTGCACACCCGATGGCAAGAGCTACATTAAGAGGTCAGACCTGCCCAACTTTCGATTTTGATGGTTCCATTTGAATTCCCACATAGTAGGGCTACCACTAGAGCTGGGTCGTCAATGCCTTTGCAATTGAATAGCCCGATTGTTAGTCTGAGGTAAAGGTTAGCATTCATACTGCAAGCCCACTGGGTCTCTCATAGCAGACATGTGTAAGCAGCTACTCTGCAGTTCAAGATTAAATTAGTCGCTCCTAACTCAATAATAGATATAGTTCAAAATGTAATATGAGCACATCCTCTGGCTATGGTATGGCACAAAAATGGCCCTCAATAAGTTAAAATATGACCACGTTTGTAGTGTGGATTATTCAAGGATAAGAGCATGATGTGGAACTGTAAAAGACAGTATGTGTCAGAGTTAAAAAATGGCTGCATATATGCTTCCTCATGGAGCCCCATCAAAGGGGTATTTAATTTGCTTGCCATGAATTGCAAATCACAACAGAATATTTATGATGTGAGACATCATGCAGTGCAAATGACCAGTTTGAGTCAAAAAGTCATATGAGCTTTCAACAAAAATGTGCAAAATGTGAATCTAGTGGTCTTTTGACACATTTTGAGAAATACACAAATTAGGATGCATAACTGGTAGAGAAATGGCATGTGCAAGGAGCATAGCCAACAGACTGTTGCAATACTACAGTAAGCTGTAATTGCCAGTTAATTCCTTTTGCATTAGTTGATAAAAAAAAAAAAATATATATACATATATATTTGGTAAAAAAAAAAAATTCCGTCAATTTAATGGAAAAAACATGAACTGATAATTTTTTCTTTAAAAAGTATACTGTAAACGACTGAATTTTCGTGAGGACCTAATTTCCATGAATTTCGCAAATCGCCTACAATTTGCGAAAAATAGGCGCTGCGAACAATTCCAGTAAAATGTAAATACAACGGAATCTATATTCAGATCCCACCATCGCAAAAATTAGAACCTGTGAATTATTCCAAAACTTCAGCTTTGACCTAAAGCACGAAATATTGAGCCCGCAAAAAATAAATTGTTTACAGTATATATTTTTCCAGCAAGCACAAAATTATTATGGTTAGCTAGGATACACCATTTCAAAACCAGCTTTGACTATGGCTCACAAGTAGTGCAAGCAAAATGCCGGCAGCTACCAATGATATAGAAACAATCAACGGACAAGCAATGTGCATTCTTGACAATTTCACTTCCATCTCATTACAGTGCTGTAAGGTTATAATGATCCTGTGAAACTAAATAACTTAGTGCTGAGCTCAGAGGCACTATGAAGAACCATTATAAATGAAGGACAACAGTGTATTCATAAATTTTGTCTACAAAAAATGTGTGCGAAAGTGATGGTAAAAAATAAGGCTTCAAAATGAACCATAAAATTACTTGTCATTTTCTTGCAAGCCATTATTATAATTAACCAGAAAAATAACAAACTGACTGCATCTTGGAATATTCGAAGTCACTGTGTGTGACCAACAGCCCATGAACATGCTTTCTTCTGCCAGTTTAATACAGGCCAGGCTAATATGCATAGCCAGCCAGTATTTGCCTATTTAGCTAGTGCACTAATAAAAAAAGTTCAATGTGAAAGTAAACTGCAGTCAACAAATATAGTGTTGGCCAAAAGAACCAATGTAGGAACCGACGACTCATCCGAAACATGCCATACAACTTTACCTTCAAATGTCAAAACAAGGCCCACTTTTTTTTTTAGAACTGTGCGCTTATTTCGCAAGAGCTTTGTTCACTCTCTTGTCTGGACCTCACTCCCCCTAAAATCATTCTAAAGTCTCAAATTTTACTGCCCCAGACACGGGTGTAGGAACAAATAGTCCCGGAACTAACGGTCCCAAGTTCAAGATAGGAAAAAATGGTTCCGTAAGAAGACTGTCTTGAAACTAAGATGTACCATGCAATATACTTAATCTGTTATGCAATCAGTGATTTCCTGGAGGAATGAAGGACCTCGTCTATATTTTGAGGCCGATTACTTGAAAAAAGTGGTCGGGTATTGAACTTAATTTTATTCAAAATCGTCAGAATATTTTTGAATGAAGAATTTTTTAAACGAAAAATGAGTACCCCTAGTCATACTGTTGAAGCAGGTTCATATCACATGAGCGAATGAGGTTTTAGCGAACAGCGACATTTGAGCGAATTGATGTTTTAGCAAATAACGGGACACATGTTAACCCTCCCTGTGCGCTGTGCTTACTCCGCGTCGCGGCGACAGACTGTGGCGGCTCATTACATAAATGTGAACCCACTTGGCCCACCCGTAAACGCAGCTTCGCGACGGCCGACTATTTGCTAAAGTGTCGTTCGGTGAAACGTGGGCATTCGCTAAAACGTCATTCGATCAAATTAGTGTTTCCCCTGTTGAAGCCATGGAACTTGAATTATTTCCATCTCGTCATGACGCGTGGTGGTAGCACACGTAACGAGCGGAGCTCGATGCCTTTATAGGTGCATTAGGTTTCCATAGCGCAAAACATTTCTAAGCTTCCAGAAAAATATAAAAACCAGTCAAGTTCGTGCAACCGTCAGCATCGAAATTCTGAGATTTTCTTATAAATTGGAAACCGTAAAATGTTTACCGGCGGGTGTTATTGGATTTTATCGGATTTATCCGAAAACGCAGAAGCCACATTGGCGATATTTATTTGGGACCATTTTTTCCGAGTTTTTATTTGGGACCATTGAACTTATACTGCTTGACATAAGTTCATCTGCGGGGTCATGTCTGAAATGCTGCTATAGCAGGGGTGGCCAAGTAAACCTGTGCAGAGGACCATAAAAAAGAACATTTTAATTGAGCCACAGTAAAATGTGGGCGTGGCAGTATTTCAAACTTAATTTTTGTGGCCTCCCGAATTCCACTCATAAAGCAGTTGCTCACTAAGCTTCTTTGGTGTACACCCATTCGTAAAACAAGCACTTTGAAGTTTGGCTCAAATGATGTCGTTGCAGTTCCGAGAAGCTCAATGAGGTCTTTGTTTGCGAGGGATTTGATCTCACCACCCTTGTTGTTAAGAAGAGTGCCTCACACCAGAATGTACGGTGGCTCGGCTAACAAAACGCAAGCTATCTTTAATTCTATCAATTTTTCCTTCGCCGCACTTGAACCCGCAAAGAGCTGCTTGCAACTCGCAAGCCGCAGTATGGCTACCCCTGCACTATAGAAAGTTCATGGGTTTACTACGAAGTGAGGATGATACCACACAGAAGCCTCCTTTTAGAGTGTCCACACAGTGGTCAATGAGTTAGAATGGCAACAGTGGCACAGTTTGAGGAAAATAGTGCCGCTCAGCATACCCACGTGAGGGGAATAAACGTCAGGAGCCAAACATATCAATGAAAGCACACGAAAGAAAAGCACAAGAGAGGGCTTCTTTTCCCCCTTCAATCCCCACTGCTTCCTTTACAATTAATTGCTGCGCTTGGTCACAGAAACACGCTCCACAACTTGAAGCTGTCTGAAAAGCAGGCCAAAGCAGGATCACTTGGGGACCTATGCAGAAGGGAACTGATGTTATTCTGTTCAGAAGAGCCAAGAGGCCAACCGAGGTTTGAGGACAAAGCGGCTAACTGCCGCCGGAAGTGCAAGGGATGCCAGAGAGGGGACAAGAAAGGGGAGAATCACCGGGTGCGTACATGTGAATGATGGAGGGGCAAAGGCCGACGTCGACGAACAGGGCACGTCTCCCAGAGCTAACGGGCACATGGGCGAAAAAGAAACAAGACTTGTTAGCTCTGCGCCCTGGACTCGGGCCGCACGGGGAGGCTCCTCATCGCCGGGGCCCAAGACAGCGGGGGACAAGGTGCCCACATTCAGCGTCCATGAGCTGCCATTGAACGCCCCACGCAAAAAGGAAAAAAAAAACAGCTTTTTCTAGAACAATCCTATTACTATGCTGTCCCTTTTCTGGCAACAGCGGGTAGAAGATCTTTTATGAGAACCCCAAATTTGAGGAATATTTAGGGGAAACAAAGAGAACACTAAATGCGGGCAAGGCCAGTGCCAAAACTACATTCGAATCATGTGACAACCTGCCACTTCTCAAACAAGTATAGCCTTGGATCCTAGAGCTACCCCAGTCCCAACTTAAAGCGGTACGCACAAAGTCTCTCTCTTTGGCCGACTATTCTGTTGCCTGGCAGCACTACCACTCACCAATCCACTTAACGTAGGAGTTGAGCAGCGAGATGACTCCCTTGATGTCCCAGATGTAAGGGTACAGGTCATAGAAGAGGGACCGGTTAGGCACAAACGTGAGGCGGGCAAAGAGCCGCCCCACCGCCTGCGTCATCAGGTCGAACTTGGTGGCACGCTTGCGCCACTCCTCCAGCTCCGCCATGGCGGGGGCGTCCTCTTCCTCCGACGGCGGACCCCGCTTGCGGCCCTCCCACACCAGGTGGCCGTTGGAGCGAAGCCAGTGAAACTCTTGGAGGAAGGCCACCCCCTGGTGGCCGTGCTCAAAGGGCAGGTAGAACAGGTCCACGAGAAGCGCCACATCTTCGAGGGTGAGCTGCCGCGAGTCCTCGGCAGGCACCGCTTCCTCCGTCTGCATCTCCTCGGCACTTTTGCTGGCGACGTGGCGCGGGGAGGCGCCGGGCGACGTGTTGCAGTCCATGGGTTCGAGTGTGGGCTGCACCAGCGAGTTGACCAGCTCACTTGAGAGGGGCTGGAAGCTGGCGTCGTCCAGCAGAGCCGCCTGCTGGCTGCCCGTGGGTGCACCCGGGAGAAAAGCGCCAGACAGGAGGCGGCCGTAGGCGCTCTTGGTGCGGTAGAACTCGGGAATCCAGTCCGCCATCGCTGCCTGGAGCGCCTTACGTGGGTGGTAGGCGTGGGGGCCCATGTGGGACGGCACTTCCTCTGTCTCCCCCTCCGTCTCTAGCCGGATGTCGGCGCTCACCGACTCGTCTGCCAGAGAAGAGAATGCCAGTGGCCTGAGGCAACACCACAGACCGTGCAGAAGTTGGTAACCCAAAGGTCGAGCCATGTTCCAGAGAATTTGGCACGTCGCTTTTACGTTTTCTTTCATTTCAGATTATAGAGAAGGATTCTTACTGCCCCATGCAAGGCTCTGCGGTTTCACTCACACTACAAACTGCGTAGAGAGAGCCCAACCTATTTAAGGCAATGCAGTATTACCATAGATGTTCAAGAAACATGGGCCTGAAACACCCAAAACCACCCAGCCTCCTTATGTCAGCTCTTGTCTCGAGCTTCTTATTAGGTTTGATCATCCCCACCTAGCCTGCTTGCACACCAGCGATAAAAATCATACAGGGATTTATAGAGAAATTAAAGGGAATATGGAATTATTTTTTACTTTCCTCCTTAGCTTTCCTCCTCAACACAAAAGCGAAATGAGAAATCACGAGGTCATGACTCCAAGCTTCCGCCATACTTTTTAAGCACACCATGGGACTTGCATTCGCAAGTGATGGTAAATGCCATCATGGCACTCATCGGCCACAAAGGCGAATCCAAATATTCATCAATGGATTGATTGTTGACGACTGCAGCCTGCACGCTCACTTGTCCAGCTGCTGCCAAGCATGAAGGCCGATGTGTGCCGAATTCTTGTCTAGCTCTGACGACCGTTAATTCCGTCAATAGCACTCCGTTTATTATCAACGTTTTACCTTACAATAAGTAGCAGTCAGTACGTTCCCGAGCGCATGAAGCCAGCCATGTCGCGTCGGCGCAAGTGGTTCCTCGTGTTTGCCCTTATTACTGCAGGGGGTCATTTTTTTGCTTTGTCGACGGCTGGAACGCATACTTTGTCATGGCGAGGGTCCTCTGGACACATTCCTCTTTCGGATCCACCGAAAGATTTCGAAAAATCAGAAGCTGAACCAGATTTACAAGAGCAGAAGCCTCGGCGCCCGGCTACTTCCGCAAGCGACAGAGCAAGAATCGAGATGGTCCTCCTATGACATAGTGGCACGTCACGCGTGACGAGCCAATGTTGTGCTGCTGCGGCAATCGCTTCTGTTTTCTTCGCATATTTTGCGTTTAGTGATTATTTTGGGTCAAACTGTTGCGATATTTGGACACAGCAGGCACAAACCCGTCAGAATCAACTATTAACTAATTTTTTTCGAAAAGCTCTTCAGCTTCCCTTTAAGTTGCTTTCCAAAATTAGGATGCTTGTGTGGAGTGACCATACGTCCCGTTTAGCCGCGACAGCCCCGTTTCAGAGGTGCATTTCTGCCGTCCTGTCATTTTTTCTAAATGAAACCTCACGTCCCGTTTTCGTGGGAAGATGTGTGAATAATTGTGAAATGAGTGCTAAGCGAGTGAAGAAATCTAAAGAATACATAATACATTTCATAAAAATAAACATACTACTATTAAAAATGTTATCTTCCATAGAGTAAATTTGGAGCTCTTTCTGTGGTTCCATCTGTCAATACATTCTGTTCACACAGACGTTTGTGAGGAGCACTTTGCCATATTACTAGATCTGGCAGGCTTCGGTTTTGTAAAGATGAAGAAAGGTGCTGGAGAACTCAACTAAACGAAGAACTTTGGAAAAAGTGTGCATTGTTACATTGAACTAAATAGTAGCATTTCTTGCTTTTTCTTTCCGCCGGGCAGCCCCCCCCCCCCCCCCCATCCTTTGTGCTGTTTTCTATACTGTAGATTATGGTTAGCCTATGTTTGTGGCACCAGTTTGCCACGAGCCAAAAAGTAGCAAAGGGCGTCTCACTGAGGTCTCGCTTGCCGTCGCTGTTGCACTTGCTCCACTGGGCCAGCGTGTGGATGGGCACAAAGTTGGCTTCATACTCGCAGTTGGGGTTGGAGAGCACGCCCCGCAGGTGAGGAACCAGGTCTGTCGACCGGCCGCTGTACGGCCCCAGGAACAGCCGCTTCTGGTCGTAGTCGTTTGCGTGCAGGTTGTCCCAGAGCACGGGGGCACGCCGGAGCACCTCCGTCAGCTCTTGAATCGACTGGACTGTTATCGTCTTGGAGATCACTTTGTGCCCTGCACACAGGACAGCGTCAGTCGAGTGCTGCTGGTGGCATTCTCGCACCTCGAGCCAAGGGCAGAACCAATATGCAAAAGCCTCCTAACCGACACTGAAATAACTGTGGTTATATTTAAGGTTCGGTGTTTTTGAGGTTCATTTTTTGTTGAATTCCGGGGTGTTTTTTTGGGGTTTATTTTCTCCCACAGATGGCGTAATAGTTTGGTGTCAATTTTTGAGATCATCCAAAAAATCTGTGTTTATTGAGGCTTCTGTTGTAGAAAACAGGGACATGGGATTCCCCGACCTCCAGATGTGCAGGAACCAAACATTGGGAAAACATTTGGACAGCGACAAGTGAAGGAAACGGGAAAAAATGGGCATGGTTTCCGAAGACAGTAGCAGCCTCACGGAGAGTTCAGTGGGGGCTTTCTTCCGGATCAGCACAAAACAAAACTGCCAATGAAGATTTATCCCGCGAATCTTGGGTTTTTGTGATTCATGGACAGCTCCTATTCGGGTAACAATAATAATCCCCGGAGGAGGCGAACAAGGGGGACAATGGACAAACACAAATCTCCAAACACAGCTGAATAATTTTAATCATTATTTTTGTCCAGCTCGTTTGCACCTTTGCAACAATTGCATTATCATCCCATTCAAGCTTTTTCGATTTTCCCCATTGTATAAAATGGGTTTGGGGGCAACTTTCGGGGTTTATCGGTTTTTACCAACATGGCACCCCAGTTATAATGCAATTGCAATATTGCAACACGGTGAAGGCTCCCACTGAGAGCGCAATATATGGCTGTAGGTAAGACGTCAATGACAGTGATGGCTATACGCAACTGTCAGCATGGCTAGCTGCTCCCAAAAAGTGTACAGCGTGCTGGTGTATAACCGCAAATGAAATACAAAAATTTGGTGGCTGCGAAAACAGGTCAGAAAATGCTTCAGCTGAGTCGCCAATACACATTTTTAACATTTTTGTGTTCTTTGTTGACTTTTTCATTCAGTCTTGTGCTTTAAACGCAGCGTGTGCACTGACATCTGCCCACGTGAACTCTTTAACGCTTTTCTCGCACCAAAAAAACATCATATACAGTGAGCCCCATGCATGTAAAGGAGGCAATTAAGAATGGGCGTACGGTCAAAGGTAAGACGTTCGTGCTTTTTCAGTGACTATGGAAAGGTTAAATGGCAGAAAATGCACACACAAAGCATTCATCTAAACACTGCAAGTAGCCGATACCGCGTGCTAATTGTCGACTCCATCAGCCCAGGCTGTCGGCCATTTGTGTCCCTTAAGGCTCGTTCACACTCTTGCAACCGAGTATGACCGACAGAGACCGAGACTTGTTAAAAACTTATAAAATTTCTTAGGACGAGAGAACACACTGGCACGCTGGCGCCATCTATACGGTGACCCTGGAACTACATTTCACAAGAGCGAAAGTTTTGCGGTATTTCCGACGTCAAATGTGCGTAACATCTATAAGAAAGGCTCAATTATAACGTCGAAAAAGGTTTTTCAAGCCCAGAAAAAAAGGATAATGCACGAGGGAAATAGAAAATATACCGGACCGCCAAGTTTACACTGCCACCCAATAGATGGCGCCAGTGTGTCCTCTAGTTGTAAGAGGTTTTAAGGAACCCAGTTTTAAGAAGTCGCAAGAGTGTGAACGAGCCTTTACTGGCTCCTTTCAACTCTGCAGGCATGCTAGAACTATCAACCGAGCCGGCAATCGCTGTTCTGGCATCGGGGTCTCACAGCCTTGCAAGCACACAAACCTGTCCTCACGGACACATGATACCATTTTTTTTCTTTTCTTTTAGCATGCGCCTTTCTGTTGGTGGATGGAACGTAAGCTGCGTCCAGCTGCTTTAAAACAATTGTAGAGCTCCTGTCACGCTGCTAAAGTATGGTGGTCTTGGTTACAGACCCGTTTCCGGGGTAAAGTGAAAATCTTCTTAGGATATTAAGAGCACCTGGAAATTATTGTATGCAGCCGAAAAACTGTTTCTGTGCGTCAAAAAAGATGTGCATGCATAAAAACGGTGGCACACATGATGACAGGGTTTACAGACACTAGACGACTTACCATTAATCGCAAAGAAATCAAGTATTTTAAAAGGCCGCTTTTTGGCTGTCTTTATTAAAACAACAAATTTAAACTGACAAGAAAAAAAAAGTGAAATTCTGAGAATGCTTTTTTGCCACAAATAGACACATAAGATGAAGCATTCCACTTCCTTACCTGTCCACATAATGTCTATGCCAGGCATTAGCTTGAGCCCAATAGTATTCAAATACTCAGAACTCTGGACATTTGGAACTGCCCTAGCAGCACAGTATTCTGTAAAAAGACAGCAAAACAGTGATAAGTGGCAGAATGCGCAGACGTAAAACTGACCGATGACCAACCTGTAGGGCAGAATATAAATTTTGGCTGATTCAACTCCTGGTAGACATCATTTGTTACTGAAACTTGCGCATGCGCAAACGACTGAAAGACTTCTTTATCTGTCTCGCTGATCTCAGGTTCAATGTCGTCAAAAAGCAGCGCAAATGCACTACAGCCAAACTGAGCAACCTGAAAAGAAACTTTCGTTGGTAATAATACATATGCAGTAAAAAAAAAGCAAGCAAGCAAAGGTAGTTTTAACTTGGTCCTTACCTGTTCCAACTTTCGCTTCAGACAGGAGACTTCCTTAGAATTAGAATAAGTGATGTCTAGGCCAGGAGAGAGAGCATAGTAAAAATGTACTCCATTTTCCTTTGCAGCTTGAATGAGGTTCGTTAGGTGCTCTAGGAAAAAGAAGTGTCATTGTTCTCAATGTCCTCATGTCTTAGAGAACGGGGATATACAGAAACACCACAATTACCAGCTTCCTCTACAGTGTAAAGCTCCCTCCAGTAAGCTCTGTGCTTGAAGTCATCTTTTGGGGCATACATGTAAGTGTTCAGGCCCAATTTCTTCATTCTGGAAAAACAAAGATTTCTGTTAGATCAGAAATGACCACAGCAAAGCAGGGTCAAATTAACTTGAGTAAAGACATGCAGCAAGAATCAGTGTTGACAAACCTCTGAAATAAATCTTTTCGTTGCTCCGTCGTCCATGGTCGTCCATAAAACCCTGGAAAAGAAAATAAAAAAAAATAAAACATGATATTTCTTTCCTAAAAGACAGCCAAGACAAATCTAGCCAAAAAATAAGATCACACCTACTTGATCTCGGACGAAAAAAAAGGAGTGAATTAATGGGGCAAACCTGAAGTAAGGCTGCTTTTCAAAGTTTGGATGTTATTATCTTCTGATTATGTTTTTTTTGGTAGAATGTAAAACACCTTTAGCATCTGGGGACACACAAATGCAAGCATGAAACCTCAGAGAAGTCGTGCTTTGATGGCAAATTTACTAAATATTTGAAGAGTACAAATGAGGAATACAAGTATCGTGTCAATAAACCCTCGATGATAAAGTAAAACATGCAGGAACTTGCGCATTTTGCAACATGAACTCTGACACTTTATCATGACAAACATTCCAAAGTTATAATCTGTTACTTTCTACGGGGGTTCATTTTAGAGTGCAGCTCTTAGACGCCTGTTTCCGGCTTGAGCGGCGTCGCCGTCGGCGTAACCGCGCGGTGCATTGTGGGACGCGTGACGACACTGATGACGCCATCAGTGACGTCACATCCGCATCGTCATCGTCACTGATGACGTAATCGGCATCCGCATCGTCATCGTCACTGATGACGTCACTAGTGATGATGACGTCATCAGTGACGTCACTGATGACGTCATCGTCACGTGACCTCATAAAGGTCACGTGACCCCCGCGAGGTCACGTGACCCTCATGAGGCGACAGCAACGCCGCTCGGAGGGAGGAGTAGCAGACAAGATGAGGAGGTGAAAAGGAGGGAGGAAGGATATACCTTCCCCTCAATACCCTTCCCCTCCTCCTCAAGAGCTGCGCTAATTCGGCGTTACAGGGAGTTGTAAACAGCAGTCATTTTTTTCCCCTTCTAGCTCCAGAGACAATCAAGTTGGAAATCAAGTGCCAAGCTTGATTTTGGTAATGATTCTTGTTTAATTTTTATTATAATTCATGCTCTCTGGTGCAGTTGCATAAAATAGAAGGAAAAGTTGCAATGGGCATAATTTTCCACATTACATCCTTCTTGTCAGGGTAACATTGCTGAGTGTGAAAGTTTCATCGAAGCTTGCCTTGACTTCAACCTCTCGCAGCTTGTAACACTAACACGCTCCACTACTTCAACCTCAAGTATTCTTGACCTCATCTTGACTACACAACCTGACTTTTACTACCCTTCCAAAGTTATCTGATCACAACGTTCTGTTTGCGCAAATCATTCTGCCAGTAACAAGAAAGGAAACTATTCGAAAACCCATTAGAAGCTATGGCCGGGCTAACTGCGATGCAATAAACAGCGAATTAGCACTTTTTTATGAAGAGGTTTTCTTGCATAACTTCGAAAGCCGCACAGTTGAGAAAAACTGGGAGCTATAAGGAAATAAAGTTAAATATCTGATTGATAAGCATGTTCCTGTTATTTTCATTAAGACGTCAAATATCTCTCCGTGGTATGACACAAGCCTGAGGCGCCTAGGGATAAAGAAAAAACAACTATTCAGGCGTGCCAGGTACCGTGACAGTCCCTCCGACTGGCAGGCATACCATGAGTGCGAAACAGAATATAAACAAGAAGTTACTATAACTAGAAATTCTTACTACCAAATCACTCTCCCCAATATGTTGCGTACAAACTCCAAAAAATTGTGGACAGTAAAAAATTCTAAATCGGCTCATGCATTAGGAAATTCACTATCTGACCTCGAAAGTGCTACTGTTTAGAATTCTGCTTTTTCTGCAGTATTTTCATGTGAGAATACGGCCCTGCCTATTTTGGATATGTTTTTTGAACATGATCAAATGGAAAGTATAATGATTAATTCATCTGGTGTTGTAAAACCAATTCATAACTTGAAGGTTACTTCTTCGAGTGGTGAAGACGAAATTAATTCGAAGGTTTTAATGAATACTAAAACAATTTCCAGTGTCATATTGTCCGCAATTTTTTCACAATCTTTGCTTTATCATTCTGTTCCTAGTGACTGGAAGGTCGGTAAAATTATCCCAGTATTTAAATCAGGTGAACGGAGCTCCCCGTTAAACTATCGGCCCATATCCATTAGAAGCATAGCTTCAAACATTTTTTAACATGTACTACATTCGAACATTAATCAGTTTTTAGAGGAAAATCAATTAATTTTTAATTACCAGCATGGGTTCCGGAATAGTCATTCCTGCAAGACTCAACTCGCAGGATTCATTAATGATATCCATCTTTGTATTGACTTTGGTTCCCAAATTGATGTTATTTTTCTTGATTTTGCCAAAGCGTTCAACCGGGTCCCACATAAGCGTCAGTTACAAAAACTTACACATCTAAAATTAGATAGTAACATCATGCTGTGGACCAAAGACTGGCTTTCTGACCGCAGTCAGTGCACGGTCGTGAACTCTCATAGTTCAACTTCTACTCCTGTGTCTTCGGGTGTACCTCAAGGGTCCGTCCTTGGACCCTTGCTTTTCTTAATATATAGTAATGACTTACCTTCATATATTTCCTCCCGCATTCGTATTTTTGCAGACAACTGTGTTGTATGCAGACAAATTTCTAGATACCATTCAACTACAACATGACCTCACTAACCTATCATTGTGGTGCTCGACTTGGCTAATGAAGCTTAACCCTTCTAAATGCAAACTCACCTCATTTGTTAGGAAAGAAGCCTTTTTTTCTCATAACTATTTTACTGATTCTAACGTTGCCGAGTCTGTTTCCTCCTATAAATACCTAGGTGTTCACGTTGACTCGCATCTTTCCTGGAATGCACATATTCGGTCACTGTTATCATCGTGGAATTGTTCGTTGAACTACCTGAAACATACACTTCGTTGTGCTCCTCCTCCCTTAAAGAAAACTGCATACCTTTCATATTAATTCAGCCGAAACTTCAGTATGCATCGAGCATCTGGGATCCTCACCAAGCATATTTGATCACTGAAATAGAAGCCTTTCAAAACCGAGTTGCATGCTTTATTTTTTGTGAGTATTCTCGACATTCCAGCGTCACCTTATTAAAACAGTAAGCCGACCTTCCAGAACTAGCCTTAAGACGCAATGTTTCTTGCTTATGACTTTTTCATTGCATTTACTATGCACCATATCTCAGCCAAAGCACAGTCACATTTCATTACACCTCGTCTTAATCAGTCATGCAATATTGACCGTTCTCCCTGCCGCACTCCCTTTTTTGTATTCCTTCTTCCCCAAAACAGCAATGTGGTAGAATGATCTAACGAAGCACATCGTCACCGAGACTAACCCTGATCGTTTTCATTCTCTTATCAGCAGCCATTTAGGTATTGTCTGACTTAGGATTCCTTGAATGTTTGCAAGATTTTAGTTTTTGTTGCTTCATTTACGATTTCTTGAATGTTTGCACTGCTGTGAAAGTTTTTAATTTTATTATTTTTGTGTGTGTAATATATGATGTACTTATCCCCCCCTTATGTAATGTCCTTCCCAGAAGGACCTTTAAGGTATTTCAATAAATAAATAAATTATCTAGCCCTGGGCATCTTGTAGCTGTCATCTAGCGCAGCTTACACACTGTATTTTAGGGGCAACATGACTTCCTGCAGCACCAAAAATTACAGCGCTTAAGCTGCACTAGATGACAGCTACAAGACGCCCAGAGCCAGAGAATGTTTGTACATCTTGTACATCTTGCCGAGACGTCGACGTCCTGGTGTTCAGTGAGTGGGGCGCTAGTGCCCCACCTCTGCAAGCGACCACGAGTCCGATCGGCTTTCTTTTAATACACGAGAAGAGATATAATAAGTTGATCCAAGTCGTCGATACCACGGTACGAATACTCTCACAAACTGAGACCCCAGATCGGGTAAGAAAGTGTTTCCCGGGTGACTCCGCTGTTCTGTTTGACACCGCAAATGTCAACATCGTCAGAGCCGATATCGGCGTGTTGTCTGCGCACCACTGACGGTGAGTACGAAGAGCAAGCACGGTAGCACATTCCATACACCACACTTGATGCAAGCAGAGAACTTTCACGAGGACCATATAATTTCGGTGTTTATTTTGTGCCCCACTTGAAGTCTGTAGTGCCCCAATGGCGCCGGAGTGGAATTCACAGACGTCGAGCTCGCCCGCCGAGTGAGTGCTTGTGACGTTGACGAAACCTCCCGAGAACTAGCCCCACTTACCTTCAACAACGCCGCACACCATATTCTCGTTCCTTGAATTCGCATTGCTGGCTGAATCCACGGACGAGGTCTCTTCGCCCATTTTCCGCTGCGCTGACAATAAAAAAAGAAAAAAATAAACAAAAAAAACCGACGCGCTCGGCGGCTGGTTGGTCCGCTGGTTCACTCCAGTTCGGTTCGGTAGCTGTTCAAACAGCGCTGGTTCAACTAATGAAGGGATTTACTGCACCCCGCTGTTAAAACTCCACATTAAAAACCGGGATCTAAATACTTCAATGCGTAAATGACTAAATTTAGAAAGAAAAAAGAAATCTTAGAGAGATTCTGATATGTACATCAGGGGTCAAAGTCCCCCAAAGGCCTCAACCTAGGGGGGCTCTAGTGAGGGTGGGCGCAACTGCTAGATCGGGGCAAAGGGGGCAAAGGGTCGTATATTTCCTAACTCAGGTCATAAGAGCCCATTAATGTGCTTGAATAATTTACGCAAGGTATAAATGGTAAATTCTAGGGGTGTCGCGAACTTTTGTCGAACCGGATTTTTAGGTCAAACTTTCGGGGTTCGACTGGGTCGAACCAATGCGACGAACTTCGAAAATTTTTCACCAGATTCGACCGGTTCGACTTTGTGGACAGTGTGGCCAGACCTTAATACAAGCATGTCTAGGTTTGAAGAATTTTTTTTTATGCAAAGGATTGTTTTATTTTATGAACAGTTGTAATTAAACCAATTTTTTTGATTTAATTATTATTTTTTTTGTTTAATTATTATTTTTTTGTACTGTAATAACTGAAATAACCAATCAGCGCTGCCCTTAATTCATCACTTAGCCATCGCCATCCAATCCGAAGCCAACTGGCCAACCTGTCGCGCATGCGCACACGAGTCGAACCACAATACAAGGTCGTCGAATTTTCACTAAAAGTTCGAAAAAGTCGAACCTGGTCGACCTCGAACCTCGGCCGGTTCGCGAATCTCTATGGTTCGCGACACTGATCAGCGGTTCGCGACTGCTGCTGCCTTGTCTGGCAACCCTGCTTTCTCCTCTCGAGTCTCGACGAGTATATACAGATAAAGTATATATACAGATAAAAATAAGCAATGGAAACGCTTTAAAAGAGGAAAGGGGGGGAGGGGGGGGTTGTGTTAGAAAAAAAATTATACAAAGTTTAAAATAGAAGGGATGACGAAATGTTAAGCTAGGTAGCGCAAGCTGCCGTCCGTTACAAAGGGTGTAGTTGTTATTCATCCATCCGCACAAAAACACCAAAAACAATAAATAAAGAAAAAACAGTTGCATAATAATTCATTAGGGAGCGGATTACTATTTGAAGCTAGAACGGGGGAGCTAAGAACGAAAACATATAGGGCTAAATTCCAGGAAATAGACACTTTATGCGACATATGCAACCTATGCAACCATGGTATGCATCCGACCAACCTCGAGTCGTTGGCGAGGCAACCCACTGATCAGTGGGTTGCCGGGTTGCCCGCAATCCTTTGATCCGCGTGTTTCGCCGACAACATGGCCGACAGAGCAGCGCGGCGCGAGTCACGTGGTACTCGGGGTTCCAGGAGGCGGCCCCACCATGGGCCCCACTCAACACGGCTAATTAAAAATTAAACGCCAAGTTCACACTTTTCGAAACTAGTCTGTCGTGAGTTTGGTAAAGCACTAAACACTTTATCAAAGTTTTCATAATATCGGATGTGTGTAAAAATTTGGAGAAGGCAATTTCCAAGGCAATGGCGTTTGAAGCAGACGATTTTTGTACGCAGCGGAGATGGACTTCCTGGGATGGCCGGAGCGGGTCACGCGGACGGTGCGACGTCTCCGTGACGTCGCCGCGTGGTCTGCTGCGTGATGCCGCTGAGGCAATTTTTTTTTTTTAACATTAAGCCCTTAGATGGCACGCAACTTAGCGCAAATTATTCTAAAATGTTCCTTTATTATGTCAAAGACTATTGTTCCCCATGCATTTCTGATAGGAGTTGGAACCCCCGGGCGTTCGCCGCTATTCGCCGAAAGATGGCATTCTAGATTGCGCTACTCTGCGCTACTCTTGGGGGAGGGGGGGGGGGGGGATACTACGGATTTGGAGAGGTGCACTGTGATTTGCTGACATGGATGAACGAATGGATGGGGAAATAATTGTAATTTGTAACTAAGAAGACTGGCCGTGGAAAAGATATTGGGAGGGGTAAACAATACAGATAAAAATAAGCAATGAAATCACTTTAAAAAGGGGGGCGGGGGTTGTGTTATAACAAATTTATACAAATGAAAAAAAAAAAAAAAAGATGAATTGCTAGGCTAGGTGGCGTAAGCTGCCCCCAGTTCCCATCGACGCGCTTCCTGCCAACGTTGTTTCCCGCTCCCGCGATCAGGGAGTCGGGTGTACATAGCCTCATCTAAGACGTCACTACCATCATCATGAAATCTCCCTCTCCCCTCACAACCCTTCCCCTCCCGTCTCAGGAGCACAACTCCATAGCGGGTGAACCCCTCATCAAATAAAAACGTCTCTCTCTCTCTCCCGCTCCCGCGAGTGAAGCCACCGGACGGCCATCTTGCTCGCAGACGAATTGCGGTTTCGCTAGCACTGGCAGAGGCTAGCGGCAGTGTGCTGAAGATACGTTTTCTATTCGTTCGTCGTTATTCACTCAAGAAGTTTTTTTAAGACACCGTGTAAGCACTGAGACTTGCCATTGATAATACATGGAAAATTTTACGAAAAGGCAGTTCCGCACGAAAAAGGCAGAACTCGTAGAAAGCAAGTTTCGCCGGTCTCACGGCATGATCAAAGCTTCCTTGGCACGCCAAAATTCTGCGTCTCTGCCATGCACCTTTGCAAGTCCGGCTTCAGGGTGCTGCCATCTTGCTTGACTGGGGTGCGCTTGGGCGAATCATAATCCAATTACGAAGCCTTGCTAAGGCATCGTAATCGGATTATGGCCGCACCCAAGAGCGCGCCCCACTGAGGAAGATGGCGGCTCCCTGAGACCGGACTTGCAAACGTGTATTGATATTATATATTGCACTTGGGAGGTAGAAATGTAGAGGCGTGCTGGTGTAGGGGGAAGGCTGATGCCCATGGTGTCACAACACCGACCCATGCACTCTTATATATATACATTTGTACAAAACTGAAAAAAAAACAAAAAAAAACTAGTGTGCTTACAACACCGTATCCAATTAAGTGTACCTTCACACGTTGGATACCGATCAAGAATCGGCGCTGCGGCAAAGTTTTGAAGGTGTGTCATGCGTAGATGAATGTCTTTGCATCATATATATCAGCCGCAGAGTTCTGGATCGTCCAGCTGTTCCGGCGATTTGTTATCATTGTATCTGCTAGTAAATATGTCTACTGAAACTGCAACTTGAAACTAGGGGCAGTTCCAGAGAGATGTGGGGAAAGCTTGCTTGCTCTCCCCAATTCCTCAACTACTCAAGTGGTTGTACCATAATAAATGCACCAACGCCTCTTCCCAAAATAAAGAAAAAGCACAATGTTCACTACGTAAAAAATGGTCTCAGTTCATGCATCTGTGGCCAGGTAGGAAATCTTGCCCAAATTTATTCACATTGCATGATGAGTGCAACGAACTCGCACGAGATTTACAGGAAAATATAGGTGGCGACTTAAGTTTCCCAGAAATTCTGTATAACCGGTCGTTTGCAGAGCGGCGTGCGTCGCTGTGCAAACGCAGCCCAACAACACGAAGCATAAAAACGGCAGATTTAGGACTACAATCCGGAGTCCATTGTTCAATTAAAACGACGTAATTTTGTTGAACGCCCGCAGCTTTTTGCTCATGGTATGCGTTGCGAATCTTTCACAATTTGAAACGGAACGAAGGAAGATTTACTTTTGAAGACGCTCGCTGCGTCCTCCCGGACCAGCTGATGACGACGGGACAACCCGTTGAACCTCAACCCCACAACAACCAATTTGCGCTCCGTGTTAGCGTGGGTTTCTACCTCCAAGCACCGCACCACACACCACGAACGTTTCAGCTCTTTGTCGCATCGCGGTGTTGCACCAAACAGAACGAGATCGCCAAAGTCAACGCAGCACTGTCGTGAACCTTGGCTTGCGGTTGCCATACCTCAGCAGACCTCACTTATGAGGGCCCTCACTCACCCTAATCTTCACAGGTGGGGTGAGGGTGAGTGAGTTTCTGAACATCGAAAAATTAATGAGTGCGAGGGAGGATGAGGACCGTGAGGTCGTGAGGGGTGTGAGGGCCATGAGGGCTGTGAAGTCTGTGAGGACCGTGAGTGCGGGAGGGCGGTGAGGGCGGTGAGGGCGTGAGGGGCGTGAGGGCCATGAGTGCGTGAGGGCTGCGAGGACCGCGAGCGGCGAGTGCGTGAGGGCCGTGAGGGCTGTGAGGACCGCGAGTGCCTGAGGGCCGTGAGGGTGTGAGGGCAATGACTGCTTGAGGACCGTGAGGGCTGTGGGGACCTTGAGGGCTGTGAGTGCGTGAGGGCTGCGAGGGTTGTGAGGACTGTGTGTGTGAGGACCGCGAGTGTGTGAAGGCCGTGAGTGTGTGAGGGCCATGAGTGCGTGAGGGGTGCAAGGACCATGAATGCCTGAGGGGCGTAAGGGCCGTGAGGTTCCGTGAAGGTGAGTGAAGGGCTGAAAGTCAGTGTGACTGTGAGGATGAGGGTGAGTGAGGGGCTGAGGGTAGCTGTGAGGGCGAGGGCAAGTGAGAGGCTGAGGTGAGTGTGGCTGTGAGGGTGAGGGTGAGTGAGGGCAACCTAAAATGCCGACCTCTGGTGGTTGCACACGGATGGACCCTGTGACTCCCTTCGCTTTCAAAGCACACACGATTACGAATGATACTTTCAGTCTTCCAGGAACATCACGAGGGCACTTCTCTGGTCATGTCTTCATTACATATGTACTCGCAGACCGCGGAGCTTCTCGCGTGCCGTCAAACCAAAACAATACCAGCGCCATGTTGAACGTGCATTGCCTGCCAGATTTTCAACGACCAAACAAAAACAACGAAAGCAAACCGGCTCTAGTTTCCAGCGTACATCGGCGTTGCGCCATGGCCAGATTTTTTCCCGTCAGCTCAATGATTTACAGATGCAGCAACACTGCAGGTACAGTTTTAATATGGTGGCCAGCACAAATCCCGGACAAAAGCTCACCAGACAGGAGCTAACCAAACAAAAGCTTACTCATTTTTTTACAGACGCGGACAAAAGCTCACCAGGAGAAAATTTCATGTTAGTCTTTACACAATGCGGACAACTTAGGTGCATGCGTGCGGAACTAAAATGCAACGATAAAATAAATGTGACAGGCGTGTGGTTTGTTGATTAGAGTAGAAACAAGTTTATTTATCAATTGGTTAGAAGCGAATGCAGTCCCCTAGTATCTCCAGCAGTCTTGGTAGATCTCGGTGTACCTGGAACCCCTCGCAAATATTTCTCAGATTATAATCTGCCGGCGCAGAGTGGATTTTTGCATCCGCTTCACTGGGGGCTCACCTCACCGGGCTCGTGTCAATGCCGTGGCAATGAGCACCTGATTTTGCTGTAGGTATTCAATCAGCCGCCAGACGCTTGGATGGGCATGACCGATCTGATACCTGGTATTCCATCCTTCGTAGGTGTTGCTCGTCCAGTCTTTATCTTGAAGAGTGGTGTCGTACATATTCCAACGCTCCGGGAAAAACTCCGGTCATCGTCGGCGCACAGCCAGGCAAAGGGAAGAATTCGCTCAGAGTGCCGCCACGCAAGGAGCAGAAGCATAATGGAAAGGGGCCGTTGACATATGTGCAATCAAAGTAGTCCAGCAGGTCGCCGATGTCATCATTAGACTTTTCCCTGATGTAGGTTAGTCCTTCGGGCACAAGCCGTGGTGGAAGGAACGCCTGCCTATCCAAAATCCTGCACAGCTTTCTAAATTGTTCATCATGTTTTGTACTTATCCAAAAGGCTCAACTCTCGTTCCTTCAAAATATTTCAAAAATTCGCAACTCCATGGATTGTATACTACATGTTGAATATACCCGAGACTGGGGTAGAAAGGAACATAAAAGTCGAACAAACAGAAAGGGACAGGACGACGTCTCAAACTCAGCTACCAGGTTTATTTAGTCCTCCTCCTTATACAGCCCACAAACAGCCCACCACCAACACAAAGGGGCAACTCTAACCAGTTCCAACGCCAAACCTTCCAGACAGTCACTACCAACACAAAGGGACAACCTCTAAACAGTCCAAACGCCAAACCCTCCAATTCCCAAAGTAGCGCTATGGACGGCCTTCATGTTGATTCACAAAGGTAACTCAGCAATCTCCCCCAAGATATAACAAAAGGACCAGTACCTATTCCAAACTAACAAAGATTCACACACACACACACACACACACACACACACACACACACACACACACACACACACACACACACACACACACACACACACACACACACACACACACACACACACACACACACACACACACACACACACACACACACACACACACACACACACACACACACACACACACACACACACACACACACACACACACACACACACACACACACACACACACACACACACACACACACACACACACACACACACACACACACACACACACACACACACACACACACACACACACACACACACACACACACACACACACACACACACACACACACACACACACACACACACACACACACACACACACACACACACACACACACACACACACAAATTTTTTTTACTTAAAATGTTTTTTTCCTCCTCTACGAAAGGATGACACGCACTGAACCTAAAACGGTACAAAGATGAACAGTACAGCATCTCTCCCCTTTCCCCCCCAAAAAAAAACAAAAAAAAACAACATAATTATATTTTTAAAAAGCTTATGGAATTTTTACCGAACTGTAACGACGCCTGACTTATGCAATTACCTAGAGAATTTATTCGTACCGTCTCCCTTATTAGCCTTTTTGTATCATTCCTCTCCTTGTGAATGATTTCTGTCTCCAACCAAATAGCAGTGCAGTTGTTACATTCGTTGACATGTTTTGCGATTTCCGAGTTCGGTGCACTGTTCTTCAAGTTTCTTTTGTGTTCACTTAATCTGTCGTTGATGCATCGTGATGTTTGTTTTACATACTTAAAACCGCATTCCAGTGGTATCTCATACACCACACCATTCTCGCAATTTACCGATTTTCTCGATGGTTCTTTTTGCAGTTGTTCGCACCTGTCTGAAATGGCGTCAATCTACTGAGTTTAAAATCTGAGCTGAAGACCGTGTCTACTCCAAACTTTTTCGCACATGCCTTCAAGTTGTGCGAAATTTCATGAAAATAGGGGATCACGGCAAATCTAGTCCTTTTACCCTGTTCCTTTTCTCTCTTTCCTTTGATAACTTTCTAACTGCCGTTTGATAAAACTGTCTTTATACCCTACACTGATCAACCTTTTGCATTGTCTTTTAACTGAATCCATGATGAAATGGACACACAATCTGTCTAGTGCGTTTCTGACCAACAACTTTACAACCCCAGCTTTTACAGTCTTGGAATGACAGCTAATCCTTGGCAACACCGGTTTAGAATTTTCTTTTCCGTATTCCCAACATACCCCTTGATTTACATGTATACGTAAGTCTAGGAACTCTAGGATCCCTCTTTCTGGTTTTTCCGCAGTAAACTTCAATTCTGGAGCCGCTGACCTTATCTCACGTTCCAGACTGCCCGTTAAATCATTCATTACCGTGCAAATTATGATGTCGTCCACATATCTTCTTACTAATGCCATACCCGGGGACTTCTCCTGCAGTCTGTTATGCACTACTCGATCCAAGAAGTTTAAGTACACTTCTGCCAAAATCGGTGCGACCGACGAACCTCTACAAACCCCGTCTTTTTTAGCGTACTTCCTTCCTTCGTATTCAATTACCGTCGACTTCAGATAAACCTCAAGGATCGTTAGGAAACTCTCTACCGATATACCACGGTTAACATCCACCAGCTCGCCTGCACCCTTACTATTTTATGCATACTACAGTTTTGCTTTAGTTTCCCTTTAACATCACCCCAGGATAAACCCTTGATTTCAAATACATTTACAAAGCACAATAACGAAAAGAATTTAATTTTCTTAGCCATTCACTTCAATTCATCCTGAACACTAAGAGAACTCATACATTAATGATGAAGAGACATTGTGCCTAACTTTTATGTGCCTGCTTAGCGTGACATAAGCACAATTAAAAAGCGAGGTCACCCCTTGAGGTCACCAAAGGGTGACTTCGCTTCTTCGGTCACTCTTCAGTTTCAAAAACTTTGGTTTACGAAGTTTCTTGGGCGTGGCACAAGGGTGCTCCGGCATACCTCGAGTCAAAGAAGCTTGATCTTATCAGCTCCACCCAGTTGTGGTGACTTGAACTCTGGTCCCAAATCGTTGCTTCTCTGCCCATTATGGCTCATTTGTCGACACCTTTGCATGGGTTGGGGTACCAGTTCTCCTAAAAATGGTGCAATGTCTATCGCGTCGGCACTTTATCCCAACTCGTGTTTCGCACATGTAACAAAGAAAAAAAAAAATGAGGTGAACTTTTGTGCGGGTTTGTGAAAAAAACGGGTGAGCTTTTGTCCAGTGAGCTTCTGTCCAACGAGCTTTTATCCGGTTACCGGCCAACATGGACCGCCATAAATTCTGAGGAGGTTGCATGGGAAGCAGCGGCACCTCTCTCCCCTCTGCCATCTACTGAGAAGCACTTGTGGATACTTGCAAGCCAGCTTGCCTAGACAGCTGCACTCTAGCCAGTGGGTGGTCAATTTCACAATAGTTGCCAATAGCCCACCCTCAACAGGGAGAGGTCTCACCAATTAACTACAATGGCAAACCTATCGAAAATATTGAGGCTACACGTCACAAAGCGACAAAGGCCACAAGCGATGCCCCCAATTCCTTGGGAAAGAGGCACCCGTAGTTCAGACCCTGTGCCCTGCACCCAAGCCGAACCTCACCACCACGAGGGCGGCTTTGATGGCATCAGTACCAGCTTAGAAGCCTGCTCCTTGAGTTCAACATCACACAGACACATGCTCCTATTGACAAATACCTAGAGGCTCTTTATTACTCAAACTATGTCATTCAACAGAGTGCATGTCTCGCGCTTAATTATTACACAGTAGAATTGTAGTTCAACGAAATAAATTCTGAATATATTAAAATTGTACTGCCAGTAATAAGTACCTGACGAACCGAAGTCAATAATAGCGATAACCAGATGAGACAGCTATTCTCTTACATCTTGAACAGGAAACAGCCGAGACAGGAGGTAGCATTAGCTCGTAGGGAATTTGGTAACTGCATCGTGAATGGCCTTGGCCACATACTCAACATTGCCGGTGTTCAGCCCACAGAGGCTGATGCGCCCGTCTTTCGGGAGGTACACGTGATACTCTTCGACGAGGTGCTGTACCTGTCGTTCTGCCCAGAGAAAAAGAAAGCAAGGATGACGTCACACACTGGACATTTTATCCGAGGGTTGGCAAGATAATGCTTTTGCACGCCATCTTAGAGGCAGCATCCTGCCAGAGGCGCTAACAGCAAGTGCTAAATGCAATTGCTGCATTTATTTCAACATAGTCTTTTTAGCACTGAGCTAGGTACTCATTGAAGCTTCCAATGAGAAGGCAACATGGTTACTGGTTTTCTTGGTGCTAAACAAAGAATGCACTTATGACATGTGACCAACATTTAATTTGCAGACAGTGCCTTCAAAAAAGTAATTTAAAAAAATAGTGGTTAGTTTTGTAAGTTTAGAAACAGTATGTAAAGAATGCTCATCTGAATTTTATATAGCAACACGTTTATAAATAAATGACGAACATCTACATGCACAATATTTCATCCTTGTTCTTCTACAGGCTCAGACACAAGACAAACAATATCTGCACAGATTCTGCCATCAACCTGGTGTTGCGGTTTTGCGGAAGGCAAGGGCTCGTGGCTTTAGGAAGTACCCCTCTTATGCGAGTGCTTGAGCAAACAAAGACCTTAGCAGAGTTATGCTCACACATGTGCATTTGATAACACAAACTATCTGTGAGATGGCAGAAGGTTCTTTGTTTTGGATTTAAGTTTTCAAAACTAAATTTTTTTTCATGTCATTTTTTATGATTCAAAAGTTTTGGGTACATTATTTACTTGAATCAGGTTTTATACAGAAACCAAGAACCTTAATAGTGGATGCAGAGATCAAGAAAAGGAAACTTGACGACAGCAGCGCACAATCTAGCTAAATGAAGTTGCAGTTCCCAACTGTCTCGTAAAACACAGTTTGAAAATTTAACACAATATTTTGTATGTTCAACTTGGGTGTGAATCCAGTGCAAATTCAGAAAAGTCCCCAATTTTCATGGCTCCAGTTGGTCTCAAGTTCTCAAACAGTAGTCAATCTAAGCAATTCATGAATTCAGAATTCATGAAAATTAAGTGCACTGCACTAGTATTTACACCCACTTATTACTGGTCAAGTGCAGATCAGACTGCGGTCGTGTACCACTACTGTACTGCACTGGCTAAATCTCTCATCTACAGTGAGTGACTCGTCGCAACTTTGAAATGGCTGACCAACTACTCGCTGTCTAAATATCCACGCAACCCCAATTAATAATGCAGATCAGATTGGACTCGATAGATCTACTATCTACTTACGGTTGAGACCAGTGTAGGAAAACATGCCAATCTGGTTTGTGATGTGTTCCCAGGATCCTGGCGTATTTAATTCTGCAAGCTTGTCTTTGAGGGCTTTCCTCATAGCGAAAATCCTGTTTGCCATGGTTTGGATGTGGCCCTTCCTGGAATACAAATTAGCAAATGAAAAGAAAATGTCCAAGATTTTACCCACAGCTTGAATTTGTTGGAGTAAATTATTTATCATTAATACATTGTTATAAGCCTTTAAAGATAAAAAGACATGCAAAACCATTTTTTTTTTCTCCATTTCTATACATATTTTTAGAGATCCGGCGACACTAAAAAAGATGGTCTCGCTTTTGTGCCAAGCCACAGCACAAACTGTAGAATGGTCTTTGGAAACATCGGCACTTAAAATTGCATTACTGAAACACAGTGAAGGACAAATAAACTTACGCACAAAACAATGTATGAGGTGCTTGTGAGAAAAGTCAACGATATCTTTCGCACCGCATAAATAAACACTTCGTCACAGAGAGCTTAGAACTACTAGTGGTTGGGATGAATGTCAAAGTTTCAGGACTTAACATTATTCAATTAAAAAGCTAAAGCTGATTTTCGGAAGGTCCCCATGAGAAAACAGCAGCTAGAGGAGCTTGAAAATATCTAGTTGGCGACAGGTTAGGAACCCAGTAAAAGCTTTGCCTGCAGCACGTGCTCGATGTGGACCATCTACTGGGCTCCTATCACAGTCTCCTGTAAAAAAACTTAATTTTTACGGGCTCAATATCTTGCAAATTTTGGGGAGCATATATTTCAGGAATATTTCGCAGGCACGAAAATTCCCAATTTCGAGTGGTATTCTCGTTACCATGGGGTGATATATTCTAGAAATAAATTTTTCGCAATATTTTTTGGGTTGCTGAAAATTTGGTCCCTGCGAAAATTGAGACGTTTACAGTATACATGGAGACGAACGGCTTTGGTACCATTAAAGGGCAACTGTGCTTCATTTTTAAGTATCATATAGAAAGACCAGATGTCAAATATTACGATCTAATTCCATTTATATATTTAATAAACTGGCCAGCAAACTTTCAAATGAGCCAAGTAGCGTGCAACGTAAGGTGCAATCAACAGCGCAGTCAATACCACGGAGTTGGAGCAGCCAACAATGAGCCACTACGTCGGAGGCATGTCTACGTCATTCTCGCGTTTTGTTTGTTTTTACTTCTCGGAGCAAAATTGAACAATGACGTCATGAGTTTCTTCTCCCAGTGTTGGCTCAATGGTGTCCGTGTGATCACTGTAACCCGGATGCACTACCCTGCGCACCTGTCGGAGCTGAGAGCTAGGAGCAGTCCGTTTTGTCTCGCCACTGTTGTAGTTTGAGAACGACGTTTTGCTCACGGTACGGGCGTGGGCCGCATCTCCAATGCCTAGTTGAGATGCCTGGTGAAAGTTCCATAGGCTCATGATGTTGTGTAGTTGCCTGCTCGAACTACCAGTAGATCAGCCCAAGAGTTGTCTTTCACAAGTTTCCACACAACAATGCGCCTCTGAATGTATCGACGAACATCTCGAGCCGGTGGAACTCAGGGAAGCCGTTGTCACCAAATCGCAGAACAATGATCTGTTCCGATTGCTTGTGCTCATGACACTAACTAATTTGTTGTTACCAGCTAAATAGCGAAACATGCGTGAAAAGATCAGTTCTGCTGTGGAACCAAATGAATGTGCTGGAGCATACTTATCACGGCATTCATAGTTTTCGCTGACTATTTTGCTATTGACAATAAATGTACAGTCTGCCAAACAGTTTCATAAAGGTACACAATTTAGGCTACTAAAGCAGGAGACACATGCACGGTCAAACTGAAAACGTCCGGCACTAAGTGCCGGACGTTTTCAGTGTATGAGCATATATGTCTCGCACCTGTAGAAACCGGCGCGAAGACTCGGCTATTTTCGGTAAAATAAATGTTGGAGCTTTATGTGCCAGACCTAAGAAGGGCGTCTGGCATGTCCAAGCAGAGGCCTGATGATTAATTTGGACCACCTGGGGATGCTCCGACGTGTTGTAATCGAGATCTTGGTTGCACGGTGCCTTTGCGGCAATAAGCCCGCGTCAAATTGCGGGCAGCTTCGTCGAGATTCCACAAAGCGCAAGCTGGGGCCACAGTGGTGCAGACGTCGTTGGATGTTGTAGCAAAATACATTGGCGAAAATTGTGGAGCAGACGACGCTTGCACTTTGCTCTACGTTCGCCCGTCGTCGCATAGAAGATCAAGTGACCTTTCGGACCACGTGGTTCGATGCGACGTGGACATGACTCTGACGACACAAGACCAATGTTGCGTGACGCAACCGAATTTGAAGACGTGGGGCTGTTTAGTAGTGCTTTGGGAAATAGAATCACATGTAAGCCTAACATTTTTGGATTCGAGCAAAGTTGCCATTTTCTAGTTCGGGGGTTCTCAAACTTTTTCGTCCCAGGGAACCCCAGCAAGCCTCAAAGAGTCCCAAGGAACCCCCCCCCCCTCTCTCCCTTTGTTGCCAACCAAAAATACCGGGCAATAAAGGCCTTTAGATAGTGAACAAGAGTTTACTGCACTGACAGAATAACACAGAATGGAGGACTACAGACAAAATGAGAGGGCAGAGGGGTTGACCTGGAGCACAATGTAAAAATACACTAGTGCGAAAGCTTGATCCATGGCTCAGTCCATAGAAGGTTAAACTAGGGGGGGAGCACTGCAACTCAATACTTGCGGAATCCATGAGACCAGCTCGTGGAACCCCTGTGTTCCACGGAACCCAGTTTGAGAACCCCTGTTCTAGTTGAAACTAAGACATCATTAAATTTTCACCTTAAGAAGACGTCTTTGTGCAAATCGGCTTGGTGGTCAGGCATGTCGTATGGAATGAATCCTAATTGTTTTGATCGATCCAAAATTTTGTTTCCGAAGGAAGACAGATTTGCCGGTACCGTGAACGACAGTTCTGTTAAGTAGACGTCCCACGCCTGCCGTCCTCCGCCATCGCCGTCCAGCCTGCGAGTCCCACAATACGACGATACAGGATACGACGCCATGTTGAGAATTACGCAGTAAATGCACAGAATGCTTCCAATTGTCTGTGCAACTTTTAAAATTTTTTTTTTTTTTACTCAATGTATTTGCAGTTTTTTAGAAGCCACAAAAAATGGGTTTCATATTTTTTTTTTTCTATTTTTAATATTGAGTGTGTGCCTTCAATGATGCACAACTTTGATTAAATTTGCTGGTGGTGTCTAAACCACGGGTGGGCAAGCTGCGGCTCGCAGGCCGCATGCGGCTCTTCGAGTGTTAAAGTGCGGCTCGCGGCTCCCTCCCGTATCCCCCCCCACCCGCCACCCACACGAGCACTTCCCCAAAAAGAGATATGGAACGCGTTTTAAATCAAAAGACAGCTAGCGGTTTGGTAGTCTTGTGCTACTGCTACCTTACGTACAGTTGGACTACTTTTGACTCTGATAGATTGCAAGTAGTTCGAGTTTCGTTCATTGCTTTAGAAAAAAGTGTGTCCCCCCCCACGGCTCTCAGAGGTTTCGCGGTTTTGTTTGTGGCTCTTAGGTCGGGTCATCCTGGCTACCCGTGGTCATCCTGGCTAACCCGTGACCACGGAGAAGAGAGTGAGTGCGACTAAAACCGGCCAGTTCTCGATCGGCGGTTTTCGGGTGGTAAGAACCCGAATTTCGAGCTGCAAATTCTGTTCTGGGAAGTAGGGCTCTAATATGTCGTGTACAACTAAAAACCTCGGTGAGCATAAATACCCTGTCAGTGTCCCTTTAAAAGAAAAAGATTCACGAGTTTCCAAGGACTTTTAAGCGGCTGTAAAGATATTTTCAAGGACCCCTTCCAATACTCTATCTAGTAAATTTATAATGTAACACTTTTTTAAATGCAGTGCAAAATTTTTTTTATTGCATGATATCTAGGAAAAGGCACATTTGCCAAAGAGGAGCTAGTAAAGGGTTCAGAAGAGTTACTGCAGCTTTTCCTCGATTGTTGATGTTTAGAAGCTCATGTATCTCTTTTTTTTTTTTTTTTCCATTTTCCTTAGGTTGTTCTACTTGACAATTTAGGTGATGTCACCTGTTGCCTCTGCTTTCTCTGTGTCTATAGTTGCACTTCCCGGGAATCGCGCGGGATGTGCGATGTCGGGGAAGTAAAACAGACGCAGAACAAGTAAACTAGGAATAGCTGGCAAACAGTAAGCGAGGGAGCAAGTCGAACAAGGGGAAAGTTTGCAAGATGGCAGACGGGCGATGCCAGACCCGGAATCAACGGGACTGCTACCATTGTAGCCGACACTTAACGGGCATCCGCTAAATGTGTCTAAATGTGCCATACAAGAAACCAACCTCGTTGAATTTTAAAATTTATGTTAATATGCATGTGAAAAAAATAATTATATCTACCTACCTTAAAAAATTTAATTGCAAAAAAAAAAAAAAAGATTAACGGGAAATTTAAAGGGTTTTCAAGCACCGCTAGAAATTCCAGAGCTTTCAAGGTCTGGAAAATGCCGTTCCAAAATTCAAGGGTTTTCAAGGTTTTCAAGGACCTGTGCAAACCCTGTTTTAGAAAACTTCTTTTGTTTGACCGTTTTAAAAGGTGATGGAGTTCTCCCTCAAACACGAATACCAGTGAGAGTCAAAACGCTGTTTCGTAAAACGGACAGTAGCTATCAGCAACTCTCCATTTGCCAAAATAAAAAAACTTGGACTGAAGCCTTCAATTATTTTAGAACTGTAAAGAACCTGACAAATACCATTCTTCGAAGTACACAGGGTTGTTCAGGACTCTGGAGACAATGCGGGCACCATGGTTGGGCGGATTGGAGTAGTTTCCCCTGACAATCAGCGTTACTTGGGCCAGAACATTGGTGAGGGCTGTCTTGTCATTTATAACAAGTAGCAGGTTTCCAATCCGCTCATCTGTTGTGCGGAGAGAGACACGCTAGTTATGCAGGTGCCGGCAATGGTGATACGAGAGGAACTGCGCAGTAATGTTGCTGCACACAGCCACTATATAATGCGGTAGTAACTGCAGTCTTCTTTCTATGCGAAGTTTCCAATATATTAGGCACAGTCAGTCCAGAGTATCAGAACTGAAATCAATGCAAGAAGCCATCTTTAATTTTTGCAGCAGCACTACAGTCATGACAGATTAAAAAAATAAAAACACTACATAGTAGGTCTATTTATTTGTTTATATCAGTTGTGCTAAAAGAGATGTTAATATTATTGTTCCCTTTTTTGCAGGAATAAGTGTTGTACTCTGTATGCCATCTCTTCTTGCTTTTTTTTTTTTCCGGTGTAATTTTTTTAGCACTCGTAAATCAATTTCTGTTTTCACGCCACTAACTCTAATGACTGACGCACTCAATCTGCACAACTATCATACTTTACAAATCATCTCTATACATTTATACCTAAAAAAGTAAAACCGAAAAGGGGTTCAGGTCCCCTAAAGCAAAACAAAATGAAAATCTTGCGTGTCAGACTAGGAGATTGGCTACAGGCTGGGCACTCGCCAGTCCACAAATTAACTTGAACACACTACTTGCTCCGGCAACAAAATAATGCATTCGGAAGATGTCGGGATGAGTGGAGTGCACGAGTAGTGCCCTAGATGACATAGCATGACCTTGCTACCTTCAAACTTAGATGGCCGAGTCTCAGAAACTTACTGTAAAGACCAAAGTTCTTGGCAAAAGACTGGGCACACAACAGTTCGAAACCCTGGGAAACAAAGTATCGTATGGCCCAGCTGTCTTTCTCCAAGTTCCCCGAGGCAAAGCCTTGGTAGGCACAGTCGAAGAGGGGAAAGAGTTTTCTGGCCTGCACAAAAAGAAAAAAGTAAATAATGTGAGGACAGCTTTGCTGTTTTGCCCATAGAGCATCGATCCCCCGTGATTGATGGCTGCAAAGGCCCACTTCCCACAGAGCTCTCGCGTCACTGTCTTGTCGGTAGTTTCAAAACTACACTTTTTGCTTTTGTGCTTCTCTTCCTCTTTTTGCATGGCAGCAGTTGTTAAGCAGAGCGTGAAACCGATGGCACATTGTCATTTGTGACAGCCAAGTCCCATATTTAATTTTTCATGACCTGTGCTTCACCACATTAGGAAACTGTTTAGCCCAATGGCATGTCCATCATGTTAGTTGAATTGAGGATTGTTAGATCAGAATCTTTTTGACCCCAAACTGACTATATTTTAATTTTTTTTTACCCTTTTGTTTTGATATATAGCCATATCTTTACCCACTTTGGACCAACTTTTGGAAAACAATTGTTTCATAAATTAAACATTGCATTAGAATTCAAGTCTCTGCTTTGATGTTTGCATTATCCAAGAGACCATTTATTTAGCTCAATTTCTCTGTATGACATCAAACTGTAAACCTAATAGTTTCCTTAGAAAAAAAATCTAACAAAAAGTCACACAAAACGCATTTTCTGTATGGTCAGCAAAGAGTTACAAATTTTTTCTTGGCAAGTCCAGCATGTCACCCAGCTCTACTCAGAGGGAATGTTCCAAGAAGATGACACATGTAGCCCATTGCGGCAATGGAGTTCCATACCTTCACAACCTCTGCTATCTTCTTCCACTGCTCTTCAGTGGGATCAATGCCGGTTGGGTTGTGTGCACATGCATGGAGGACGACGACCGAGTCTTCCGGTGCATTCTGGAAATATAAAAAAGGAAACCTGGTGTACCAAAGATAACTCTCATTGTGCAACATGTAAGGTTGTTTTGACCGCTGTACTCCCCTCCTGCACAGCGTTGCAAGAAGCTTGGGCACGAGCATTGGAAGAGTTTTATTGAACCTTTGCAAAGCTTGCGCCTTCCCTACCTTTTCGCACAATGATCTAAGCTGGCTGGGATCTCGCACCTGTGAAAAGTTAGCTAACCTCCGTAGAAGGTTGAGAGCCAACTGCATAAGAGGACATACAACCAGGGTTCTGCAGTTTTGGTTTAAAGCCGATAAAAATCGACAAACATACGCCAAATTCATAATTTAGAATTCAATTTTAAACAAAAAAAGAAGTCTGTATTTTAGTGTACCTTTTTTAGGGGGAGGGGGGTCATTATTGTGTGACCTTGTGATGCACTTCCTCATAGCATCACCAGCAATCTTAGGGACTATCCTACTTTACGCTGGGAAGGGTTTAACGAAGTAATAATTTGGAGGTGAAGTTTTTGTTCCTTTTGTGAATGGGCTTCATGTGCAGAGTTCCCAGTCCTTTCAAGATAGGGTATGGATTGTTTTTATTGTCCTAAATGTGTTTCAGCTTCTCAATGTATGAGGGCATTTTCAAAATTTCTATCAGAACCAATGACGGGATTCACGCATTGGAACCAGAGTTTGCTATGAATTGTGGTATCAGCAGTATTTTTGTACTTGCATTTGACTGATTGATTAGCTTTAACTACTATAGTACATCGCATCGGCAGCTTGCAGTTTTGAGCGTAAATGTGCGGCCACTCAAACAGAAGGGCAACAGAAAGCGGTAGAGATCTGCGCAGGCTCAGGCACACACAAAAACCCAAACTCGACCCGATTATCGGGTCAGGCTCAGCCCAATATATGAGTGCATGGTTCATGCTAGGGTCTGGTCTCGGCCTATTTATTTCGAGCTGCGTTGGGCTTGGGTCGGGCCGAGGTTGAGGCATCTGGACCTGACAACCCGACCTTCAAAAATCTAGCAATTTGATTTTTTGGGAACTGCTGTGAACCCCCAGAACATGTTTGAACATGCCAAAGGTAGCGAAAAGCTAGTGCAAGTTATAATGCAGAAAATGCCGATGCAGGTTAGTGATGATGGCATGTAGATTCCACCACAATTATAATTCTATAACAAGTTTCCTTCTCCGAGACATATTCCCTCAGTGATCTCTTGGAGCGGTGTGAAGAAATACATCCTCTCGCAGCTTGGTTTGCACAGCCAACGGGTCAGCGACCACTCAATAGTTGTTTGCTTGTCGTGCGCTTGTGTTTACTTGCTTTCCAAGACAACTTGTGTTCTAGATTTTATTTGGGGAAATTACCAAAGGACACCCAGAACAAACCTTTCCGCAAGCCTTCCAGTTACAAATCTTTCCTTCCCCAAAAAATTCACTTACTGTAAAATTCTTTATTTTCACGGCCCCTATTTTTCGCGAATCAGACACAGAGGTTATAATCGCGGCCACTGAATTTTGTGAATTCCAGACGCCTGCATTGCAATTCTGAAGAACCAAAATTTTTGCACGCCCCTAAAATTTGCTATTTTTGCAATTCGCAAAAATCAAGAGCTCACTAACATTAAGGGTTTTACAGTAAATATAAATTAAATTACTGCGTGGTTGCATCTCCATTGTATTATTCACTAGAAGAAGTGGTGAAATTTTGCATATCAAGCTTGTCTTCTGTTATGCACACATTAATTTGCGTTGTGATCACAACTTGAAAGTAAATAATGTCGCTGCCAGAACTAATAAATTTCAAAATTCCCTGCTTGCTATTACAGACAAATTTTCTTCCTACTTTTAACTAATCACGCTAAATTCAGTGCTTTTTGCAAAGCACACCTCGCAAGTGTTTTTCATAAGTCAAAACGTTTGTTCAATATCACTTACTCTTTTTTTAAACTTGTCTTTTATATACCCGTACAATATGTCTCTTTTTCATCATTAACCAAACTTATTCTGAAACCTTCACTGTTAGGTTTTTATACTAGATCCCCCCCCTCATGCAATGCACTTCGTTGAAAAGAATATTAAACTGAAAAATATGGCTCCGGAGTGCAAATAATATATGGCTTTGTTGACATTTTTGTTTAAACAGGTATAATATTAAGTGGAAGAAAATTCGGTTTGCTTAGAATTATACCATGGAAATCAAAGGTAGAGGTTATATGTAGATTAAATCAATTGTATCCATTGCTGCAAAAAGAGTTGAAAAAATGAGTGCATGCACATAGAAAGCTCAAGCTTTTACCAAATGTACATTGAGCAGGCCAGTTTTACCTCGTGCAATTTTAAGGCATACTAAAGCAACAAACTTGACAAAGTCCACATCAGGCGCGTTCACAGACGACTAAGTTAATGATGCACTTCACTTGTGGCGCCATCTCCCGATAGGTGCAACAAGCAGATGATGTACTTTGTTGTCTGCTCGCTGTGTCTATCGGCAGATGGAACACCGAAACTGCTGAGAAAATTGCCCCATCTGAAGCGGGCCTTACTGTTCTAGGTTGCTCTCCAGTCAGCCTATTCCAAGGATATGCACACCCTAACATAGCCAAGGAAGTACTAGCCAGCATAAGCTCAGAACAGATACATTGCACATCCAATTAGAATTGGTAGATTATTTTTCAATTGACGGTAAAGGTTCACCTCATTTAAATAAGATTTCTCAGTAATTTCGTATCAGATTAAAGTGATCCCCTACACAAAATCTCCAGGAAGGCCACTCAATCTACACATTTTGGGTACAAAGTGTTGTCAATTCAAAGTCAGAAATTGCTCGAGATCTTCCTAAAGTTGGCTTCACCTGCATTATAAACTACCCATTTCCCGGGATTTCAGCTTCTCTGCAATGTTTCTAAGGGCACCAATGAGCTATCTGCACATTAGCACTCTTAAATGTTACATGCTCATCGGTGCTCATAAGGTTCATCCCCAAAGTTGGCTTTACCTCAGTCATCAGTTCGCCCCTTTTCCCAGATTACAGCGTCTCTGCAGTGTTCCTAAGAGCATCAATGTTTATGTGCTAAGTTGTGCACATTGGTGCTACTCGGTGCTACACTTGACTTTGAATCTCATTGAGCCTGACCATGCTGTCAGTGTGAATGGGTTTCCTATTTCCAAAAGGGTACCGTCAGAGCAGCTGACATGCAAAGTGACCATCTCAGGCGTATCACATGCACGAAGCAACTAATTTCGAAACCAGATTCGCCCGAGCAAGGCGACGAAACAGGGCATGAATACAACTAAAAGCCCGGGGTGCATGCAATCTTGTGTTTAGGTGCCAATTTTAGAATTCGGCAGTGAACCCTCAAAGGGTTAAATATTAGGCCCAATCACATAGATTTCAAATTGTCACCTTTCATATGGCTGTGGCATATTCCCCGTGACAGTGCTCTGCTAAACACAACCATTTGCAAATATTTGCACAGTGCAGACAAAATGGAGAGCAAACGAAAGGTCCCATACATGGTTCTGCATGGAGATAGAAAGCTTCTGGAAGCAACATGACATCATCATAGATGAAGCTGGGGGAGACTTCTGGTTTAGAAGGGCACGCCTTCGATGATGACCAATACCAAGAGATTCTATCGGACAAAAAGGAGAGCCGACTTGGCGCCAACAGCTGTTTTGGTCACCCTTGGGGGCGTTCCAACCCAAGACGTCGACTTCCGGCTTCACTTGGGCTTTTCTCGTTTGGCTAGCTTGTTTTGAGCCGGTATGTCGCCCCTTTCTGCCTCCATGCGATTTTGGGTTCATTGCAAACACAGCATATATCACCATAAACAAAAAAAAAAAAAAAAAAAAAAAAAGGAAAATGTTAGTCTCTCAAAATATATTAAAAAAAAAAAAACACGAAAAATGTACTTTTTAGATAGAAAATTCAGAAAACAATGCAGAATTCAACAAATGAAAACTCCAAGCCCTACATATAACTAGAGATTGGCAGTTTTTATATTTTTCAAATTTGGAATGATTTTTTTTGGTTTTTATTCAGAAAGTAAGTTTTTCCGTTTGTTTTGGTGAATATTTTTACATATTAAATTTTTCAGTTTTTTTATCAGGTGATATGTGCGGTATCTCCTCATCTTAACATTGCATATGACCTTTCTTTTGCTTGCCTTTTTGTTAGCACTGGACAAATATTTACAAATGGGGGGCATTCACGGGGAGTATGCAACTGCCATATAAAAGGTGACGATTCAGAATCTATCCGATTGGGCCCAAGATTTAACGAGAGAAATTTGTAAAATATTATTTGTGTCAGTAGGGTTTTTTAACATTAAAATAATGATGAAACGTGCACAGACAGAAGATATAGATATGTGCTCTACCCAGGGCAAACATAACAAAAAACCCTGAATTTCACTGGTAATCTAAATTGCAATTACTTTAGATTATAGTAATGAATCCACATATGTAGTTATTGAGGTTTCCTCTATCATGCGCATTCATTATTTTCTATTTACAACCGTTCAGGTTCGGGAATGACTTCTCACTATTTACCACTACTGCTCGATGCTTCCCTTCTGTACAAGAGGCCACACATCTACATTTGAAACTGGCAAGTTGTCGATGCGAAGTACTACAGTAGCCAAAGCTGACAAATCGGTCAAATACGGGTGCCAAAATACAACCGGTAGAATATTTTAAAACACTGAATGCTTTGTGTACTAACAAAACTATGGTTGCAATGCTTGAATCTCATCATTGGCTATGATAGAAACTTTTAAAATGCCTTTATACATTTTTTTTAGAAGTTGTGGGACATTTTGGGCAATGAAAACAATTGAAACCCCATCTCCAAAGGACTGGGAACTTGGCACACAAAGCCTGATCAGAAGAAAGAACAAAAATGTAACCCACAAAAGATTGCTGTTGAATCCTTTCCAGCATAACATAGGGCGATCCCAAAGATAGCCGACAACTCAACAAGAGCGTCACAGAAAATACTAACCTACAGCACTTAAAACCAAATTCTGAAAAATTTATTCGGCATATTGGCGGTGTGCGCTAACTACAGGGGGCGCTTCTCTAGCTATCATCATCATTGTCTGTGAAGTCACAGGTAGGGCAGACTGGGACAGACCACGCAGATCTTGGATCCCTGGCTTATCAGCTCGCTTCAAGTGCTGTGTGTGTGGATAATGTGCGAAAAAGCCCGTTTCCCACGAAGTGTTTATTTGGTGAAGTGATATCTGTAACAGGACATTTTACCAAAGCTTGAAACCGTGACCCATCCATAGTCATGCAAACAAACACTCTTGGCGCTGAGGTGTCGAAGTGCTCAGATGGTGGTGAGCTGTTCCCTACCCTGTACAAAAAGCTGGATGATGGAAATAGAATATCCAGCACTTTACCCCACTACATCTACCACGAAAAATGGGGTGCATTTCTTATTATGATTTGGACAAAATAAAACTGAGAAAGGAATGCTCATCAAATTGGAAATAGGAAAGCAAACTTTGAGAACCTCTTGCGTGTATAATAAAAACTTCAGTGAAATAGACTCCGTGTATCCTGTTGGTTCCAATGTGTTTTGTGAGTGCTGGTCTCTTATTAGTTCCAAGTTGAATCCTTTTTGTATTTTATAAACCAGTAAACAAACATTTCCCCAAAATAACTGGCAGGAAGAAGCGGTGGCTGGCTTCCAGAGTCGATGCGAAACGTATGAGACCCCTTTGCTATCAGTCTTAAACCTACCGAGTCAGTGACACTTCAGCGTCCCGAAAAATGAGGTATACACCTGCTATGAATTACTACCGTTTTTATGTTTAATTTTGCAGACCCAAATGCACAGAATGCACGATGCGCTTCTCAGCGAGCGATTTTAAATTTGTAAACAATTCTTAGTAAAAACTGGATAGAACAAATTAACCAATCGCCTGAATTAGCCGGGCCATGTCTGACAATATAAGAATTCATGAAAATTTCTGCTTTCCTTTTGAGCAGAAGTCGCGATGTGACAACCTTCTTTGCATTCAATGTGGGAGGGACTAAACGTCAGTTGCTGACAAGCATTTACTCGTCAGCAACTGTTTAGTCAAACTTGGATAGAAGTGTCGGTATCGGCAAGCTCAATGTAGCTAAAACAAGTGTGTGGCGCTTTGCAACACAACTGTGCACGCGTGCACAGCTAAGAAGACAGCACGTCATTCAATCTAGTGAATGCAAACCCGCTTTGTACGACAGCCTCCACAGATCCCAAAAAACAAGAATCAGAGAGACTATGAAGAGCCCTGACGCACGCCGCACAAGCTGTAATGAGAAGCTCCAGGTTTGTTTTTGAACATTTTAAAGCTTTTTTTTTTTTAATATAAAAAGCAACTTCGATGCACTGTTATTCATTAGAAAGATTGTTCACAAAAAGGTCATACACATTCCTTTAATTACCAGTTTTTAATCGGCATAGATGCAAACTAACATAGCCACTCCATGCTTTGACATAGCGTGTCATCTGCTCGCATCCTACCAGCTCCGTTACAGGAGGGCACCCGCACCGCCAAAACATCTCGTCGCCAATATAAGTTTAAATCAAAAACGCAAAACCCTACATATAACACCAATCAATCTCGCACTTTGTTTTTGAGGATCAAGTAAAATGGCCTTACCTCCAAATCCTCTATCATCCCAGCAAAGTTGAGACAACGGTTCTTGGCATCCCAGTAGCGGTAGAACTTGAGGTTTTGGAAGCCAGAATGCTTGAAAACTAAAGTGTGGTTAGCTGAAGCAAGAAGAGATAGACACAGCACTCACTCCTTTGCCATGCCAGCGACATAGAAGCGGTGTTCAGCTGTGTTAATGCGCAGCACTGTTAAGAACAATGCAGAGCAGACCACAAAAGTATGAGGTGAGGGCATTCTTACGCCATGTCGGGGTTGACATATAGATGGTCGTAAACTTTGCATGTTTGCACAAGAGGTCGCCTGCCACTCTCAAGGAACCGGTGCCACTGAGGCACTGAATGCCGACTGCCTGGAAAACAATGCCGTCATGAAACACACTGACCATGCAGTGGAAAGACGACGAGGCACCTACCCTTCCGTCTTTAATCGCATCATTGTCATCACCCAGCAGCATTCGCACAGCAGCCTTGCTGAAGTCTTCCAGACCAAGCTGGCCGAGGTACTCGTGGTTCAGAGAGTCGTCTTCTGCCATCTCCTTTTCAACTTTTCGAACAACCGGCAGGACCCATGGCTTGGCTTCTTCAGTCCTGTACGCTAAACATTGGTGCAATGCACATATGGAAGCAGCGTAGATTCTCGTTTACCTAAGGAAGTGGATATTCTGCCGGCAGCCGGCACAATAACCCGGGAAAAAAAGTGCCAACAGTTGTCCCCTATTGGGTCTCGTATAAAACGAATTGTGAACACGGCTATTTGATGGTGTGGAATAGCTCAGTGGTATGGTGCTTGACTCATACGCAGCAGGACACTAATTCGATCCACAGTGTGGGCTTTTTTTTTTTTTCTGCAATTTTATTTTGTTTAGGCATTAGGCGATACCTCCCACATTTCTTTTTTTTTTTTATGATTAACATTAGAAAAGAAAGAAAAAACGAATGTTGTCGACGAAACATTTTCTTTTCGGGGGTGAATGGAGGACAGCGGGCTTGGGCCGCCGCAAAGCGGCGTGTACTGTTGGGCCAATTGGGTCAATATATTTCTAATGAGCAGCCGCAGACTGTCGCCGCGAAGCGGCGTGAACGCGGGCGGGGGTGTGTGTTAACGAGCTCCCGTGATACACGCGCCGTCCGAAACTGCCGGCATTTTTTTCCCCGGGCTATTGTGCCGGCTGCCGGCAAAATGGTCTCACCCCCCTTTACCTAAACCTCACCCAACCCCTTAGCCCTTTTGTTTGTTTTGCCTGGACTGGCACAGCTTCTGTTACCAACATCTTAAGAAACGTAGTGCGTGGCCCACTGCGACCATGTCACTCAGTAGCCTAGGAAACACCTCGGAGCAATCCGGATGAAGCCCCCGATCGAAGTTTCGATTCCGAAGTGATCGTCGTTGCGAGTTGGATGCAGGTCTTGCGTCAACGTAAGGTAGATGACTGCGAGATTTTCCTAAATTAGGCCACATGGCTGAATGCGAGATGTTACCTGGTCAAGATTTACCCCAAACTTTCAAAACAAGAAAACTTTGCTCCGGACCGGAGATGCTGAATAACCTACCTCCAACTCCGAGGTCCACTTTCTGAGGGCAAGTGTCGGCGCGATAAGCTCTCATAAGAGCAAATATCTCAACAGGAGGTGCAGCGTCTACGCATGCAAAGCGTGTCATTTTTGCCTTCTAGTGCAGGTCGTGAAACCGAAGAAAACGCAACTCCCACGACTCGGTTTTATAACCGCCAGAGAAGGGCACCTTGAGAAAAAGCAGCGACTATTTCGACGTCAACTGTCAAAACATCAAAAAATTATTTTGCCGTCCGTGACGTCAAGGTCTACTGAACTAACCGACGCTTCCTGTGGACGCTTCCGGACAGTTTCGCTTTCATAGTTTCGTTTCAACGGTGACATACGGGAACTACAGCTGCGGACTCTGTAGTGACATGCGTTTTATTTATTTATTTTTTTTTTTTTTTTGGGGGGGGGGGGGGGGGGGGGCCGACTGTCACAATCGGACGCACTCTCTGAGCGCGTAGCTTTCACCGCACCAAGGAGGTTCCTCCTTGCATCGCGTGCACCGCACCGGTACGCGAAAACGTAGCCGACGTAGCTTCCGCTGCGCTAACGAGGCGCTACCTACGGGAGCCAGAGTTGCGCGTTCCAAAGGCGCGTTCTTCTCCGTAGCGCCGTAGCGGCCGTAGCGCCGTCGCGCCGTTTTACTTTTACCTGCGCGGCATGTTGACCCAGACGCGCAACTCTGGGTTCAGCCGCATTTATTCTAGCCACCAGAAAGAGGGGCACACAGCACGATGACAGACAAAGACTAAACAACAACGCATTTTTTTTTTTTTTTTTTTTTTGCCAGCTTCGATTGACAGGCATGCGCTGAAAGCTCCGCCTTCAGCGCATGCCTGCGCGTTCATACGTGTGTTAGCAAGGGCACAAGTCTCAGGATGGGAGAACTGGCGCGCATTTTTAATAGGGAAAAGTTCAAGTTCGATTGTAATGTTACACTTGGGAGCGTAGACGAGTTGTCCACATACTTGTGGACAGGTGCAAAAGTGAGTCTCGACATATTGCCATTTTTAACAGCAGTTTAAAACCACATTGAACTTCACGAGCATTCAAAATTCAGACTGCGTGTAAAAAGCAAGTTTCTACAGATGTGTACTCCTTCGTCCAGCCGTTATACCCAACTTTTAAAATGGCAATCCACTCGCTAAAAACCACCTCCAATATTTCCCAGCACAAGACGACAGCCCGAACTTGTTACTGTAGGCGGTGGTAACTTCCAGAGGCATACAAAAAGATAACTATTGTTCGACCTACTCTTCAGCTCTCGTACAATATAGAAAAAATAAAACAGCAGACGTATGCACTTTTTGTGCACATGGACAGCCATTCCTACAATGGTCTTTTCTCAAATCGTGTGTATTAGAGCAGAATTCCCTCTTGCTTTTCCCAAATACCAGACCTTTTCCTTTCACGAAAGGAGATATGGTAGTGTGCTGGAAGGGAAGAACATTACTTTCAACTCACGGCAACAAGGGACACTAACAGGGTGTTTATGCTCGCTGAGGTTTTTAGTTGCACATGACATATGAGCCCTACTACTGCCCAGAACAGAATTCGGTCATTCGGTTTCTTACTGCCGGAGAACCGCCGCTCGCGAACTAGCCGGTTTGAGTCGCGCTCACTCTTCTTCTCCGTGGTCACGGGCCGTTTTCTAAGGTTTAGACACAGCCACCAAATTTAATCAAAGTCGTAGGTCATCGAAGGCACACGCACATTAAAAATAGAAAATAAATACGATACCCATTTTTGTGGCTTCTAAAAAGCTGCAAATACGTTTTTTGGAAAGAGTATCCCAGCCACGTGACTTTCACCACCTCCGTATTTCTTCCTCCCCACTCCAGTTTCGGTTTCGGGCTGTAGCGCTTTTTGACTTTATTGAAAATATACATGACGCTGTAGAAAAAATATTGATTTGGTAGTCTTCTGACACCATAATGAATCACCTGGCAAAAAAATAAAAAATTGGTTTTGGGGGTTGTCCTTGTCCCTTTAAGAAAAGCTTCCCGCAAAGAATACAATAAACCGGGTACTTCGAAACATCTTCAGCTTTATTATGCTCAGCAAGGTTGTGAAAAATACCGCACATTCTAAAAGTAAAAATATTGGGTTCTTTTCAGAACAGTATGAAAAGTAGTATTAGTTTCTACGAAGAGGCATAAAGAACTTTATGTACAGTCTGCCGAACTGTTAATTATGCCAGCCACGACAATGCACTCTTAGACATGTGACCTTGACAACTGACACCGACTGAGGAAAGGAGCCGGTCTCTGCAGCTAGCCCTTCTGTCCTTGCCCAAAAACAAAACGCATGGGACAAAGGGCCATTCTCGCGACTCTACCGAAACGGCACCACGGCAGAGTGGCCTGGGCAAGGTCGACTGCTGACTTAGTTAACAGTGCGCCTGACTTCGCAGTTAAAATAAGGCTACATGTGGTCAATGCTGTCATGTCGCCATTACATACCAACATGCCTGCACAAGCTAAAAAAAAAAATCAACAACTTTCACCGACACTGGGATACCTTGCAACGCTTAACAGTGCATTCCTGCAGATACAAGCTGTATCTGGCTCACCTTTGTCCAAATACTTTCAGAAGACAGTCCGAGCAGCCGAGAACTGAAGACAACAATGGAAGGCAAAGAAATCAAAGGCTGCATAGATCATGTTGGTTCAAACTAACACACGTCACGTTAGTTCAAGTTAAGACAATGGATCTTACCTCCTTTCACTTGCATAATATAAGACACATGGCATATGCATTCTGTACACAATACCACTATAAAAAAAAGGCTGAACACTTGAACAACAAAAAAAAAAACACCAATTTATCAAACATAGTTACAGGAACAGCAGCTTTACTCAGTCACACTGCATTAATTACAGGCACAATCACAAGCAATAAGTCTGCACTTTTCAACAATGTACACACCTCACCTGCAGCAGTGGAAGCACCACAGGTTTGCTTAATGCTGGACAATCAAGCACTACTGCCACTATTTTATGTAAGTAATGTTGTACATCAGCCCAAGAGAGCAAAAGCCTCTAGAATGAGGTTTACTGAATTGCAAACAGGGAAAGGGAGTGTCTTTAAGTTTGACCGTACCTGCTCTTAAACAGAGGTAGTGACACTCGTAAGCAGCAGTCATCATGTTGCAAAGGTCTTCAGCACTTGCAAAATGAGTGTGCCTAAAACCATTGCCAGGCACATTGCACAGGCTCTTCAAAACAGGGCCGGACACAAAATGCGCTCGAGCATTCAGTGCATGCACGGACATGCACAAACAAAAACGGCTTCAGAAGCACAACACACATCTAAAACCGCATGAAATTACATCGCAACAGTATGAAAGAAATGAGGGTTGAGGGGGTCCTATTTCTCCCCTGGTGACAGCAAACCTCAACAGTGACAAAAGAGACAAACAGGAAGACAAAACACTCGGGTCCAGTACGAACAACATTCTAATATCCACGGCTTTGCAAACAACAAAACATTTTATCAACCTAGAGCAAGTTGAGAGAGCTCCCAATCTCAAAGATTGTCCGGACTACAGTTGCTCATTCAGCCACTACATCACCCCAAAAGGTTCCCAGAGAATCAATGCCCTTGGGCAACATAATCAAGCACCAGAGAAGCAAGCCTGGCTTGTTCCTGTTAGCAAGTTTGGAAGAAAACTCAACTGTGATGTTGGTCAACCTGGGGAACAGTAATTTAGAGACGGACAGAACAATTAGTAACCCTGGTGGTACGATGAGTCGACAGTCCGCGCAGGCCCCTGAGGAGCCACTGGCTCACGATCCATGTTGGCATAGTCGTTGAGGAACGTGCTAGTGCCGTAAAAACGCTCCTGCTCTTCACACTGCCTGTAGAAGTCCTCCTCCAATTTCTGGAAAAGATAGCAGGGTTCAAGAAATAAAACAGCCCGACCTACAAATGGAAGAACACAAACAGAGTTACCATAGATACAACACTGCCAGTGATGTGATTGGCCTAAGCCATTTTGGAGCACCTTTCGGAGCAGCCAAAACAGTGTTTTGGAGCAGCAAAAGTGGCTTTTGGAGCAGCCAAAACAGTGTTTCAGAGCAGGAAAAGTGACGTTTGGAGCAGATATTCTTAGAAAAATTTATATTTGTTTTAAGTGCTGGACAAACGAAGGGCACTTTGTGTTGTGTTGTGGTGACGTGTTGGGGCGGAACTCGCTGCTTGTGTTTGTGGTGCTGAGACATCCCACAAGTATACAAAGCTGTAAGCGTTGCCGAAAAATTCCGAAAAAAAACAAACAAAAAAAACACTTGCTATCGTTTTACTGGTTCCCGACGAGGCAGATTTTTATAAAAAGTCAGCAAACCTAAAACAATGAATTGCAAGCGTCCCGGCTGGTGCCTCTCGTGCAATCATGTTCACATGCAGGTGGGGGCAGCTTCGGCAGGCTTGCAGTTACACGTGATTCGCCGCGCGAGCGGAGACAACGGCTGTTCAACCGAAACCGAAACCATGCCACCAACTGGTTCCCAAAATAGTATGCAAAATGTAACTGTCCAGCATACGACAATAAAAAGACCAGCGGCGCGTGCTTGGCAGGCCGGCAGGCGAGGTACAGGCTAAACAAAGAGGAAAAAAGAACCTGAGAGTATCGATGCAAGACATTACGAATCAAGGTCAAAAAGTTCTTGGAGCGCTTCGTGCAACGACTGAACTCGAGACAAACAAGCCCGCTGTGCGGGTTCAGCGTGCAGACATTGCCTTCGTTGCTTTAGCTCGCTTCTCGCCATCAACTTTCTTTCGCGGCAGATTTTTCACGTACCGGGGTCCCTCTCGAAAGAAAGCCCACCGAGAGAAACCTAGGTAATCAAAACTTCGTCAAAGCATTAATTGAGTTATAGAGGGAGTTTTATAGCAGCGTATGATTTAAACAAGAGCAGGAATGTCGATGCGTTTCAGTTTAGAAAGCGCCATATCTGCATGCAGCGACGTGGGGACGGCAACACACGACGTCGCGCGACCACGGCGACTGTGGTCGCGCGAGCGCTTCAGCTCACAAAGTAACTCTCGCCACGCAAAAACGTGGTTTTGTTTCACAGCATGACGGCATGGCTGGAACCCGGCACACTAACGTCGGAGCGTCCGCACACGCACACGTCTATCGCTAGAAAAAAAGAAAAAGACGCGAAACGAGATTTCCAAGACGACGAGAGCGCGAAACGCAAGACGAAGGGAAAAATCATGCAAGACCGAATAGACGATTGATGCAGGGTACTTTGTGTCGGGCGGCGTCTTGTGCCACCTAGCTCATGCATGCTCAATTACGGTTCTTAGTTTCGTTTTTGAAAGGCGACCAAAATTGGTCCTTTGGCGCAAGCTTGGCGCAGATTAGCCATATTTCGGTGAAATGTAGCAGGATGTAGCAGGGTTAGCCCCTTGGCGCAGTTTGGCGCAATTGGCGCAGCAATCACATCACTGCACTGCAATTCTAATAGTATATTTCTTATCACCTTTAAGGCCCATTCTCACCGGCGATGTAAGCAATTGCGCAATGCGACTAGATCACATGACAAAAAAAGCTAGATGGTCCCACCGGCGTGCGCGATGAGCAAGTCCAACGCCTTCGTTGGCGAGTCGTTTCTCAAAAACTCTCGCTCCGAACGCCGTTGATTGGCTCAGCCGCTCCGCGATGAGATCGCATCGCAAAAAAAGTCGAGTCGAGTAGCGACTGCTCAAATCGCGTCGCTTTTTGCCCGCAATGGTCGCTTTTGCGATGAAAGTTATCGCGTGACTAGATCGCATCGCCAGTGGGAACGCGCCTTTAGTCAGAGCACAACCAATGCTACGAACTGATGAGGTCAAATTAAGTGTAGGCATGCGCCGTGTGCGTGACCTTGCGCTTTTAGTATGCGCATTTGTGCTTGTGTGTCTTATAGCCTTTCGGCTGCCATCTGATTTATGGTGAACGGCGAAACAAGGTATAAATAGGTTTCGAACAGCAGATCCTTCCTTCTGTTGTTTAGCCTGCTGCATCAGCTTGCTGCTTTCGATGGTGCTTCGGACAACCTGGACACAACTAGACCATCATCAATATCAGTAAGCTCAAAATGAATCTAGGCCACCCAAAAGAAATCTGTCACTTCAAACCAGTTTTAACCCCTTAAGTGCCAATTTTTTTCCCTAAAGTAACCCAAAAGTGCCATATTTTTTTTATTTGGAAGTTTTATTCCTCTAGTATCGCACATAAAATTTGAAGTTTATTACGCAAAAAGCAGTGGAGGCCAAAAAATATTTGCCAACTAAAACGAGTGCTGCCATCTATGATCAGCGCCGCAAAACTACTCGGACGAGCGTAACTCGTCCGCGAAATTGAGGGCTACCGAAAAAACCACTCGATGAGCTGAGCTCGTCCATGGCATTTTTAGCCAGAAAGTGGCCAACAAGCTCAGCTCGTCCCAGGCTCTTAAAGGTTCATTGTGAAAAGCTTCAAGAGTTTTTCGGTCTGAAGTGACCAGAGTACCACTTGTTGGTATGTACCGAAAGTTCCATGACCCCAAAAGAAAGAGAGTAAAAAGCCAACTGACACCTCTAGATAGTATAATTTTTAAAAGTGTGCGCCCTCCAGTACTTGCTATGTCAATTATCGGAGGCTGCCATATTTTGGGCACGCACTCCGAGGACGCATTGGACACGGGTGCCGAGTTGAGGCATACTCGGCTCCAAATGTACTCGACACCCGTGCTGCATCGGCATAACTTTGACCCAATCAGGTGCCATGCCCAAAATATGGTGGCTGCCAGTGTTGCTCAACTGCCTTTTGAAAAGTGTCTGTTCTAAGGCAATCAAGTCACCCATTTGAAATGGCCAAGTTGGTAACACTGCCAACCAAAACGTTGGTCAATTCTGGCAACTGCACTCGCAATAGGCACAGCATCATGCCCTCACCTGCTTGCGTGGTTTAAGGTTAGCCTTCCACTCGCGCAGCTCCCCTCCATGCTCTTCATCCAGCTGCTTCAGTTTCTGCGTCTCGTGCTCCATAAGCATCTTGCGCTTTTCGTTCTGTTAAAAGACAGTACATTCAAGCAATCAACCTTGTCAAAGAAAAGCTGACATTATGTCCTTTCCAATTTCTTCCACCAAATGACATTTGAAGAACCTCGTGACGCTTGTGGCCCAAGATACCTAATAGAATTTTTCTGAAAGCTACTCTACTGCAAGGATGAAGGTGAAGGTGCGAGTGCACAAATAATAATAATAATAATAAAAAAAAAAAAATCTTTCAGCCTTTTTACTTTGGTGAAGAAGGAAGACCAGCGAAGCTCAGCTATGGTGGGAATGAAGTAATGGCCGGATGTAAGTCGGCAAGCCAGAGTGGAAAGGCTGGAAAGGTTGCGACATCTATGAGCAACGGCAGCAACCAGACAACCGGCAAGCCGGTTGTCTGGTTGCCGCCGTCGCTCGTAGATGGCAGTAGCTGTCCAGAGTTTCGTGTCATCATTTGTTTGTGGAAAAACCAGCCTTTTACAGCTCTGCTGTAAAAGGTGAAGCAAGATGAAGGGTTTAAATGCCTTGCTCCATCACAAACCTGCAGCAAGGTTTTGAGCATAAATTAAATGAAACATCGAAATTAAAAAAAAAAAAAAAAAAAAAATGCGGCTCCTATTACAATTACACGAGAACTCACCTGGAGTTGCTCCAGCTCTTTGATAGTGGCTTCAGATGCAGCCTTGAGTTCTTCGAGCTGACGCCTGTGTTTGAGCTCCTGTCGCTGATGTTCTGCCTTGTACCTTTTCTTCTCAGCTTCTTGAAACTGCGAGAAAAAAGGAAGCCGTCAACACACCCTGCAAAGCCTCCACAGGCGACTTACAGCGAGAAGTGCTTCTTCAAAACACAATCCTTAATTCTGTCAATTTTCCATTCTCTCTCTTAATGGACAATTACTTTGGCAAAAAAAGGCTTCTGTGAAAATACACCATTCAGCTGAACGGACTGATTGCTACAAGAATTTTCAGTAGAACTGCGGAGGAATCGCTATGCTAGCAGGCAGCACCTGCCGCAAAACAAGCATCACTTCCAGTTTCAAAATTAAGTCAATTATGAAAACAAACATCACTATTTACCAGATTTGCTACAAAACATCACGTTACACTCAATAGACAATGTCCCTGTTACTTTCACATTCATAAGAACTGTTTGCAAGAAATCTATAAAATGGCTTAAGAGCCAGCAATTAAGAAGCAGAAGCAGGCACCACTCGCACTCCTGAGTGCATGTGGAGTACGAGCACCCAGCTAGCATGGCCCAGGCGAAGGACACGGTAAGGAGGAGCCGGGCCCACCTTGCGGAGGCGGTCCTTCTCCTCGTCTGGAGACTCGAGGTTGTGGACGCTGATGCGCAGACTTTCCTTGAACATGAGCTCGCGAGTCTTCATTTCCGAGCGAATGCGCTTGGGCAGCTGGCGCTTTTCCAATGTCTGGCGCTTGAGCAGTTCATCCTCCCGGCGCAGGTTCAGCCGCTTCACCTGCTCCAGCTCCTTCTCATGCCGGATGAGCATCTGGTGCCGCTGGAGGAAGAAGCCGTCCTTGAGCTGCTTCTTGGCCAGCTGGTGCTTCTCGTGCAGGTGCCGCTCCTCCAGCTCCCACAGCGCCGCCTCCCGTGCTGCACCAGAGGCACGTGAAAGCCATGAGATCCGGCAACTGACCTACCAGTTATGCACCTCGCGTCACTATCAAGACGCACTGCAGCCCAACTGGCAAGACTCGATCCTGCACAGCAGCGTTGTTACCGTAGCTAGACTTTTCTAAAAAGCAGCTTTACTTTTGTTTCTCCTAAAGATTGGCGTAATATGAGATTGACCACACATTGCAACGACACTGCATAAAAAGTGCTGTTCATACAAAGTATAACCTGCTCAGCACCCAGGCAAGACTGCCACCTACCTCGTAACAGCTGTTGCTTCTGCTGCAAGAATTGCTTTTCAAGAAGTGCAATCTTTTCCCGGTGGCTGTCACTCAACCGCTTCATGGACAGCTCGTGCTGCTCATTCAGCTTCTCCACAAACAATCGCTCCTGAAAGTGTCCAAGAGTAGAGTACTGATTAGGGAATCAAGTCCTTGGCCGGAAAAGTTCTAGATTGTACCTTTAATTCAAATTATACTTTATTTTGTAAAGGTTTTCCTGGGGTGTTTACGTGCCAAATCAGCATAGCGGCAGCGGAGAACTCCGGAATAATTTGGGCAACCCAGGGATCTTTAACGTGCAAACAAAACCTCACTTACATGGCACCCACTCTGCAATAAGCTTCGGTCAGATTGTGGGTGCCTTGGTAAGGATTCGCCATCAAAGGTAGGAAGAAATATCACAATTCAGAAACCCAATTTATAAAAAACAAAAATATGACTTTAAATCACACTGTGATGAGAATAGACCAGTATCAAGAGTCAGTTTGGCTACGCCACCGCTGCCACAATGCACCGAGAAAGTCTTTCCTCACGAGCGACAACCTTGCTGGAGCGAGTGCAGAGCACGAGATGGCACGAGCTGTCTCGGGCCCTGCCATATGCATCCTCTGAACAAGTTTTGGCGGCTTCATGCATGCACCCAACGCTTAGTGAGATCTGTCTATTGATCTGACATACCCCATTTTCCAAACTACAGTCGGCGCACAACACATGTTTAAAAGTTAAAAATTTGTGCAATGCAGATTATAAAGGGATTTAATTTTTTTATAGATTGTTCATTATGATGAGATGTGCCAGAGCTAGTGAATGACAGTTAATGTTACTGATGACTTATACAGCTTAGTGAGCTAATGCAGTAGGCATTTTTCAAGATGTGTTGTGTAAGAGAATGTTTTACAAGTAGACTAGGCGCTAGGTGTAGACTATGAGCCAGGTGCGTCCTGAATATACTCTTTTTTTCAACCCAAATTTGTCCTTGCAAACTTGTACATTGGGTGCAAACTATAGACCGAAAAATGTGCTTATTTCTAAAACAAAAAAATATAAGGCAAGACGTGGACCTCTACTCTTGTTCGGGATATCCGAGAGAAGGTGCTCACCCGCTCAGCCTGATCCAAGTCCATTTTCTCCTTCCGCACCCTAAACATGTCCTTCCGTTTCTCCTTTGGCATTAATTCTACTTCTTGCTTCAATAGTTTGGCCTCATTTTTTAGGCTTTCCCGGAATGACTTCAGCTCTCGTTCCTGAAACAGCGCCATGTAGCACATTCTCAACCAACTGCCAAAAACACCGACACAGTGCACTAGCTGAATTGGAGAACTAATAAAAAGGGCTGTTATGTTCATCCTGGGGCATATGGGCACACTGATAGCCATACAAGGGAGAGGAAGAGCCAGTTGTTCCCAATCGTTTCCCCCTAATAAATTTAAAACAGACACAGTAATTTAAAACAAACGAGGCACAGCACATTCCCAAGCATCAGAATTAGTCTACATGAGAGAGAGCATATGGACAGACAACACACAATCATACTTAAGACGAAGGACGCAAGCATAAAAGAAGACTACATGACACCATACAGGCAACCTCATAAAATGCTTCTTCCCCTTGCAGTTAGGAAGCATGACCGATTCTAGTCTTTTAACTCTTTTTAATTCTATCAATCGAAGATGATGGTGATGTTTGCAGGCTGGCGGAAAAGCTAGAGGCCATATTGCGCCAGACTGAACAAGACTATCAAGCTACTGACTAGACAGCAACTTTAAAACTAGGTACGGCTAGATCTGGATTATTAGGCTAATGCTAATAATAAAAAACAAGACACATTCGAAAGCGACAAGAGGATTGTCTCCCAGCGAGAGAGCAGGATAAAATGGGATAATGACGTTTTGCTTGAAGTTCTAAACAGAGCCATAAAATATGCAGACAGTAATTGCACCCCTAATCCGGTAGACCAGTCCCAATCTCAACCACCGACGTTTCGGGGACACTTTCTTGATAGGCGGAAGTGAGGGGGGACCTCATTCACAAGGAGGGAGGGGAGTGTATTGGAATACTACAATGACAAAAAGGGTAAATGAAGAAAACTACATGCATGCAAATGAACTTTGAAGCTTTGAAACAAAGAATAATCTACCCTACTCACTCAGTGCACATGATTTGGTCTATTTAGCTTTGCAAGACAACCAGCATCGATAAAAAAAAAAAAGTTTTAGTGCTCGGCTTTACTGACGGTCTAAGCTTCAGGGACCCCAAGAAGGCCTTCAGGGACCCCAAAGGGCCCGCCGACCCCCATATGAGAACCCCTACGGGCGGTGGACCATCCCCACAAAGTAGATACTTGCGAGCAAGGTAAGAATGGCTAATTCGAAGACAGCACAAAAACACTTTGTAGAGTCGATTCTCAAACAAAGAGCTCCACGTGAAGCAAGCCTGTCGGCCTCCTTGTTGCTCCCTATTCCCATGCAACTCGGCACCAAACAAAATTTCATAATGTGAACTTCACTAAGTGCTGTTAAGCTTACTTTGCAGTCATTGCACAAGCAGATTTCTAGAGACTTTCAAAGATAATATTGCTCTAATAGTGCCCAAGAGTCGACAAACAAAACAACCCTCATTATTTTAGTCTTCAGGATATACCTCGCCTACAGCCATAAATAAAGTTTTGCCACCCACACGACATAGTTAGCACAAGCACAATGCTAGAGAAAAACGACTATGTTTGTGCTACCTGTATTGCATGCCCTTGATACAGTGGAACCCTCAGCATGAAAGAGGAAGCAACTTCCATATTTCCTTTTTAACTCACAAAATTCTTGAATAACTAAGGCTGGAACACTATGTTTGTGTGTGAATGTCCAGTCACCAACAACCAACTGCACATCCCACATTCTGCATAAGGTTAAAGGGAAATTGAAGCGGTTCTGTATTTGAGAAAGAACACTTAAATTATCTTCATTTGACCTTCAGGATCATGAATATCAAAATTATATTTCAGATGGATGTGCCAAGTAACCACAACAGTGCTGAAGACACTGCCTCCCTCCCAGCACGTTCGATGAGAGAGACTCGTGACGTTATGCAGAGATCTCAACATTCCCGTGTGATGTCACACCCGGCGGTTAGTTTTTCGGGTTTTTCTCCCGTCGTGATACATTAGGCCCAAATGCTTGTCTGCAAGCTAAACTGCTCTATCTGATACTGTATTCTTTTAGCTCGTTGGCAAGTCAGCTTCTACGGCGCTAGTGCCATTTAGAGAAGCTGTTGCATGCAGTGGTGCATACTACAGGCCTCGGAGATGAAATCTTGCCGCTGCAGCTCATACGATACAGCACTATCCACAGTCGTCACTGCTGCCGTCATCCAAAAAAACAAGTAGCAAAAGTAGAAATAAATCGCGCCAACTGAGGCCGTCTTTGTAGCAGTCTCTGATGCCAGCAAGACACCATGTTTGACAGGTGCCATAGCCATGCAGAAATTTCTTCCAGAGAGTAGCTTTCCAGCTTGTAGGAAAGTGCATAACTAAATTGAAACCAAAACTGTAGTTTGCCTATCCACAAGATGGCACAACAGGTTCCAAAGAACCGAATCTGGATTTTGGAGGTGCACACAAACTATCTATCACAGGTGATCGATGGCCTATGGGCATGATACGGAAAGAGTTAACTTCGTTCGGACAAAAATAAAGTGAGTAAGGAAAATGGTCTACACGAAAGCGCTCAGAATGCTCAGCTTATCTTACGGTCAGCTGGTATTTTGTAGTAGTTTGTTAAACTGTGGTTTTGGCGTCTACTCTCAAGTGACATTTTGTTTGATTCCGCATATAGGCCGAGTATAGAAGACATTTGAAAAGCACCTGTTGTGAGTCACAAGCCAAGGACAGGATCCAACAAGACCGTACGATACAAGAAAATGCTGCATGGACAGACTTCTCAGGCAAGAATTTAAAACAAATTTGTTGGCCCACTTTCACAGTTTATATTTGCTGCAAACTGTAGATCACACCTGGACATCTTGCAAGACAGTGCTGAAATCTGGATATCCTATCAATCGAAGACTGGCATCTGCTAGTTCAAGGGTAACCCATATGTTTCGATTCCCAGTATGTTTTTCCCAGCTGCGCTATCCAGTCGCGATGTACCTGTGCAGAGCATGTCTGGCCTGAACAAAGAATGCAGCTACAAAGGCCTAGAAAGTGCAAAACCTATACCTGCTCAGCGCGGATGCGCCTTGAAGCGTACTTGAGGTCGAGCTCCTGCTGCTGCTCCGCCTTTTCCACCTGCTGCTTCTGGGTGCGGTTCAGCGCCTCGAGATCGTTGTCGTAGTCTCGAAGCAGGGTCTGCAACAACCGCTTCGTTAAGCTGTGTGCGATGACAGCCAATTTTGAGAGCTCACAGTCAGTTCCTGGTCAAATTTTTTTTGCTGCTGTTCCCGGGCAAACTCTTCCTTCATGTCCAAGTCTTGGAATTGCTTATTCTCCATCTTCTGAAGCATCTTCAGCTCTCGCAGCTCTTGCTTCCTGCGGGACAGCACAGCAGGAGAATGACTTGTCTAACAAAGCTAAGAGCTCAAAACACCTCCATCAATTTACCACTGGAGTGCCACAATTAGAAAACACTCACACAAAAAAGAAAGACTCATTGCGTTAAAAGCAGAATGCTTTTATGGCTTGGTTTCCGAGTTCAGAGCATCAAGAAGAATTGTGATGAAAACATGGAAACAGGACGATCACATGGTTGGTGCCACTATCACAATGGGTTGCGTGACCTATCACCTGACGTGACAGTGTCACGTGACCATGTAACCTGACATCCCGCAACCACTAAATTGACATCACAGTGTCAAGTGACGCTCAGTGATGAAAGTGGCATTTGACCTTTTGTAGCAGATCTGTAGCAGGCAAAATATTGGCCTGGAGCAGATGCCAACATCTATTAGTACATCACTTGAAATTGAAAACGTGACTACATCTCAAAATTTGTTCATTTATGATAGTGATCAAGGGTTCTTTTTTGGTACTCGAACATATTACTAATTACCGTTTGTGATAAAAATAGATAGGGCCCAAAAGGAACGCAGGTTTCTTAAATAGCAGTCTAGTCAAAGTAGGTTTTATTTACAATGGGTATTAAAAAAATGGTTAAAAAGTGAATCACACCACAACACTTCATTGGGATAAATCCCTCTCTCCCCATTTTACTCAGTAGTTTGTTTAGCCAGTAAATATAATTTCTGTAAAATGCCAGCAAGAACCAGCATATCCGATAACACGTCTACCAATCAAAAATTTTCCTCCAAGTTTAATGAACCTGCCGAACTCAAGACTAATATCATAAACTGCGAAAACCACCACCCAAAAATATTACAAAAGCCTACACTTGCGCTTTAAGGGTGATGCTGCTCTTCAGCGGCGTAGAAACCAGAGTTACGTCAGTTTGCTGCTGTTCCGATTGACAGTTGCACACACTCACTGCCCAGTTTTTATTTTTTTTTAATTTAGATATTTTACAATTAAGGCAAAGAATATGGACCTGTAATAATCCTGTGCATAACTTGTGTGCCTATAGCGTATAGGTCATCTGCTACTCCTAGTAGAGAACTGCATGGGTACAAGCCAGCCTGCAGGCCACGGGCCGGGCTCAGGCTTCACGGCCTCATTCACGAAGGGCCCACATTGTATTCAACTCTACAAGGTGGGCTGAAGCTAACCAAACTGGCCATTACTTTTTAGGGGCGAAGCTCCTTAGGGGCTAGCCATGTCCGTATGTCCGTCCGCCGTCGGGTGCTTTGTGCTCCTGCTCGTGAGCTCACGTGCTCACGAGCACGTCAGCACATGCTTCTGTGCTTGTGTAGGGCAAAAAAAAAACAACCGCATCTCTACGTGGTGAATGATGTTGATTGGTGCCAAGCTCTGGTGGTGCTTGTCTGAGTAGACGGTGAACCGCAGCATGCTGAGCCTTTTGTTCGTTTCCATCCATGTCAGAAAGAAAATGTGTGGTATGGAACGTGGTTATATACGCATTTGAGCATTTGACCGCAGCGTGACACAGATGAAAACGAACGAAAGGCTCGGCATGCTGCGGCTCAGCGTCTACGCAGACAAGCCCCACCAAAGCTTCGCCCCAATCAAAATCATTCACCAAGTAGAGATGTTTTTTTTTTTTTTTTTTTTAGCAGCATTGTTTTTTTGGAAGCTTGTCTGGGGGGTTGGGAGAGGGACCACAGTGATGGAGACCCAAACGTTGAAAGCATGTCTGTGTGCATGTATATGTTTTTGTACGGTTTGGTGTGTGTGCAGCGAATGCTCTTCCAGAGCACTAGCACTGGCATTCCTTTTCGTCACCAGCGGTGCTGCCATTGTACCATCGCTTCTCCCTACACAATGTGCATTCTCGCCGGCGTAAACCTGTATGTACGAGTGCGTGCATCCAGAACATGGGTGAAGAGGTTCCCTTGAGAGGTGCTTTTCCAAACAATTTCTCGCAGACTACCACAAAAGACAGCAATATTTTTTTCATAATTTTTTTTTTGGTTGTACGCATTGGGAGTGGGCAATTTAGAACTTCGTCTTTTGTCCAAACCCGTCGCAACGTTTCCATTCTTTTTCACAGTTGACACATGGTTTTGTTTACTGCTGCTTGTCATTTTTGCTTTTCCGTCCTTTCCGTGTGGGCTTGGTCGCAGAAAAGGGCGACTGGGGTAATTTTTCTTAACGTGCTGCCTAGGCCTGCAGATTGGTTCGACCAATAACAGCAGCAAAAAAAAAGAAAGAAAAAAAACAACAACAAAAGAAACAATGTTTACAGCATTGACTATCGGTTACTATAATCAAAATATGTGTAGCAGTGACAAGCAAGCTTGTCACTGCTACACAGTAGCAGTGACAAGGGCTTTTCGTACTGGGCTAAAATAAAGCGGGCCCCAGCGGGCCCCTGAAAATTAGCATTGGGCAGGGCCAGGCATGGCTGGGGTTGGGCCAGCTATCGGAAATAGATAGCGGGCTGGGTCCAAGAGACAGCGGGCCGGGCCCAAGATACAGTGGGCCGGACTTCTAAATATCGGCCCGTGCAGACCTCTACCTCCTAGCACTCCGGTACAAAGCGGTGAAGCTCGACACGCGCACGCTGGTGAGAGGTGGCGAAGGTTGACGTGCCATGGTACCCTGCAGCCACGGAACGAATGCACGCGGCAGATATGATAATCAAGTGACCTAATCAGGAGTACAAGACCTTGGTTCTGTTTTATCATATTAGCCACAAGTGGCAATCCAGCTATTTTGCAACACTTTCGCGGGACTCTTAGTTCCTAACATCGACAATATCGTCTGGAAATTTAGACAATGTCGGCGATCAACCAGCCAGCGCATCAACTGGCCAGAGCGGTTGATGCCGAGCATCAACAGCTCTGGCCGGTTGATTTGCAGCATCGAAGTGTGACATCATGGCATTCGTCATCTCCTTGTACGTGTTCTTTCATAGGCTAAACCAATCAAGTGCAGTGAATGTTCCATGACTTGCACTTTTAGTATGTGTGTTCGTGGTTGCACGTGTTCGAGCCTTCGACTGTGCTCTGACCCAAGTCAAATTTGGGAGCTTTACGTGCCAAACCAATGGCGGGCATCTGGCACACCCCAGTGGAGGACTGAGGATTAATTTGGACCACCTAGATGAAGATCTTTCGATGTCGGTTAGATGTCGGAAGCTCGGTTACACGGCGCCTTCTCCGCAATAGCTCTGACCTAAGACAAAACTAACTATACAGTGAGTAGAAACGCTGTGAAATTCATAATTATAAAATTTTTCTTTTCTTTTACTTCTCTAAATATCAAAATCAACCAACATTTTTTTTTTTATGTTGCTTCTTTTTGCGCATGTGTGGCACAATTTTTAGCAAAAATGGTATTTGGACATAAGATGTAGCAGACTTTAGTTCTTGGTCCAATTTGGCGCAAATGGTGCAGCACTTCCGTCACTGCCGACTTGATCTCACAGCGTCATGTGACCTGCAACTCGTCACAGCATCATGTGACCAAGTAACTTGATGTCAGTGTCACATGACCACGTAACTTGACGTCAGTGTCACGGGACTAATTTGATGCAGGAGCGTCACATGGCCACGCAAGTTGATGGCACGGTATCATGTGACACTCGTGTCATGTCACATGACACCACGACGTAAGGGAATTTATGTTACGTGATCATGGGGCTGGTGTCACATGACAACTATCCACCAAATATAGCAGGACCACCCGAGTTAACGTCAGTGCCACATAACACCAGGACAAAAGTAAAGTCATGCTACGTGATCAGGGGCTGGTGTCACAGGACCACCGTTCACAAACTTAGAGAAAATATTTTATCTCAAGCTATAACAACTCCTCCAGTTTGCATTTTGCATAATTTGGTCATTTGTTAGATCAAGGTAATTAGTGTCATGTGACCATGCAAGTTCTTGTCAGTGTCACATGAGCACATATGTGTCAGTGTCACATGACCACATAACTCCATGTCACAGTGTCATGCGACTAGATCAGTGTCATCCAACTATGTACGGTAACTTGATGCAAGTGCGTCATGTGACCACCTAAATCATGTCATTATGTGACCACCTAAATCATGTCATTCCTGAAAATAGCAGCATCATGTGACACCACTACAAAAGTGAATTCATGTTACATGATCCCAGTGCTGGTTTCACATGACCACCATCCACTAAATTTAGTGGGAATATATTTTATGTCAAGCTATTTGTGATTCCAGCAAACCATAGGGGACATGCTGGTCAGGCAAAATGGCAGACGAAAGGAGGCCATTTTCATTATCACGTGGACCACCATAAAATTCTTGCACTGCAGCGTAAAATCTGTGTTACATATGAAAGCAAAGCAATTCTTCGACGGTAGAAACCTTCTTCTAGTCAGTGCGTAGGAATGAGATGGCGGAAGCATAAAAATAATTCCTGGAAACAATGTTTGTTTCTATGCTGCCCACGAGAACCAAGCAACGATAGCAGACGACAAAGTCAAAACGACCTCCTCTCTTGAGCTTCTTGACGTTGCCGTTACGCGGTGTCCATTTTGCTGGAGTCGCCATAATAGCCCTTCAAGTTCTCATTCTGCATTAATTGGACCCTGTTTGTTAAATCAAGGTGGTTAGCTTTTTTTTTTTTTAAGGGTGCTAGAAAAAAACTAAGAGGCATTCTTAGTGAGGCAAGACTAAATGGAGCATTACCTGAGGAAGTGGTAATCTTTGGCTTGTTTGTCTTCGTCCAGGTCACCGTAGATGACTTTGCTTGTCGTAGTTGTCATCACAACACCATCTATTACAAATTTTCGTGTCCGTTTGAGTGTTTTTGGTCGCACCACCGCATTGTTCTGAGACATCAAGGCCTTTTTGCGAATTGCAGGCACATTGTTCGTAGTGCGTTCCTAAAGATAAAAAGGAAACAGAAATACAACCTATTAGAGACAATTCCGGAAATTGAAAAAGGTTGCTCACAGAAGTCAGATCTCCATATTTAACAGAGCTCCACTTACGTTCCAAAAAAGATGACAACAATCTTATCGCCTTTCAGGTAATCGGGACAAAAGGGGGCAAGACAGGAGGAGGAGGTGTGAGAAAGATTGAGATGAGGTGAGAAAAAGGAAAACGGGCCAGCTATTATAGTCAAAGCAAGCCGAGTTTTGTCCGGCCCTGTAATACCTCACGAAGGCGGCAAAAATGATTCCTACGCAGAGTGAACTTTTGTGGGAAAGTAACTCCATCATCCCCCTTTCTCAGCAATGGATGGAAAACATACACAGAGTCCCTTTCATAGCAAGACAGCACATGGGCAAGAGCCTAGTGAGACATGTGCTCCAGCAACAACGCTACCCCTGAAGGCACAAAGAGTCAGCCAAAAAAAGGAACGTACCGAGGGCCTGACCTTCTCTTTGGCTGCTTCCCAATCCTCCTTGCGGTTTTCCTTGTCGCTGCCGCTCGTGCGGCTGCCCACACTGTCAAGCGTCGACACGCTCTCTGTGTCAGACACCTCCTTGCGTCGGCGCTCCACCACCGCCAGGTCCGGGCGTTCCCCGTCCGCACGTCGGGGCTGCTTCTCCACGGGCGGCGGCGACGACGATCCCTGCTGCAGCTTCACATTCACCTTGACCTTGGGCGGCCGGTCGTCTGAAGAGCGCTGCGAGAGCGCCTCATGCGAGCCGCCGTTCACCAATGTGGCGCGCACCTTGTGCGACCCGTCGTGCATGCGGGGGAACGAGTTGCGCTTCTCGGGCGACCGCAGCACCACCTGCGGAGAGGAGGCCTCGCCCTTCGATGTCACCACCAGCGACGAGTCCTTCACCACCTCACGGTCACCCACACTGATCACCGAAACATGGCTGCGGTCCACCGATCCGGACAGGTCCCAGCGACCGGCCTCGCCAACCTCCAGGATGGTGTGCTTCGAGGAGAAGGTCACCTCATGCTCCACGGGTCGCTTCGGAGGCCTGCATTCTCCGTGAGAGACATTGAGGTGTCGGCACATCACCTCAGCGTCCAGTGCTTTGTTGTCGTTCGTGCATACAAGCTTTCTTTCCTGCTGCCTGCCCACTTTTGCTACTTCCTAGCATCAAGGTCCAAAACTCTCCATGCTCAATGTGCAAAAGTAACCTTTGGCTACCTTTGTTGGAGCTGAGAATTGCACGACCTTGCGCTTGCCTTTCTCCTCTCTCAAAATCTGTCTGGCCCGAACCACATATAACACTTGCTCCACTGCACTGCTGATAACACTGCTCAGACATACAATTTTATTAAATGATTGACTCAAATTGCCTTTACAAAAAAAAAAGAAAAACCCGCCCCACATTCATTCAAAAACGATGGTTACTAAACCTTCACCAATCAGACCAAAATTCTGGCACACTATAACGACAGTGCTTCTCACAGAACAGTGTCACCATTTGCAAATCCACTGATACGCTATGTCAGGCACATAGCCAGGGGGGGCCCATGTGGCCCGGGCCCCCCCGGAATCTTCCATTTTGCTGGGACCTCCTCTCCCTGGCTATGTGCCTGCGCTATGCCTAGAAGTATAGAACTTACATGTCCGCCTTGTCAACTTCTGTCTTGGAAGTTTCGAGCTCGGAGTCTCCTTCCCGTTGAGAGGGGTCTTCTATCATGGACAGACCTGATGAAACAATTAACAGCTTCCTGTCAGACCCAGATTAATGTCACGGGTGGAATATGGTTACAACAGTCAGACTACCACTCACTTGAGACTACCACCACTTCTCCACCCCGGATGGGCGTTGATGACTGAGGATGAGATACAACGTCTTGTGGAGTGGATGGAGGGATTTCATCCACAGGTGCCTCTTTCCTAAACAAGAAGGTGTACATTTTATGAATGCGTAGTCTCCTTCGCTAGGGAAAGAAACAATGCGTAGCGAAAACCAAGGTTGAGAAAATTAGAGTAGTGCGAGTCTACTACAATGAAAGGCTTCATCAAAAACAAATGCCAATTAAAAAAAAAAAAAAGATTTAGTATGCACTTTAAATTAAATCACAAAAATAGCTGCTCTCTGGGTTACAAATTACATTATTATAAATCCTTATTTCATAAATCTTTCTGAAACACTAACTGTAACTTTTCACGTTCATGGCAGACAACAGAGGTTCCAATACACTTTACCATAAAACAATTTGTACCTTATAGAAAAAAAAAAGAAAGAAAAGTTGGTACACATTCACGAAACAAAAAGATGTGATCACTTCATTTTCATTCCAACCACTGCAAATATAGGGAGTATTCACATGACATCAAGATTGAGTTCAGACCTGCTATCTGCCATACCTGAATGCAACCCAAGCTGAGTACTTGGTGTGCACACGGAGTCGTGCATAGACACATTTTCTACCTGCCTACCGACCGGCCGTTCCTGGCGTGTAATGTGGTCTTCTCGCAGCTCAGTTTCTTGTTTTCGTGTGTCTGTGTTGGTGTGCATAAGGCCAATAGTCACTGCACATGTTTGAACGTCCATGTGCTCGACTGAGCAGCCCTGTGCGAGGACGGCATTCCGAAAACGCATACCCTCCAGAAACTTCATAGTGGTGACGGGCAGGACATGCTTGCACGAAGTGTCGGCAAACTGAGCGTGCAGCTCAATGACGTTTCAAAGGTAGAGTAAATCGGAACGAATGATTACCTCATGTGTGAAACAAGCATGATTATTTGTAAGCCCTACATACCAACAGCTGTTCCTTTTTGAGATTACAAAATCAAAACAACACGCGCCAAGTTTATATTACAAACAGATGGCATATGCAGTGCAATTTATTTTACTATTTAACCGATCATACATCTTCACTTTGGGTGTAGAAGGCTGATGTAAAAGGCTAGCCATGAGAATAGTATTGCATGGTCGCCTGTCAATTGCTGGTCGCTTGGTAACACCAAATATAACCGAGTGCTTCCCGTCCGTTTATGTTGCCTAGTGGTTTCGTCAAAGCCTGTCGGCACAACAACTGGTTTAGAGGCTTAAAACTCAAAACTAGTGCATATACCTCTAACGGAATGTATGCTGGCTAAAAGAAGTATGTAAAAAAACTGCAAGGCAAAAAAAAATTATACAGTGTGCTGCCGGGTAAGCACTTTAACCCTTTAAGTGCCTTGGACGAGCTGAGCTCGTCGGCCGCTTTCTAGTTAAAAATGCCACGATCGATCTCGGCTCGTCCAGTGGTTTTTCTGGTAGCCCTCATTACCTAGGAAGAGCTAGGCTTGTTCGAGAAGTTTGTGGCGGTGATCATAGATGGCAGCACTCGTTTTTCGTTGGCACCTTTTTTTTTTTCCGTCGCCGCTGATTTTTGCGTTATAAACTTTTGAAATTTTATCTGTTATACTAGAGGACTAAAACTCCTTAATAAAAATATATGGCATTTTTAGGTTGCTTTTTCAAAAAAAAAAAAAGTGGCACTTAAGGGGTTAAGGCATTTAGGCGCAAAGGGTGCAGCACTCGCACCACTGAAAGCAACTACTTTTTTAAAATGCATGGGAACAATTGGTTGGGAACAAGCCCTTTCCCCTTCGAGCTCTGCCGTGCGGCAGAATAGTGGCAACATGCAACATTCTGATTGCGAATGTTGTTTCACTTCTGTTCAGTCATACCTTGGGGAGAAGCATACTTAACGGAGCCGAAGCACCCCACCATGCAAGATTTGGAACTATCTTAAACTACTCCAAAACATCTTAAACTTTCAAACACTACTATTGGTTCAAAGACACAGCAGAAAACATTGACACTTAAAATTTCCGAGCATGCGCACATGTCCAGAACCATCCCAGTTAATAGGAAGTTCTTAAGTTACGTGACGAGTCCTTTACCTCTCTGGAGACTTTGGAGGCATTTTGGGTGGTATTGTCGGTTTCACCGACACCTTGGGTGGCGTTTCTGGCATCACCTCGGCAGGAGGAACTTTCTCTGCCCCTTCGTCTAGCAAGGCCTCTTCCTTTGGAGGAGGTGCTTCCTGGGCAGGCGGGTGCGGTGGCTCCAAGCTCTCCGCTTTGCTTTCGGGCTTCTTGGGGGCCGCATCCTTTGCCAACTCTTCTGGCTTGACTTCCGCGGCTAGAAATGGGGGCAAAAACAGAAGCCATAAGACCATACTGCTGGATGCTACCAAGACAGAGATTGCACCTTTGGGTTCCGCCGGCTTCGTTTCCCTTCCACTCTCTTCAATCGGTTCGCTCAAGTTCGAAATGGTCTCGCCCGCCGTGTCATTCTCTATGCTTAGTGATGCTCGGTACTGAAAGCCACATAGAAAAAGGGTCACAAAAATCCCCCCACACATTCTCAGGCAAGTCTAATTCGGAAAATCCAGTCAGCTCTTTTGATAGAGCCAGCAATTTCGTAAGCAGCACTAAAGCAAGGATGTCATTTGTTACATACGTCATGAATTTCATCTTCTTGCTCTTCGGTGACTTCTTCGACGACCTCGGCCTTGTATTCACTAATGAGGTCTTTAAGAGGCTTTCTGTCGGTTGAGTTCGCAATGAATGGGTGCTGAAAAAGAAAGATGTTCAATGTTTTACTAACCCCAAAAACTAGACAGGTGGAAAAAAAACAAAAACAAACTCAAGAGAAAAAAGACATTCACCTTTAGAAGTTCTTCTGAGCTTGGCCGCTGGTTAGGATCTTTGATTAGACAGAGTGCAAGGAAGTCCTTAAACTCTTTGGACCTGAAAACCACAGAATCAACAGCACTATGTAGCTCTTTACACTAACACTCATTTCTATAAAAAAAACAAAAAAAAAAAACAAAAAAAACACACACACACAAAAGCAAGAAACCAAGATAAAAACACAAATACAAAAAAAAAAAAAAAACAATAGCAGAAAAGATGCACTTAAATACACAAAAGAAACAAACCACTTAGAAGGTTGTGCAAGTGAGGGAGGATCAGACTTCTGAATCTTTAGTAGCACCCGCATAGGATTCATTTCATTGTTCGGCGGTTCCATCTGTGCAAACTCAATCAGCGTGATCCCCAGGCTCCAGATGTCTGCCTTGTAATCGTAGGGGTTGTCCCGATACGTCTCGCATAGTACCACCTCAGGTGCCATCCTGTTAGCAAACAAAAGAGCCAAATGTTTTTGTTAGTTCTATAGTACATTTAAACAGCTGGTTGCATGGTGAAGAACCTAAACAGTTCTGCTCAAATACTAGTCGAGCCAGGGCTACATCGAAGTCTGCACCTCGACATCTCCCCTCCCTTACCAGTAAGGGGTGCCAATGAAGGAATCTCGCTTCTGCAGGGTGTGCTTGTTCTTGGCAGATACGCCAAAGTCAGCTGGAAAGACATCAAGCGGTTGCTTTATGACATAACCACAGAAAACATTGCACAATGTCTCAGCTCAAATTCTCCAAACTTCCAAGCTGCTCAAAGTACATAAGCATTTTTACAGCCAAACCCAGTACTGCATTAAAGAAACATTGAAGGGCTCTGAATCTCTTTAAGCCCCATTATGCAAGTTTGTTAGGTTATATTAAGACATTATACTCGTTTTCACCTCAAGGACCATAGTGAAAAGTTTGGTTCCTTGTGCAGCACTACTAATTTCCCCCTTTATGCAGTGAATTAAAGCACTTGCATGTGAATATAAGATAAGTTTTTTGTCATTTTATCACAACATACACGAGTCATATGCAAAAAGCAGTTTTATTTATTACAACTAAGTCTTGTAAGAATTACTTCACGAAGCGTAAGACTATGCGCGAAATTTGCTTCCTTCTTGAGCGAACAAGTATAGACACATATCCATTAGACATCACTTGCAAACAACCGTGTAATTTGCAGTGGGACAATTACGAAAAATAGTGTACTTAGCACTGCGTCTGACATAAGAGTCACAAAATCGCAAATCCAAACTAGGGAGGATTCGGATCGTGTCACACCTAAGTCCTTGCACCAGTTTTCTTCTTCCCATTAGTCTTCAGCAGAACATAGTTATTGCACTTAATTTTTTTTCCCCAAACATCCTGCAAACTCATAACGAGGGTTCTGTGTTTTCGATATATACTATTAAAGAGGCACTGACACCCAAAAGTTGTATTTGTTTTTGTTGTCAAAAATGATGCAAGTTGTAGTGATAGACACGCAAAAACATTCCAGAACATAAAGATGTGGTCATCACTTCGTGATCACATCTTTGTTGGCTTCAATGACGACAAACACATGCCGAAATCACTTGCGATACACTTCACTCTCGTTAATTCAAAGTCGCTTTATTAAAATTTTTGATTATAGTTCGAAGCAGGGGTGCATCCGGCAATTGCGCATACAATGGGGAAAAACACTTAATTCTAAGTTCAACCTCTGGGACTAGTTAATTCAAAGGATTTTTTTTTTACGTGATTAAGAAGTCTGGCAGTTCCAGGAGCATGAAAATGCCACGTGATTACGCTGACCAATCTTAAACCGCACCCATGCACACTTCATCGCTCTTATCTACCGTGTGCGCGGTCGGGAAAAAGAGGGATCGAGCATGGTGTGCAAACAAGCTGCCACTCTGCTTGTTTGCACACGTTACACAATCCTATAAGATGTTTTGTCCATCGAATATATTGATGTCAACAAACATGCCGCAGTCTATAGGCTCCTTGCACACGACGTCATTTCCGTTGCCCTCCAAAGAAGAGGGGAAGAAGGAGCTCCCCTCTTATCAGGACCCTCCTTTGTACCTCCCGGATTTATACAGGCGTCGCTATTCTCCCCCCAGAAGATTATAGAAGATTAACCTGTCACTCAAAATTCTTACAAAAGCAGCTTCCCTCTCCTCCTCTTACTTGGTGTTCAAAAGTGTGCGATGTGACGTCAGTGCAAGGAGCCTATATACCTTTCCAAAAAACACTCCTAGGCCGCCGCCATGTTGCTGATGGTGATGCGGCTGGTGCGACTCTCGCACCCTCTATCAGCTAGACATTTTCTGCCACTCTCTTGGACTGTGAAGACCTACTCAGCGCGGTTCTCTACCTTTGTTTTTGCAGTTTTGCATTCAACGTTTTCTAACCCCTCTTGAAAGTTCCACTTAATTTTTTTTTTTTTTTATGTGTGCTGCGTACCCTTTTTGTGTTATCTTCCATTGTGAGAAATAGGTGTGATAACTGCCTGGCCATTCATGGGAAACAAAGGAGGCAAAGGACGTCGAACGGCCCTCGACGCGATTTTGCAAACATTGTTCTCCCCCCTCCCAGAGATAATCCGCATAGAATCCTCAGTCATCTCCAAAAATAGTTGTCCGGGTTGGGGTGGGAAACAGGTCAGTCACGTTCGTTCCTTTGCCTCGGTGCTGTTGTGAAAAAGGAAGCCCTCCCCAAAATGAAGTCATCTTAGATTCCGTCCGATCGTCAAGATGTGACTGTCGTCGACTGTGACTGTGTTATTTGAGATCTTTCTCAAATAAATTCTTTTTAGATAATGCTGCATCGTATGGTATGTACAATATATTGTTCAAATGTTAACACTCGCTAAATTGTATGTCCGTGTCCTGTCCATCGGTAAACACGTTATTTGTGAGCGTGAAAAATGCGTGCCTCTCGGCTATCTTCTGTTGTAAATTATTTTGGACAGCAAAGCGCTTTGTCCTTTGACATGCGGCGTAAAAAAAAAGGAATAGATCTATACATTCCAGTCGCATTCGTTCTGTCGCGTGCATACCCAACAAAAATAGTTTATAGGATTTTTATTGTATTTTGTTTTTCTCAAGTGTGGTACAATGCTTTCTCAATGACCTCGGAAAAATACATGCACCACGAAACACAAAATACAGCGGAAGAAGACGAGAATTTAGCCGCCAGCAGTGTTTGAAACTGCACCTACGCAGGCTGTGCTATCGAAATCACAGTCCACTCGGTGAGGGTTAACAGGGACGCCGGTGAGAGTCTAGCCTCAAATTCAGTGACTGGTCTCGAAAAAGGTTTGCTGCCCCTGGGGTCGAGTGTTTCTTGGAAGGGTGTATAGTCCTATTTCGAACAGGGACATTGTGCAAGTGATTAGGCCTAGGAACGATCATGTCGCCTTCCGTGCCAAATGGCCGAGCGATGCCGACGTGCAACTGCATGTAGCACTACGGAGTAGAATACATTTTCTTTGGTGAAGGAACTGCTGAAGGCACCCAAGAAAGGTCTGCAGTTTCCAGAGCACAGTTGATACTGCGCGTCTCCATTAGCGGAGGCAAGCAAAAATTCACTTCTCCCAATAAAAACTAAAAAAAAAAATATTTTTTTTTTTGTTTTTTAATCAAAGTATGCGTAATTCGAAGCGCTTTTCTGTCCCCGGGAGCTTATAACTATTGAGAGTCAACTGTATCTGCAGTCTTTTTTTCTTTTCCACTTGCCGCCTTAGCGATATGTTTTTTTCTTTTTTCGAGAAAATATTTCCCTTCTTACACTGCGGCGCCATGCTGTCGCGTTTGCCAGAGTTTGCAGATGAGAACAGTTAATTTCTGTTGTAAACTGCGCAAAAACATTGCGCAAAATCACGTGTCGACTGGCAGTGACCAACACTCACGCTCTGCACGTTATGACATGCCATCTTGTACGGATTTGACTTAGCTTGTCTCAAGCCCAAACCTGATGCAATCCACCTTTGCATAGAGTTTGGAAGTTTTTAAGCTCTCACAGAATGCTCCGATCGCACAAAGGTCATTCCCGTGATATCCCACACTGCCTACTGGTAGTTACAAAAATGCACGAGAGAAGGAAATTGGCTTAGAAGGGAGGGGTAAGGTATCATAGGTTTTTTTCTGTTTTTAGGCTAGGTGGCGCAAGCACAAAGGCTACAGCCGTTAACATCCTCCGTCCATCCATCTATTCGTGTTCCCGATGTTTCCAGCCTCCACTCAGCACTTTGCATGGCACCTGTGCTTTCTTTGGCCGTTTTGGAGATTAATATTTAATTCTTTAATTTAGTGGTCCTCAAACCTTTGGATCAGGGACACCCAATGCATTCTGCATCACAGGTCTTGTGCAATAGCATAAAAGGGAGATTTTTTTTGTCTTTTTTTTTAGAGCAGATTTTTTATTTTGGTGCGGACCCCCATGAATGCTCTTGAGGACCCCGAGTGGTCCACAGCCACAGTTTGAGAACCGCCCATCATTGCCTTTGCAGATAGAATCATTGCAGACAGACTTTTTATACACCATCTTCTATGGACGACAAATGGGGAATTGAAAAGACTTCCATGTTGCGGATATTTCATTGGCGTTCGCTCTAGTGGGATTCAACAGTAGACCTTTCTGAAAAATTCCACAAAGCTTCTTGTCGACCATACCCTGCACAGTGCGGCGGGGAAAATCACTGGGCCGTTCCGATGTACGCTTGGGCCAGCTCAGACGCTCCATACATCCCGGAAGCGACACGATTCCTTCTCTCGTACCAGTGCAAGTTCAGAACACCAAAAAAATGGAGTAAACATATCACAAGGCCGATAGGTACCCCGTTTAGTTATCGTCCTGCTTTCTTTGCATTCTGAATTGCAAAACGCTAAACCTACATGAACCGCTCCTTTTACTCTTGGGTACTCCTTCGCATACTATACACTGGATAGTCGTGCCGCTGGACAACAGTGAGCTTCGCTCTTTCCGCTCTAGCCCGACATCGGCAACATTATTTCTCAATAGCCGGGCGGACACATTATGCAAGTGGGCGAAGCCCACCCTGGGCCTTTAGCCTGCCACTGACTTTGGCACTGAACAGTCCCCCAGGCTCCATCGCTTTTGGAGAAACACACCCCTTATTTTGTTTCCTTCTTTAGTCAATACTGGGACGTTTTCCAAGTATTCGGGTCATGTTCCCTGCAGGTTGGGGAATCCCACGGCCGTGCCCGTTTCATTCAACATAAACCCTGATAAACGCTCATTTTCGTTTAAAAAAAAAAAAAAAAAAAAAAAAAAAAAAAATTGAAGAATCTAAGCGGACACTAACTTCTAAAAAACAATTTCAATGGAAAAACGATTTAAAGGGCACAATATTTCCGCCGCCAGATGCAGTTTAGATGGAGGCAGAGCCGTATATTGGGAGAGTCTGGCCAGTGGGTGTGGTGACAAAGGCGTAGGAGAGGAGAAAGGTAAGGAAGAGGGAGGAGAGCGCCGAAGGAGCGAGAGAGAAAGAAGGGAGTAAAGAGGAAACTACTGCTATTTTGACGCAACACGCTTTAGGTGCACAGCACTGCTGAGGCTACGCGTCCACATTCGACGAGTACAGAGGAGACAAAGACTGCCCTCGTCTCCACTGCACTCGTCAAACACGTTCGCATGCGAAAGCCAAATACCGGACGCCAGCGTTTGTAAGTGCAGTGGAGACAAAGGCAGCTAGCTTTAGGTCTACCCACAAATCATTCCAACCAGAGCTCGGCGTTCCGACCTCCCCGCGAGCTCTCGTCTTCTGCTCTTCCTCAGTTTCTCGGCACATTGCAGACGATGCCGTATGCTGCCACGCGTCTGCCCGCACAATTAGCAGACGGTGTCGAACGGCAGATTAGACGCATCGGACGCCATGACAGGGAGGTATTAGGCTTGCTAATGTGTTCAGTCGAGCAGCCAAGCCAATCCAGTAGTACTGGGAGTTCTCTGGGTGGGGACTACAGCAGGTAATGACTTCCACCTAAGCGGTATAACTGTTGCACTAAAAAATTAATTTCTTTGTGGAATTTTGTTTGGTGTAAAACATGTGTCTCATCTAAGCCATTAATATTTTATTTTTTTAATTTTTAATTTTAGGTCTAAAAAAAAAGAGGTTGAAAGAGAACTTGAATTTAAAGGGCAACTCCGCTTAATTTCAAAAATTTTGAGATAGTGGCCGATTTTGCTTTTTGAAGTACTCAAAAACAATCCCCAATCCTTTGTTTCGCGAAAAATAAAATATTTTTCGTGTAATTTTACTCTAGCCATGATCACAAACCGAAACCGAAACGGTGGCAAAGCCGGACAACATTGTATATTCGGCATCACTAAGCATGTACACCCACGTGATATAGAAGGGGAAGAAGAAGCTCCCCTCTTATCAGGATCCTCCTTTGTGCCTCCTGGATTAGCACAGGCGTCGCTATTCTCCTCCCAGAAGATTATAGAAGATTAACCTGTCACTCAAAATTCTTACAAAAGCAACTTCCCTCTCCTCCTTTTACTTGGTGTTCAAAAGTATGCGATGTAACACAAGCCGCGCTCAACGAGGCGATCGGCTTATCAGTAGTATCAATAGTCTAGCGCCGGGCCGGCCGAGCGCAACACTGACGTCTTTCACGGCGCTGGCGCCACCCGTGCTCTCCCCGGGAAAGTAAACAAAATTGAAAAAAAAAAAAAAGAAGCTGTACATGTTTGATGACGTCGCGGACGTGCCGGGAGAAGGAATTTGGAGGAAGCGGAAATGCCGCCGGGCAGTGTTGTCTGGCCCGCATGTCTCAACCAAAACCAGCGGATTCGTGCTTGTCGAACTTTGACAGCGATTTTAATGAACTTCTAGGCGGAATTTCGTCGTAATATTTGCCATGGGGGTTCGGTAGATGATAACAAAGAGAACTGTATAGTTTTGCACTACTGGAAAAGAAGCGGAGTTGCCCTTTAAAGGAAAATAAAGCTATAAAACACAGAACCTTCCTCATGACATGCACACCCAGAATGTGTAGGAAAGAAAGCAATCTGGAAAGAGGTTTGCCGTACCGATCTTGACGTCGCCGTCCAGCGTGAGAAGCACGTTTCCTGCCTTCAGGTCCCGGTGGATCACCTTGTTCGAGTGCAGGAACCGTAGCCCCTCGCAGATCTCGTGGCACAAGTAGCGAATTTGCGATTCCGTCAATGGCTTCTCCAGGTCTATCATGATGCTGTCCACAGCGCCACCTTCGCAGAACTCGATGAGCATCTGTACGGGCAGCAAAAAGCAGAATTGTTGGAACCGGTAATGTTAATGCAAAGTACAGGAATTGACCGAGAAAAATAAACCCGGTTTATCGGTCAACACAATCAAGTATGCATCACAGAAAGCAGAAACTCCATGAGAATGTGAAGTCAGCAGTAGTGATAAAATACGAAAGTTTGAGCACATGACATTACCTGGATCAAAAGTACAAAAAAGAGACGCGAAAGTTCTCTATGGGCCGACATCCATCTAAGCCTAATATTCATCAAACCGAAACTTCAAATTGTGGGTGCCTGCAGCATTTCTTTCAGTGAAGAAATTTGTCAGTAAGAAAGACAATATTATTTTCTTTCTTAATGACAGTTTTTTTTACAGTTAATCTTGTACATACTTCAATATTTTATAATCTCAATTAATTTTTCTTTTTCTGGAAGGTTTATAAGCAGGGTATCCAGTAAAGCTATAAATATATTAAATACTGCATCGCTACTTCTTTAAATGCTTCAATGAGTTCCTGTGAAAATTAAGTAAAATCTAAAATATTTGTGGAGTAAAATAAAATTTTAAGTAACACTAGAGCTTCACTTGTACCCTTTATTGTATTTTGTAAACCTAGTTTACAGATATGCTTATGTAAGGGTTACAATATTGTAATTCCTTTTAATTCATTCCATCATCTTTGCAAATGACTCAATATTAGAAAAACTAATTAAGTGATATAAAATTCATACTTGCAATCAGATTGTAAAGGCAGATCACTATGCAAATTTTATTTACATTGGGTCACTTAGAAAGAAAACATTTCTAGAAGCAGTGCTCTCCCATAATCCTTCCCAGGCATACTGGCACACCTCCTACCCTTCCTTGTTCTTTGCATGCATTAAGAATTATGCAAAGAATGATCACCAGATTAGTGTATCATACCAACAAACATATGGAGTGAAAGACGCCTGCTGTTACATCATCTCCTAAAGTCCACATAAAAAATTGCCGGTTGCTACTCGTTGCAGATTCTTGCACCAGTTCTAGAATGTCCACTATACAGGGCTTTCAAAAATCCTTAAAAATAAGCTGGTTGAGGAAAAAAAAAAACTTTTTCTGGGAACAAATTGTAGCCACGGTGGACGTCAAGAATTGCAAAAACAAACTAAATTTCTAAATAATGAACTAAAATTTACTAATTAACTCGTTTAAATAATGAAAATAAACACATGGCTTCAATGAGAAACTTGCTAAGCATCATTGAAAACCACTAAATGAACCAATTTTAGGTAGATCTAAGTAGAGCCCTGCGTGGGTAACAGCTTGATCATTCGCACCTGCAGACCTTATATCCGCACCCAAACCGCATCTGCAATGTTTTTAAATTATTGTATTCGCATCCGATCCGCATCCGAACTGGATGCGCTCAATGCGGAACCCCCCCGACCCCCAATGTGCACATTTATGTTATATTACGAAATCAATCGTGAATGAAGAAAAAAAGCGTGTGATGGCACCTTATAAGCCGTTTGCTTATTTTCGTATAAAGAACTCTTAGACTTAAAACAAACATTTTATCGTATTTATAATATAAGCGACCATTCTTCCAAAGACACTTTGTGTCGCTGAAAAGATTTTCGCAGTTATCATCATAATGCCTTTATTTGTGCCAATAAACAACCAATATTGGTCTGCAATGTGGCACAGTGAAACAGTTGTACAGCTGTAGAAGATTCTCGGCAATACTTACTTAATGAGATCGTCCTGGGAGTCTGCGACACTGCCCAGAAGATACGCTCAAAAGGAAAGTTCAGTGATGTGATCGGCCTAAGCCGTCTTGGAGCACCTTTTAGAGCAGCAGATACAGTGTTTTGAAGCAGCAAAGGTGGCTTTTGGAGCAGCCAAAACAGTGTTTTGGAGCAGTAAACGTGGCTTTTGGAGCAGCCAAAACAGTGTTTTGGAACAGCAAAACGTGGCTTTTGGAGCAGATATTCTTAGAAAAATAAAGATATATGTTTTAAGTGCTGGATAAATAAAGGGCACTTTGCTCACAACAATAAACAAATTATGGTCAAGTTAAACCCACCTGGAAGTCCTTCAACATTTTAACTGAAATGCCAATGACATGACACATGATGGATAAAGGCGACTACTGTAGATATATAATAAAATAAATTGGAGCAGTCTCTGACTGACTCCAGTGCAATGCAACACTGTACACAAGAAAAGGTGCAGTACGACTAGCGGGCGGTTTTCCTTTTGCTTTTCGAAAACTTTCTGAGAGGCTGCTGCAAGCCTCGCTTTGCCTTCGACAAGTAATGAATGTCCACTGTAGTCTCCAAAGAGACATTGAGACATCCCAAAAATGTCCAGTGCTGTAAACGTTGCCAAGCAATTCAAAAAAAAAAAAAAAAAAAACACTTGACTGTTACCGTTTTACTGGTTCCCGATGAGCCAGATGTTTTGTCAAAAGCAAGCAAACGTCAAGCAATGGATTGCAAGCGTATCGGCTGGTGCCTCTGTCATGCAATCATGTTCGCATGCACTTGAGGAAAACTTTGGCAGCTTGCAATTGCAAGCACTTCGTCGTGCGAGCAAAGACGGCTGTTCGATCGAAACCAAAAGCATGCCACCCCGCTTTGCCGCCAACTGGTTCCCAAAATTGCGGCAAAATGTAACGGTCCAGCATAAGACAAAAAGCAGTCCAGCGGCGCGTGCTTGCCAGCCCGTCAGGCGAGGTACAAGCTAAACACACAGAAAAAAAGAACCTGAGCGTGTCAATGCGAAACATTGCGAGTCGGGGTCAAAAAGTTCTTGTAGTGCTTTGTGCAATGACTGAACTCGAGACAAACAAGCGCGTTGTGCGGGTTCAGCGTGCAGACATTGCCTTTTTTGCTGTAGCTCACTTCTCTCTCCCAACTTTCTTTCGCGGCAAACTTTTCACGTACCGCAGTCCCTCTCAAAAGAAAGCCCACTGAGAGAAACCTAGGTACTCAATACTTCGACACAGCAGCCTTTGAGTTAAAGAGGGATTTTTGTAGTCGCGTAAGATTTAAACAAGAACAGGAATGTTGGTGACCTTGCACCAGTCCATATGTGTCAGTTTAGAAAGTGCCATATCTGCAGCGACATGGGCAAGGCAACACCTGACGTCATGCAACCACAGAGACTGGTAGGCAGGGACCAAATATGGTTTTCCCACGGCCGTTGCTTTCAGGAGCGAGTGCTTCAGCTCACAAAGTAACTCCCGCAGCGCAAAAACGTAGTTTCATTTCATGTCACGACGGCAAGGCTGGTACCCGGCACGCTAGCGTCAGAGCGTTCGCAAACGCTTGAAAGACGCGGGACGAGATCCATGAGACAATGAGAGTGTGAAACGAGACGGAGAGAAAAACCATACAAGACCAGATGAACGACTGATGCAAGGTACTTTGGGTCGGGCGGCTGCTTCCGCCACCTAGCTCATGGTACTCAGCTTACTTTCGGTCTTGAAAAGGCGACAGAAATTGGTGCTCTGGTGCAGGCTTGGCGCAGATTACTCATATTTCGGCAAAATGTAGCAGGATGTATCAGGGTTAGCCCCTTGGCGCAGTTTGGCGCAATTGGCACAGCAATCACATCACTGAAAGTTGTAATATTTTTTTCTTTTTCCTTGATAACACCCGCTTTAGGCAGGCTCATATTTTCTAACCATTAAAATTAATAAAAGAGAGGCTAATAACACTGCATCATTTTATTTATGTCAAACAATAAAATATGAGAGCCATACCCTATTCGGCATTCATTTCTAATAAAAACTTGTTGCATTATTTAATTGAGAAAGAAGACATAACTGCCCAAAGTAGGGTCCTTTTCTTAAGCCTACACTTAGTAGTGCCCTATTAGCCCCGAGAGCGAACACAAGCGTCGCTGCGGTCGCCGCGCCCTGATTGGGTGAGGTGTACCGTGACGTCAGGGCGATGACTCCGCTCCGCGTTCTCGCATTGGCTCGCTTTCCAGCGCCGGTTTCCTGGTTTGGTGTTGTGTGCCACAAGCTCTTGGAGAAGCTGGACTTCGTTTACCCGGTGTACAGGACGTTGAGTTAGGCCGATATTGATGTGCTTCCGTACATTTTACAAGCCTGCTCGTCCCTTTTACCTTTAAAATTGGGTTACAAATCCCGAAGGCTATCGGCGGAGGCAATTCCGCCGACGAACCTCCCCGTCCGTCCACACGACACAAGGCAATTTTGCGAGGGATCGGTGAAGCGGTGGTGCAAGTGTTTCAGATGCTGGAATTCTGTTCCTTGCATGTTCATGATTTAGAACGATATTACATCCCGCTTTCAAGGCATTTGAAGGGGCATTTATATTGGGCAGTCGGCAAACTAGCTCGCGACCCCAACTTCGCGCTGCCACTTTGCATGCGCTGGTTCGCAGATGTTTTAAAGGCCCTGTGTCTGATTATATTTGAAGTGCTCGTGGAACAGGGTTGTTTTACATAAATGTAGCTTCTTCGTTAATTAATTATATAGTTTATACACGTATGCGGGCATATTTCTTAGAAGATGCACAATTACTGGAAATTAGTTTCTAAGGTAGCAGCAAAGATGGCCGAATTGCCCCCAGTTGCCTGTATGATATGTATTGAACTGCCCAAAATATGCACAGCAATAGTGCCGTAATTTGGAATGTTTATACTTTTTTCGGACATTTATACTCCATCCTTGGGCATTCGGAAAATACACCGTTTAGTCTGAATTGCCATTTCCAATAAAAAGAGACACTGCTGCAGGTCTTCAGAAGCTTCCTCAGCCTCCAAACTCCCTACAGCTGGACTCTCTGACAACAGAGGAAAACAGGAGTAAAAGCAAGCATTCGATTGTCCGTCGAGTGGTAGATGCAGCACTAGTAGCAGAAAATGTGGCCTTATTTCTTCATTTTTATATACCACTCCGATTCATGCGTTGCCTGCCCTGTCAACCATGCTTAAAATGTTGGTTGAAGTTTCGCCTGTAGCTACAGGCCATACCTCAATAAAGG